GAATCAAATTCAATTGTTGAGGCGCAAGCCCATTGAACTTCTTGACGTTCTCGAGGGTTTGTAAAGGTAAAGGCCACGCACTTTTTACTTCACATTTTAATAATTTTGGCAGATGCCTGCAGTCAAACTATGGAATTCTGCAAGCACAGCTGCTCTAATGAAAAAAGGCATATGAGTGCCTTCATGTAGTACTGTGTGTTTTGCAGCAGGCAAACGCGCGAACCCTAGGTTTTTTAGGTGCCCATGGTCGTTGCGGCTGAATCCTACGGCGTTGTCTATGTAGACAGGCATCCCTTCCCGAGAAGCTGAAAAATGGTTTTGATGGCCTTGTAGTTGCAGTACAGCTGGGGAATCTATAGCTCCAAACGGCAAACAGGAATACTGGATTTTGAGAGTGCGAGTGTGGAACGCCAACTTGTTGCGTCGGCTTGGTGAACGGCGATAAGAAAGTATCTGTGAAGTCAAGTGTTGAGTACACAATTGGCTCGTGCAAATTCTCTTTAATTCTCCAGTATTAGGCGTCGTGATTTGTGCTGCAGAGTGGTATTGTTCAGAGGCCCAAAAGCACGTACCGCCTTCCGTTCTTTGCCTGCAGGGTTACAGGAATAAGGCCAAAGGTGCTGGTCAAGTCCTGTAGTTTGTCCTCTTCTATTAAAGCATCCGCCTAACGCTTAAGCTTCTCTTCATGCTGTAAAGGCGTTCGATGGCGCAGCACATAGCTTGTGGCAGACGCAGGTGCTAGCTCAATGCAGTTCGCTGGACTTCTGAAAGGTGGCCAACCTGCTCGTAGCTCGTCAATATTTAGCGCATACCCGAAGTCTCACTAAAGATGCACCCACTCCTTCTGTTTTTCGGCCGATTATTTGATCAAGCTTCCCAAGAAAAACCAGTTGCAGAGCCACTAAGGCGTATGCATGCTCAGAATAATCTTGTCCTAATGGTTTGCTGAGCCCGCATAAAGACCACCTCTTGTCAGCGAGGCACGGACGGTACTGCGATCAGCGCCGATGAAATGAGGACTGCTGAGGAGACCAGGAGTTATTTTCTAGCGTGGCCTGGGACATCAATCTCTACAACACGCAGCTGTGCCTGCATGCGCTCCTTCCATTGAACCACCCACGGCAAACTCAGAATTTCGTCATGATGCACGAGTCCTACATAGATGCCGTAGACCACGCAGATATTACCCGATCCGAATCTGAAGTGGCATTCGGCTGCCACAGCTTCGCTGTCTCGTTCATTCTGCCACCTGTCAGCAAACCTGAATTTGAATGAGTGCGCTTCCTCGTTGACAGACAGACTCCACATGTGCGCCGTGTCCCCGGATGGTAACCGAATCCCTTCACACCCAGTGTCAAGTGACGCTACAAATTCTTGACCAGTAATGGGACCTTGTATTGGTAAAGAAGCGGCCTCTGTTTGGTCCTCAACTGCAGCGCTATGCTGTATGGCCCCCTTCATTGCGCTGCATCCTCTGCGATGGGCTTGCCCCTGTCGTCTTTGTTCTGCTTTGCTCACCAAGCAAGTGGTTTCCACTAGGCCCAGTCCTGTTGTTCGACTATTCCGTGTTTTCCTTCAGCGTGCAATTTCCAATCGTATGACTCCGTTGCTTACAATTAAAGTAGATGCGTTTTGGGGGGCTGGCTGGGCCTGCCTAACGCGGGGTTTCTCTGTCTTTCTTTCCTCGCTCACGTTCGACTGTGGGCCAGGGCAGGTCGACACAGCATCAACATCCATGAGCTCTAGATCTTGACTTCGCTCTTTATTTTCAGCCAAAGAGTCACGTGCTGCGCCCATTCGCTTAAAAAGCCCAACTATTACATCGATTGCGAAAGCCCCCACGGTGGATTGGTCAGTAGCTATGTTGCTGCCCATCCTGCGACCATCTGATGTGACACTTTAGGCAGGTCTTATATAAACCACTGGGAAAGCAGCTGACTGTCTACGCTTCAGCTTTTGGAAAACAAAGCTTTATATTTTTTGTATGCTGACAAATTGAAAGAGTTTACCACGGAAGCCTTCTCATTCCTCCCAAGGCTTGGTGTTAAGCTAATTTCGGCGTACACTGGAGAGGCAGGGTCTGCATGAAGGCTTGAACTGTAGTAATCCCTGCGAATGGGCAACTGTGCATGCATGAGTAGATCCACAATTTAGGCAGCATCGATTTAGCAAGCAACACTGGCTTCTATTCACCTAGGGACCACAAAGCGAGGTACATATCTAGCTAGATGACGACATGCTCGAGAACTTGCCCCTTCTCCCGGCCGTCATTCTTATCTGGTCGGCTTAACCTGAGCCACGCATGTTTAGGAATTTTATCTACTAAACGCGTCATGACTTTTCATCAGGTGTGGAGCTGCCTCGCTCACATTAGCTTGCAAGCCGGCCTCTGTCGCCCTCCCACGCGTTACGCCACCATCAATCTCAATCGCAACAGGATGTTTCCGTCAGTCAGCCTGCTGCGTATGAAGGTCTAACTATCATATTGCCAAGTCACTTCATTAGAACCAGGAACCGCCTGCAGTGAAGCAAATGTCTCATCTACGGCCAGTGGATGAGCGGAAAACAAGTGCATCGAACCATGTTGCGCTACCAATGTAATCCTCAATGTAAAGGTCTCCATAGAGAAACTCCTAACTCCAGACTCTAAAATGCTGAACAGAAAGCTCCTGAGTGCTTTTCGTTTCCATTGACCCCGCGCCTCAGAGGTCCCGATATGAAGGAAGGAGGACATTAGGGGGCGCACATTGGCACCCTATAATTGCCCTCCGAGTAGTCACAGCTAGTCGCATATCGGGATCTAGCGTGTGCGCAGACCGGTCTTGTACACACCAATAGTATGCTGAAATAAGCGTCGAATTGCCGCCGTTTCCTTGCACTTTAAATTACTACAGCTAGTGTAACAAAAAGTTTGCTTTGAGATAGCTTTGCGCGCTACAGGTGGGGGTGCGACAGAGTTTTCGGTGGGACTCTTCATAGTGTCTCTTTACTCTGCCTAGGCCTTCGGGTAGCTTTGTTACACCCAAAACCGCTATTAACAATATGCGCTTTTTTTAAACTACTCAGGGTTCCACAGCAATAGACGAATACAAGCAGAGTCAACGTTATAGGGCTGTTCGGCAATCCAAAATTGTGGCTGCATGCAACAGTACTCGGAGACACTATTTCGGATTGTCGAGCCTCGCAATCGGCTGAGTAAATGATATTGCTGCTTCACCCACAAGCGCCTAGATGAAATGTAAGTAGTTGCATTGTAACCGTTCCTCCAGTGATCCAATAGTCAAGGTTAATTTGCATTCTCAAACTTAGACAGGCAGGAATTATACGTAATTATTACAGTGTCTGGAAGGATGGCCTTCCCCAGAATGATTCTGCGGACGTACAACTCTTTCAACTAATTTCATTGACAACCATGCATTTGTGAAAACTTGCTCTAAGGACTGAGGTCTCTGACGGACTATGGACGTGCAGGGCCCCCTAATTCTCTAGGTGTCTGTATTGAGGGCGTTGCTGTAGCTAGAAAGAAAGAAGCTGGAGGTACGAGGGTGATGTAAGGTCACTGCACCTTTGGATCTCCAAATGAATCTATCCGTCTTGCATTGGAAACTCGTGCTGCTCCGTCGTGGAGAGGAGGCTTGGGGGAGCACTGATACTCGGTATTGCGCGCCAATCAAAGAACGGGCTGCCCTTGAGGGCCCTCGTCTGCGGATTGTGGCATTATGAATGGCAGAGCAAATACGTTGCCTACAGCATTGGCATCTGCTAGGGGTGCCTTCAGTTTCGTCCTTGAGGCCCTCAACACGCATTACTGAGTATTTGGCTGTGAGTCACACCTGGCTTACGTGGATGTGCGTATCATATCTAAGACCCTACTTTTTGCAATACAGAGCTTGTAAAAGCCTCAATGCATACCATGAAATGTTTTCTTGTGCTGTGGGTTCAAATTTTCACACCAGGCAAGGTTGCTGTACTGCCGTTGTTCAGTGCTGAATGGCATAATCTTTACCCTTCGGAGTGATGCAATACATTCATGGAAGAAGACCTGATTGAAGGAATTCTGCAAAAAGTCTTGCAGTCACTTAAAGCTTTAGTTGCTCTACTTGAAGGCACTAGAACTATTATACAGATCTAATTAACTGTTTGAGCCTAACATCCTGGCGCAAATAGCCCCCCGATAGTGGAAAGGCACAGCTCTTCCCGGTGGAGAACACTTACTATCAGCAAAAGATCCCATGCATCGTTTTAAGTGTAAAGCCAGTTTTTTAGGTTGTACAGAGGGTGCTGGCTATTCGACTTGATCTAAATAGCCCAGAATGAGGTTTGGACCTCTGGGGCCTTTGTGATCCCACGGATATGTTAACATCTGGCATTTTCATTTAAATGCCTCAGTCAATAGCAGTCTGTAGAGCCGGATTAGCTAATGCCTCTGCTTGTCCATTAGCCTCCCCAGATCATCTTGGAATGAGGATACTTTCGAAATCTCCGAGCCCTCTGAAAATCGCAACACTGATACGTGCAGCATTGTATACTAGGGTCTGCACAAGCGTTTATTTTAATGACGTTGCGGCGAGAAGAAAAACTCAAACTGCACTATGTTGGCACGGCACTCTATCGGATTACACGCCTTTCCTGATGAATGTTCTAGATTAAAAGGATTGTACATGCTCCAGAGGGCTGGCCAGCTTTCGTATTTACAGGTGCCCTCATGTGGGTTAACCCTGCCTGTCGCATGTGAGGGAACTTCTTCATGTACCTGGATCTTCCAGTTTTTATCCATGGATCATTCATAACGTCGCTAAGATTCAGCCTCTTTCGCGGGTCAGGGTGCAGCATTCCAAGGATAAGCCGTTTTAAATCAGGAGAAGGATTAATGTCGAAAGCCAAAGTTTGCTGAGAAGCAAGACACTGCCTTCACAGGTGCATAGCATGCACATCAAAACACGTGTTTGATTCATATCAGGCGGAAGTCGAAGAGCCTGTGGGGCGTTAGTTCACTACTTCTAATTCACTTTGTGGAGCCGGTCGACGGTAGCCCTGTCTGCCTGTGCAAATGGCAGCTTTCCTTGCGTCAGAGCATAGAGAATCACACCTGAATAGCAAACACCTCTCATTAAAAAAACGGTAGCAGAAATACATTTTAATGTGTCTACTATTAGCGCAGGGATTTGTGCGCAGGGTCTAGGGGATGTGGCTTCTTGAGAGACTTTGATTTTGCCTGCTGTACGGAACTAACCCAGCGCCCAAACGTCCAGTTGAAATGGGCTCGAGAACTGAGACGTTTGACTCCAAACTTCTGGTGCCAAATATGCCAGTGTTCCCGCTTCCGTCCGCATTCCCGTGGTACCGACCACAAAGTGGGAAAGTCCGAAGTCCGCAATCTTGCAGCGGCAGCCTTGATCTATAAGAATATTCTCCAGCTTCAAGTCTCTACAGCAGCTACACACTGCAACAGTGCAGGAATGCACCCCACGCTGTGCCGTCCATGAAGCCCTCGAAACCTGGTATATAGAATAGTTGGATTTGACCACTCATAGACATGCTGCTTAAGAGACATAGCCAAATGCAGTACACACCTGTGCACAATGTTCTTAGAGTGGCAGTAATGCACTCCTTTGAGGACCTGCTCAAAGAAGGCCCGAGCTTCTGCGTCATTCGGAAAGCCAGACACATTTAGGCGGCTCTAAGAAAATGTAGTATCAAGTAAGGCTGACTGCGAGTCTAGCAGGTAGCACTTGCGGGTCGTGGCATTTTAGGGGCTTGATTATTCTATGAAGCAAAGCGTTATTTCAAGCCATTTCCTACGGTCTTCCGAAAGACGGCCTCGAGAGTGTAAGTAGCCACGCAAGTCTCCGTGACTCGCAAACTCCATAACGAAACAAACAAAGTTAGGATGGGTTACTACGTCTAACATCTTGATCACGTGTTTATGAGACAGGTCTCGCAATGCCTACTTCGTATGCCATCGCCATAAACACGAAAGTTTAGACACACACGGCTACAGCAAGGAAAGCTTCGATCCATCGACCGTGGATGGACGTAGCTTGGCCAGAATACAGATTCTGATTTGATTGTTGAGGGACCAAGATAGTTTCTACAATCTGGAAGCCTTGAGATGGAGAGGGAAGGCAGCGTCCTCGCCCATTTCTTGCCTGTATTTCTACGAAGACTCGGTCGGCATCGTCAATTTCTCTGAAAGAGTGCTTGTTGATAAACTTAAGTGCAACTAATTCCCCTATAATGCAGCCATGCAATTTACAATCGATTGTCTTGGTAATTAGGTTTGCGTGTGAGTTGCGCTTCGCTGCCCTTGTGATGATACGCTACCCCAGCACAACTGTGGAAGGATGCATCGTGTATGCCCATTTTCATACGCTTTCAAGAGAAGTGTTTCTCCGTTGTCCACTTTGAAATCTGTCAAAAACTTTCAAGCTGTACGCACCGGTTTCGGGATGAATACCTTTATATACTTTGCCGAAGCCTCCACTACCAATAAGTTCCTTCAAAATATATCCTCCAACGGCTGCGCTCCAAGATATCCACTCACTCCCCGGAGGAAGCTTTCAGTTTCGTCAAAACAAACAAGAAGCGTAGTATTGGTTTATAATCGGCAAGCATGTGCAGAAGGTGCGTATTTTTCGAGAAACAACCATATGTAGCGGCGACAAGGGTTGTTGTGTAACGTGTAGCCACGCGAGCGTTCACCCAGGCACGCTGTTTGCACGACTCTCCATACCTCCGCCAGTGGCTCCCCCATTTCCAACAACGAATCCAGAGCCATTTGATATGTACACTAGGTCATCATCAAGGATCTGTTCCACGTCAAATATTTCTTCGCCATTGTCGGAAAAGGCCCTTTTTGCAGCCTCAGCTGCATTCGCAATGCGTCCCAAGTGTATATCGTACATTGACTGAACATTTTAAAAGAAGCCTTGCTGAATTAAATGTCAAACCCTTAGTGTAGTATAGTGATGCTGTGGATTCACCTGCTATCCCGCCTCATTTGCTTTTGGGAGCGATTAGGTCTCTCTATTTCTATCTCTATCTATAAGCAATACGAGACACAGCCGCTGCACTCATGTGGCTTACCGAGCCCATGCAATGCCGAACTACGCTCAAGGAATGTAGGAAAGGCCGTTTGGGGAGGCAGTTTGAGCTGCTTCGGCTCAGATTGCTCACCGTTCAAGGCGACAAGAATACGTTTCCACCCAAATGTACTGGAGCTAAGTTTTTCTACTTCGAAATCTGGAACCCCCAGCATCTTTTCAAGCACCCATGTAATACAAACGGTGCGGGATTTATGTTATCAGAGTCTTTTTTACTCCAAATTTTACTACTAAGCTCGATGTGGTTCTAGGTACGTGCATTAGCTACCCTACACGCGGGAAACCAAGACAATCAATGTAGGTAATAATTTCGTACCAACGAAGGTAGTTCAAACTCTCGCACTCGGGTACAAGGCAGACCACCTTGCAATTTGCATGTTAAGAGACGGCACTGCTCTGCAATAGCATCGAAGATATATGGCTTCAGCTAGCTAAAACACATCTTTCCAGACAAGGGTCCGACTATCAACGCTCCCAAACACTGCAAGTATTTGCAGAAGGAGCGCCTCACTTGGACACAAGGCAAAATATTATAGTATGATGGTGCGGAAAATCTCAAAAGGTGAGCACATGGGAGAGCGGATCTCAATATACACATATCACTGGGGGATTTTCACAGATTTAGTTGACGTGAACTAGCAGGACTGCCCGTCTAGCGCATGCATGCAATGCTGTGCGACGGGGCTAGGCGCTAGGTGCATGTGCTTTTTAAGGCGCTGCATGCATTGATGCAATACGTTTGGAAAATCACTTCTTAGGTCTGCGAAAGTTATTTGTTTAAAAATTGGTTTTACTATGGAATGCTTGTTGGGCTCCCCGCGGTATTAGCGGGCTTTTACAACACAAACGGTGCTGTATTGCCATGCGCGGTGCAGTTCGTGGTCATTTGCGCGATCGTGTTTTGTTTGAGTCTGCTGATGGACTGAATACTGCGCTTCTAGTTGGACGATCACAGCCAATGGCCTAGCTAACACCGCAGAAATTTGGCATTCGGCCCGTGCAGCCTAGCTACCAGCGGGCGACTACAGTTGTGTACGAATGCTGATTCTCTTCCGGTTTCAATAGCTTTTATGCACTCTTCAAGCTCTTTAAAGTGTTTTTGTCCGTACAGCGTGAGATATACGAGACAAAATGAAGAAAACAGCAGCGCTGGCCTGGTCCGCGGCAGTGTTAGGCCAGCTTGTGGCTTTACTCGTCGATTCACATACAGAACCACACGCAATCACTGTTGCTGGCAGGGAAGAATACGGTAATATCCTAGTCATTAAGCTAAATACCGACTGCAGTACTCACCACTTGCTCAACTCATACAAAATTCCTACAGCAAAATGCGAGGTCCAAGGTTATTTTACGGACTAATGCATTACCATAGAAGCACCTCACAAGCGGTGAAATTATAAAAATTGTTGACGTTGCTAAGGAGATCCACGCGGATGCGGTCGAGCGATGTATGCAGAGCTGCAAAGGTTGGCAATCGATGTGAGGTGTAGTGCCCTGGTTGTCCGCCCTGGAGAAGGGTTTACGGTGACAGCAGCCGTAACGGATGGTCTCGCGCAGCTTCGACATGGGAAACCCATATGGCTTGGACTCCAATTTTCACCATCTTCTGGCTTCGATGGTGCCCAAGTGTCTAAGGGGTCTCCCGGTCTAGTGTGGGAGAAGCTAGAAGGAGATAAAGCTGCTTGGGCACTCGAGTTGCTTCAGCCAGGAGAATTCCGTGCCACCGTGATTGCGCGCACAGTTTGCAGTTCTCAGCATCAAGCGTTGAAGCAAACGGAATCTTCTTCGTGCTTCCAGCCTTTGCCCCTAGCACATCAAAACGAGGTTAAGGTCAAAGTTGCAGAGATAGCTGCTAGGCTGAAAGTGTCGTGGGATAAGCCACAAACCATAAGAGCATTCTCAGACACACGGAATGCACAGTATGGCGCTCTCCAGGTATCAGCGTTGGCTCTTGATGGATCTGGATTACTGAATTTATTCAAGGGTACTGTGCAACTTTTCGCCGTTGACACCAACGGTGCGGGGTATTCTCCGTTGCAAGGAATTCTTGGAGGGACCACCAATGCAACTCTAAAAGACGGTTTCGCTGAATTTACCAACCTCGAACTGCTGCAAGCAGGCACATTCAAAATTGTTGCTGTTGCTGATGGTGCACAAGCCGCAGAAACCGCCCCTCTGGTTGTGACTGCTTTGGTATCTCGAGTTCTTAGGTACGCCATATAAAGCAGCACAATATAGCAGTGCATTCGCTTAGTGACTATGTATGCTAGAGTAAGGCTACATGGCTTCCACAATATCGAAGCCCATAAAGAAAATACGTTGCCCCAATGAGTGATTGAGAAACTAAAATGCCGTGCTAGGTGGATGCGTGAAAGCATAACGCCATTGTGAACAGCGCGTAAACAGAGCGAGTGCGCTGAACTGGCGATGAAGAGAATTTGAATGTGAGGGCCGCTTCAGGTTCTGTGAACAGCCACCAGCTGTGCTGTTGATGCCGCGCCCTCCCCCAATCAGACTTGCAGTGGAAGTTATTTCCGCTAGGGGAGAGCGAGATACTACCTTCGAAGGGCAGGTTCAGGTGCAGTTACATGGGCGCATTTTCGACCACCCGTTGCCAAAAGATCAATACAAGACACAGTGCCATTTGGGACTGTGCCTATGGAGTAGCTTTGTCCTTGTCGGTCCCCCAGGCAGCCTTCAATTGAAGGCCACAGTAGTGCAGCAGACCAAGTTTGGAGCCTCTGACAGAGGTCTTGAAAGAGACACTTCAATCCTCCCTGCATTTTCGGCACCGATTGAGCTAAAACAATTGCGTGAAATCCGGCGTTCAAATGAGGCTACGACAAGCGAAGTTGCTACGCGAAAAGAAATCGAAGGCAACAGTTTCTTCAGGTACAGACCGTGGGCAATAGTTATGGGATCTTGCTGTTCGTGAGCTGTTTGGTTTTGCTGTGGCAACTGCTGCGGCGTAGCTGGCCACCACAGTGAATCAGGCTGTCCCGGTGCTCCAAAATGGCAAAGTCTGATGCCCCTTCAACAGTGTGTTTCCTGTGGTGTGGTCGTCCGACTCCTTAGCTGGATGAGTGTGTGTGCGTGCCAGTTTTGTTCAAGAGCCTCCTACCACTGTCAGAGCAGGGCAACTATGGGATCTTGAAGTGGCTGTGAGCTCCACCCAGCTAGGCTTCAGAGACATTATTCTAGCCCAAGAATACAGAGGACGAAAGCGTGCCATAATGCAGAGGCGATATGCCAGCAGTGCCTGGAGTAGCTGGACAAGAAACTGCAGCATAATTAGCAGAGCTCGTCATGCGAGAAACCAGCATCGCCTGCACTCGCTGCTCGAACGAGCAGGTGGCCCTATCCGCAGGGCTGTCCATCACAAGCTTCATGTCGTTATTGCAGAATCCTGGCCCACGAATTCAATTGTATTGAGTGGTCATACTGAGAGCATAACAGACACCAGTGGTGTGGCGCTGTTCAGCCGCCTAAGTTTACGGCTTCAGAACAATAGGTCCTCAAACCATCATACACCGCCTTGGGTAAAGCTGCGTGTTGAATGTCTGTCGTGTGATGTATTGAAAGGCGAATACCGTCCCAGCTTAGAAGCATCCAAAATATATGTCGATATCTTTTCCGTGGTTGGTGTGTTTAGTGACCCCCTAGACGCTGCTTCCGCAATTGTACGCCGACAGTCCATGGTAGCTCATACAACAAGGGAGAAGCACGGAAATGCAGCCCTTGTTCTTCCAGGGCGTCCAGCACAACTGTGCGTACAGCTGTTTGAGAGGCCCTTCGCCGACGTATTGATAGCAGCTCAACATGGACCCGATCTTGTCAACTTGGGTGCCCCTAGGATTCGCGTTTCCCCATATACCTGGCCGCAGCCTGCCTGCTGGCACTTTGCTGTTGCGTCACGGTTACGCCACCAGCATACAAGTGGGCCACATAACAAAGTAGCCTTCAAGCTCACCAGCGCAGACATTGCATACAACAGCAGTAAGAAAGTAATTAGGTGGGGAGGTTTGGCCGCCTCTGATGGGACAGTAAGAATTATTGTACTGCCTTCCCGTATTGCTCTAAAGAAAAATGGGCTACTCCAAGTACTGCAGAAACGATACTCTAGCCAAGCTGGGACCGGGAAGTCTCAAGAGAGCGGACAGCCAAGAGGAACTCACATGCGAGATCAGCTACAAGCATATGGACACATATCTTTGCACCACCATCTTAATGCAGCGGGAAACCAAGCGGAACCGCCTGTTATTCCACACCAGGGGCCAGGGTGGAAGGTGAACACCACCTTGCAGTGGCGGGTTCCAGCTTTAGCTGTTGAGCTGCTACCACCACAGACTCACGTTATCCTAGAATTACGGCCTATTACCAATTTCGTCTCCACATTACAGATTACAGGCCGATGCGTGGACTTAGATGCTGGAGGCACACAGCTGGCAGACGTGAACCAGTCGCTATCCCCTCAAGACCTTAGTGCACTACATGAAACAAAAACACAAGGGAGAAACGCAATGCAGCGCTGGTATCAAGTGGAGATAGTGCTTGACTGGGACTCCTTGAATCCAGAGAGTGCTGGGCTTCTTCAGCACCACGTGGTTTGCGAATTTCATGGTGAAGGAAGAGATACGCCTCATGTCGAATTCGTTCCCAGAGCGTCGGTTGAGATTATTATCTGTGAGCTACAATGAAGGCAGACTTCGTTACATCAGTTATGCCTGAAGGCTTACCATGTGTTGTAATAAAAATCGCTGTATCAGCTTGCAATGCACTCGGAACCAGTTACCATTACCTTCACATATACGAGAGGTGTGCACTTCTGCAGTGCGACGGCAGTGTGGCGAAGGTGAGATCTTTACCTTTCGACGCAACTCATGTTACCCATGTCCAGAAGACTTTGATTGCTCACTCGGTACTCCGAAGCCGTGCCTTCCCGGAGAGTTCAGCCCGACAGCAAAGCTTACCTGCGAAGCCTCAAGAGTGTAGGGTATCCACCTATCGGTGGACTTTGAAGGCCACTGCGTTGTCGAACTGCCATCAGGGCTTCTAGGCCACATCAATTTCACACTTCATGAGCTGCCAGCTCTTTTACTAATCGAATTGATGTTGTGCCATGTACCTGTCTTTACAGAGAGAGAGGGGCGCTCCAGGCTGCTGCTGTGTGGCCGGAGCGTACAGGTTGCCCCATGGGAACGTATCTTCTACGCGGACCGGAGGATTCTCTAATTTGCTCTGTTTGTCCAGCGGGTTTCTCTTGCAACGGCAAAGGCAAGGAGCTCTGTCCTACTGGTACCTATTCTCCTGTGAGCAGTGAAGTTTGCATTCCATGTCCTGAAGATTCCGTCTGCAGTGACCCTGCAGAACATCCAGTAAGGTGCCCCTTCGGATGGCAGCGCAAAGGAGACGCGCCAGAGTGCACCCCGTGCCCTGCCGGAAGAATGTGTAGCGTCTTTGGTGGCTACGCGGAGAGGGGATCTGCCGATGTCGAGTGCCAACTGGGAACTTACACAAAACGGGAGTACCCGGGAATATGTGTCCCATGCCCGCCTGGGTTTCAATGCCCAGACCCTAAAGAAATGCCCCAAGAGTGTCCGGCGGGAACGAGCTCTTTGGGTGGCAGGCGTAAATGCTCATCAGCCCCTATTGGCCTAATAGTGGCATATGGTATGGAGCATTTGCCTCCACGGCCTTGTGAAATCGGTCTAACGCCTGTTGCAGTACAAGGGCGTTGGTGGTGTGGAATTGAATATGAAACTGATAGCTCACCGAGCCAACAAACTAGAAGACCCGCGCGATCATCTCCGTCTCTTCATGACAATTTATCCGGGGCGGAAATGTTTGCAAATCTTTGTACAGCGGAATACATAGACCATGCCTCGTGTTTTGGATCCGTCGTACCACCTAAAACATGGTGCCCTGCATATCACCTAGATGAGCAGAAATGGCCCACAGAGTTCAACGATGGACCATTCTTTGGAGCTGGCGGGGGTTTTTCGCAGTACTTCACGTCCTGCGGCTACACGCAGACGGCTGACACTTCATCAACCCGTGTAAAATGTCGAAGGCCGTGCTGAAATTTAGCTTAAGCAATCACCTTCCTGCTTCCTAGGAGCCTTGTAAAACCACTTTGCCTTGTATGCAGGGCCCCCCTTTGGTGTGTCAGCAATAATGGGTGCAATCCGCAGATCGTATGCGTAGAGAAGGTTTTGAGCCAGCCAGGCCTAGGGTCCCGGAAGGGAAAAGAGCTGTTTTGCCAGATTGGCCAGTAGGCTGCTGCACCTCACAATATGACTTCTGGAAATACAGCGTAGCCACCACGGTGTAAGGGAAGTGTTCAAGTATACTACGACTATTTTGTCCTTGACCGATTTTGTTCTAGCTTATCAGTGTGCTTTTTCTAATGCAGTGTCTGCGGTCCGACGGAATGGCGGCCAATTAAGCCAGGCTACTTCCAACTGGCTTGGCAAGGAGGAGTCACCGCACGAACTCAGCCGTTCGAGACTCCAAAAGAGTACCCCTGTTGGCATGGCCACAGGTGCGAGGGGAAGCACCACTGGCCATGGCCCTGCGTTCCTGGGACGTATGCCAACGCTGATGGTACCGATTGCATCAAGTGCCCGGCTGGTTGGCCCTGCCCAATGGCTCGCACCAGCAAGAAACAATTAGTTGTGCCTTGCTGGCCTGGTCACTATTGCCCTGAAGGGTCTGCAAGCCCGACTGCACAACCTTGCCCCGCTGGAACGGTGAATCACAGCACGGGTGGAACAAGCCTTGCGGCTTGCTTGCCGTGCCCAGCTGGCTGGCTCTGTGCAGAAAGGTCGTTTCAAGCTGTAGGCTTTCAAGCGTGCCCTCCAGGTCACTACTGTGTCGAGGGATCCAGCAAAGGCAAACCCTGTCCAGCTGGAACCTACACACCATATCCTGGCGCATCGGATAGAATGACATCCGCCGACAAATGTACTCCTTGCGTCGCCGGTTACTATTGCAAAGAGGGCAATAGCCTCTTAGATATGCTTTCGCAGCCATGTCCTCCAGGTACGTTTCAAAGCAATAAGAGCTTTAGTAGGCGTCCTATACTATTTTTGCGTAATCCTCTCTGCAAGGCACTAGGACATCAAAAAGCGACATTGCGTGATGAGTACACATTGCTTCCCCTTATTTAGTAGCCTGCACATAATTGTTAGTCAGTCGCGATTATGCTTATTATCCATTTTTGTTTGCTGCAGGGCGAGTGTGTCCTGCCGGCACAACTTCAGATAAAGGGCCCAAATGTCCTCCTGGATTCTACAGCCCTGTTGAGGGGTTGACACATGAAGCAGAGTGTCTTCCTTGTGAGCTTAACTAAAATCAATTTAAGTAAATGCCTTTGTACCTTAAAAACAATCATACGTCATGAGGAAGCAACTTTACTGCAAGTATCCAGGAGCATAAGCTAAACCAGGCGCAATATTACCTCCTGGCCAACCTAAATTTTTCATGGATCTCTTTCAGGTCCAGCAGGATCATACTGTGACTATGGCGGTGAAGACAGTGCTCCAGACAGAGTCACGGGGCAATGCCCTGATGGGACAATGTCGCTCAACACCGGGCATTTCGGGGATAAGCACGCCATACGGCCTATTGAACCTGTCGGAGGTGAGAAGTCAAAAAATATGTGCTGCACGTAAAAACAAGTTATGCGCCTTATGTGCCAATCATCCGAAAAATGGGGTTCTGCTGGATAAGCTAGCCCAACGTTATTCCTGTCTTAATGGCGGCAGAAATGAACGTTGAAAAGTTTTACCCATTCTATTCCTTATGTTACGTATATTGGCAACTGTGCCTATGTGACCCAGCTAAGTAATATCTTTACATCGTTAGTCCTAGGTTTTCGTTGTAGCTGTATTATTCACATGTCTTTATACCGATAGAGTGACCTGCCTGTAGCGCTGCTGAGGAGGTGTTTCAGGTCAGGAAGCACAATGTGTCACATGCGACCCCGGCTATAAGTGTTCTGGCGGAATACGGTCACCTTGTGGACGTGGGTATTACTCCGATGGCAGTGGAGAGTGTAAGACGTGCCTGGCTGGGCATTACTGTTGGAAAGAAGCTACAACAAGTCAACAGATGGACAAGCAAAAGTGTCCTGCTGGAGCCTATTGCGAGGCAGGAACTAGTTCTATTCCCCTTCCAGCGAGTCACCCGTGTCCATCGGGATCTTACTGCCCAGAGGTGCGCTTCTCTTCCTTGCCCTGCAGAAAGGATTGTTGTGTGCCAGTATGTAATGGAGTGATATTCGGTAGGCTGTGTCATCTACCCTGGATTGATGAAAGTAAAATGAAGGCGACTCGTTTCTGGAATGAAGCATGTAACTGTGGGCACTTTACTTCTCAAAGCCTAGTAGAGTGGTCTTACTGCGTGCTTGTCGTACACAGGGGGTAGCCAATCCAATTCCTTGTGAGGCAGGGACAGTAAATCCAAAACCTGGCCAGGTTTGTACAATTCCCTGGAAAATGTTAGTGGTGTGGATCCAGCAGTATGGCAAGCTTAGCGCTAGTTGTACTTCTCGTCCTTTCTAGTCGAGCTTTCTCACACATCTTTGCGTGTGCGACGGGCTTTCAACAGGGGGATTCTACGGGCTGTGTGCTCGTTTCTGCTGGACAATACGCGTCACAGCCTGGGTTGTCTGAGGCTGAAGGGGAATGCCAGGAAGGTTACTACTGTCCAGAAGGGTCTACCTCTGCAACAATGAACCGATGCCCAAACGGGACCTACGGGTAAGTTACTTGTGTGTAGGCTGAATCGCCTGCCGTCACTGCTATGTTTGACGCCAACCAGTTACTCGATACGTCGCCCAAGTGTCGAAAGATAGAGTAGTAGTGGTAACATAGAATGGTACTTGACCAGTGTACGTGCGCTTTTGCCAAGTAGCAGTCTCCTGGTATGCTTTGCAGTGCCCAAGCAGGTGCTAGGACTGAAGAAGACTGTGATAAGTGCCCACAGGGTGAGTTCATGTTTCCGAGCATCGGCAGGAGATAAGAACGCATGCAGGGGACTTGCGTGTTACATTAGGGTGTATGCTAAAATGCTTTGGTACCCGCGTTTGTGCTCGGCTTCAGGATATTACTGCAGTGCAGAGAAAATGAGCCTCTGTCCCCAAGGCAAGTATTGCGATCTAGGCGCCACTGAGCCAAAGGACTGTCCAGTTGGAACGTTTAGTACAACACAGGGGAATGCTTCGGTTTACGATTGCATAGACTGTCCTCCCGGACATTACTGTGAAGAAGAAGGTACGTATTTCGATTCCCTAAACGCACCGCTGGGCTAGCGGTGCTTTGCGTATAGCAAGTGAGAATGGCTTTTCTGAAACCTGCCTTAACTTTTAGGCCGAACTCCTTCTCTTTCTCCCTTAAACCCTATCTAAATAAACATTTAAAGCTCTGCTTTATTCTGGCTAGTGCCAAGCGCGGGGTCAATTTGTGCAGGCCTTACTGCCCCTTCCGGTAATTGCGACGAGGGGTGAGCTGTCGCACTAATCCTTGCATGAACTACTGGCTAGAAGGCAGAGGAGCTTCCTTATCAGATAAGACTGCTGTTCCTGATCAATAGTGGCAGGGTTGCTCGTAGTTTGTAGATGCACAGCATACAGGCAGTGGATTGGACCAGCCATCTCATGGTGCAGTTCCTAAGAAAAAGCACAAGACATCGGTGCACATCTCGGTTTGCTAAAGGCCTATGCCGTGCGTCTAAGAACATTGATAGTCTTGTAATTTGGGGTGCAGATATTTGTGTTATGGGGGAGCCTCATCGCCTCGACCTACCGATGGAGTGACAGGGGAGCTCTGCACGCCTGGAGGATACTGTAAGAGGGTAAGGCCTGGGTTACTGCTCGTGGAATGTATTTGAAATGCTGAGTTTAAACAGTTCTTTCTGTGTATTCCCATCTATACTAATCAATGCGCCTAAAGATTACTTCTTCTTATGTCGACTCACGTGCACGTGCGTAAGTACTGTATGCTTGTCATGCTGGATTATGTAGGGGGCAACAACAAAGTCATATTGCCCCCGAGGAACCTACAATCCCTCCCCAGGAGCATCATCGAAAGATCAATGCATACACTGCCCTCCAGGAGCTTTCTGCACAGGAAGCGACTCAACCGAACCTGATGGACCGTGTTCCCCTGGAGCTTACTGTACAGGGGGGGCTGATATTCCTCGGTGAGCAGGACTTGATATTCACTATACTCGTATGCTGCTGAAAAAAGCCATTAGAACACGTCAAGTAGGGTTGTACTGGGCTGCACTATGTTATGCTGATATGCACGATTTGTCATATTGTAAGTGAATCCTTGGCGTGTCACTCTCAGTTTGTCATGGAATCGCTGTCATAGTTGTATGCCTCTAGCACACATGCCATCACTCTCATGCTTTCCAGGCATGTCAGCAGCTTTCTGCATTCTGGTTGGCAGGCAGAAAATAGTGCAGGCAGGGTATTTCGCTCCGGAAGCCTCTACCGAACAGATTCCATGCCCAGCTGGGAGCTTCTCACCGCATGCAGGATTGGCTGAATGTTATCTTTGTGCTCGTGGGTGGGTAGAGAGAAAGTGCAGCATTATGATCCAAACCTCAACTAGGTCAAGATCTTTTGGTCACTAAAGCCTGTTACTAATCCTACGTCAACTGGTTTGAATTTTCACACACGTAGCAGTCCACTAATAGTGATATATTCACGCGTTTGAGACCTCATGTGCAGAACTGTGCTTATAGATGGGTCACCAAGAACACTGGAGAGCAACGGTGTGAACCGTGCCACTACGGGATGTACTGCCCTGAGGAAGGAACACCTGTGGAAAAGCCCTGTCCCGTGGGAACCTACAGAGATACTGGTTACGGATCCTCACTCACCAGTTGCCATCAGTGCCCGCCATACAAAGCTTGCACAAAGGAAGGCGAAACACGCAAAGAGTTGGTGGATTGTGAAGCTGGATTTTACTGTATATATGGGTCGTGGTCTACAGAGCCATCGGAGTCTGATTTACTGTACGATCCAATTAAAGGTGGACCATGTCCTCCAGGTCTCTATTGTGAAAGATCTCAACCGCCAATGCCGTGCCCAAGAGGCACCCTTGGTACTGCAGGCAAGCAAACGTCGCCAGACGAGTGTCCCAAATGCCCTGAAGGTACGGGAAAGCCTGCAGTGCTTGTAGTGGGCTGTGAATTCTCCTAGCGTCACCTGAATGTAGTTGGGCCCGTGGGTCTCCACCGGTTTTAGTGTTCGTTTTTATCATGTCTACAACCAACAGTATGCACACCGAATGTGGCTTGACTACAGGGAGGTTTTGCGAGCACCTAGGGACTTTAACGGCCAAACCCTGCACTGCGGGATTTTTCTGCCTTCCTGGGACAATTGTCGCCGAGAGGATAAATACTATCTGCCCAGAGGGCAGTGTTTGTCCAGCTGGAAGCAGTGGTAGCCAGGCATGTGCCATAGGTACCTTTGCGCCGCTCAAGGGCATGGAACAATGTATAAAATGTCCTGCTGGTTACCTCTGTGCAAACGCGGCCGCTGATTTCGACACACAGCCTTGTCCAGTTGGACACTTTTGTGTCCTAGGTAAGGACCATGCAATACCTTGTGGATAATTTCGCATAATCTGAATGCCGCCTCGGGCACCCTGGCCTTCACCAACTCACGGTATCAGGTATTGTGACATGTACTGAGATCACAGGGACATCGGAGAAACGACCTTGCCCAGCTGGCACTGCAGGCCTAGCGAGTAATCTGTCGAACTCATCTCTTTGCCTTGCTTGTCCGTCTGGCCACTACTGTCCCACTGAAGCGATGTAAGCTATCACTATCTCCTCTCAGACTAGTAGGACAAGTAGCTGCAAGGAAATGAGTGATGCCTTCTGCATATGCATCTTTAGTTGGTGCGCCTATATTCAGCGCGAGTGGCGATCAGGTCCAAGAGTGTTCTAAGGGGAAGTACTGCAATCCAGGAACAAAGGGAGAAGATGAACAAGTTATTTGCCCTGTTGGTTATTACTGTCCCAAGACTTCCAGCACCCCAATACCTTGCAAGGGTGGAAAACTATGCACAATGGCTGGCTTAGAATCACCCGACGAGGACTGCTCTGAAGGGCTGTACTGCCAGCCTGGTACAGAAGAATATACTCCAGCAGAGGGAGAGCAGTGCCCTGGAGGTGCTTACTGTCCTATTGGTTCGGCTAGTCCATTATTATGTCCGATCGGGAAAGTATCACCGACCTCGGGGGAGAGGTCCGAGGATTCGTGCGTAGACTGCCCAGCTGGAAGGTACGAGCCTGCTCTGAGTGTTAAGTTGGTCGTTCAACCCAGGTTGTACTAGGCTTAACAACCTCTCTCGACAGCCCCTTTATCGAAGTATCCTGGATATCACAACGCATATAAATAATGTGCTAGCCTACTGCAAGTTTTGCTCGACCTGCTGCAGAAATCCTTGTTCCCATCCTGCTTGTGGCTTCAGCTACTGCGGATTTCCTGGACTTACCACATACCAGGGGCTCTGCAGCTCCGGTTATTTCTGCCCAGAAGGCAGTATTGTTGCCGAACCACAAGAACACAGGTGTCCAGTAGGACACAAGTGCCCAGCAGGATCATCTGTAGCAACACCATGCAATCCTGATATGAATGAGTACCAACCAAGGAGAGCACAGGCATTTTGCGAGAGCTGCCCTGCCGGTTCTGCTTGCGACTCCGGTAGTGCAACCCTGTGCCCTACTGTAAGTAAATGAATATATATTGGACCAACAAACAGGAGCACATGCTTAATGTATCAATACAATGCGGAGGCACGATGAATCATGTAAAGGTCACCCAAGGACACGAGCGCTTTGTTTTTTGTGGCACAGGGGCAGTACTGCCCACTAGGAATGAAACCCCAGAAGTGTGCTGCAGGGACGTTCAATCCCCTTTCGGGTGCACAGAGTGCAGCATTCTGTCTGGCCTGCCTTCCTGGTCATGCATGTACAAAAGAGGGCCTGAGCAAACCAGATGCGAAGTGCTCGGCAGGACACTTCTGCGTTGCTGGCGCTTCGACTCAAACACCGGAAGATGAGTGGATTGATGGTGGAGGGGCGTGTACACCAGGGTATTTTTGCCCGGAGGGATCTACAGTCCCTACGCCATGCCCAAATGGCAAATACTGTCCCGATGCAAAAGCAACATTGCCAAAGGGAGAGTGTATGGCCGGGCATTATTGTGCACACCATGCAACAAACCAACGAGCTACAACTGCTTTCTCGTCCCGAGAATGTCCATCAGATGTGAAACAAGGAGTGTGTCCCTTGGGTTCTTTTTGTCCTCCGGGAGCTGTGTTTCCATATAAATGCCCTCCAGGTAAACCTCTGCCTCACAATATGCACTAAAAGCTTTATACTGCAAGCTCTTCTTGGAGACGACACTCAACAGGCTTGCAGCTACTCGGTGAATAGTACACTAATATCAGTAAAGCTTGTAGCTATTAAAGAAGCTTTCGAGAGTCATTATTACCTTGAGTAAGGCCTATGCTGCGCTAGGCACTGTAAGAAGTACCACTGGCGGTACATCGATTACTGACTGCCAACCATGCCCCGAAGGGAATTACTGTACCCACATAGGAGCATCAACCGTGAATTTGGACAGATGTCTGGATGGCCGGCACTGCAAAGAAGGCTCGCGAGTGTGTTGATCGCTTGTGCACTACAAGGATTATTTTTTATGCTATTTAATTAAATGCTTTAATAGCCCAGTATAAAGAAACTACTTTTATGTTGGGGAAGCAATAAAAAATAATGTGCGTATCCTTTTGACTACAGACCAAATTTGGTGTTCCATGCCCAAGCGGGCACTATTGTACTAGCGATGCAGGAGCTCCGCGAGAGTGCCACATAGGGTACCCCCAACTGCTTTACTCCCACTAGCCAGTCCTCAATTCGCCAAGCAATGAAAATGACACTTAGCCCAGTAGTGCACCATATATCGTCCTTTGCCCCCGGATAGATGTTTTGTATGGTAAGCGGCAGAGTAGTTAGCCAACTGGCAAAGCAGGCAATCAAGTACAAGTGGCAGAGACTGGCTGAGTAACACTGTTTATGATGTCGGCTTTTAGGACATATCAGTCAGGAGAGGGGGCGGCAACATGTGAGCCATGTCCTCAAGGTACGGCGTTATACCTACTGAATACAGATGACCAAAGCAGTATCACCACGCAGAATTGTACACCTACTGCATTCATTTGCTTCATTTGTGGGCAGGGTTTAAGTGCAATGATTTGGGCACTACCGAACCCAAGGAGTGCCCTAAAGGGTTCGTCTGCAGGAATGGCAGTGAGATCGCATGCCCGGCTGGAACGTATCTTGAGCACACTGGATCCTCAAGCGATACATCATGCAAGCCTTGGTGAGTTATTTCGTCTTGCGCTGCTCTACTGCAATCTGAAGCCAATGCGTATAATAAGAGTTCTCATACTTGATGACCGCAGCGTGTGCCAGTCTCGTTTTACAGTCCTCCGGGAAAGGCGTGCACACACGTCGGGTCCACTTCTATCACTGAAGCTGCAAGTTGTACTGAAGGCTACTACTGCCGGCTAGGAGCACCATCACCCACGCCGACAGAGATATCATGTTTAGACGAAGAGAAGACTGCATGTCTCCCAGGTGCAAGATGCCCATTGGGGTACTTCTGCCCAGCAGGCTCTTCATCTCCCATGGCCTGCCCTCTGGGCACGACTGGGAAAATCGAGGGAGCTACTTCAACAGCTGCTTGCGCAGCGTGCCCTTCTGGGTTCTTCTGCCCGCCCGGTGGGGGGCAAAGGCCTTGTCATGCAGGCTTTGTGTGCTCTGGAGGGGCATCAGTTCCCAAGCCTATGGCCGCCAATGGTACCATCTGCCAAAAAGGTCACTACTGCCCTGACGGTCTTCTTGAAACTGAATGCGCTGCAGGCACCTATGCAGATGCTCAGGTGAGCTCATGCTCAGTTGTGACGCTCCGATTGCCCAACCTCACTGGGCTCTAACAAGCAATAATCAGGCATTTCAAAGGTCAAAGGGCATACCGTTACCGATGAAATTTTAATAATTTTGTTGTGTTGTCTGATAGGGTCTCTCAGAATGCAAACCATGCCCTGCTGGATTCGTCTGTAACAATCAAGGCAATCTATCCCGTCACTGCCCCCATCCCAACGGCCCTTTTATAGTACACGAAAAACGCGCCCTCTAGAAATCTCGTAACTTGAAGCTGGAATCCAGTGGGAATGAATCGTAGCGTTCGGAAACGGATGTCAACTTGCATTCAATGTACTGGCTTAAACTGTCCCTTTTCAGGTAGTATGACGGGCACTGAAACGAAGTGCTCACGAGGATATTTTTGCCCAACTGGCTCAATTGAGGCTAACAAATGCCCCATGGGCACATTTAATAAAGCTGAAGGCCTGCACGATATCTCGTATTGCTCTCCCTGCCCTCCAGGTGTGCGCCCCTTCAGAATAACTTCAGAAGATGAGTAGGGGAAGGTAGCAGTATGAGGCCACATTTGTAATAAACGAGTCTACATACACCCTCACCGTCTTTTTTGTTGGATAATCCCAGTATGTACGACGCTGTTCTACTCAAGGGTTATCGGCCCACTGAATCCCTCTTCATGCAACAGGCAAATATTGTGACAGAGGAGGGCTTGAACAACCTTCAGAAGACTGCGCTGCGGGCTTTTACTGCCAAACGGGCTCAATACAGCCGCAGAAAGATGTGGAAGAATGGCCCAAAGGCAGTGGCAAATGTCCTCCGGGGCACTATTGTCCGAAGGGAAGTGTACGTACGGCACGAACTCAATACAAAAGTGCATCTAAAGCATGGTCAGTAACTGAAAAGGAGTGCCATGGGACCTTTGTGTGTTTCTTACCTCACTATATATACACCTGCTGCAATATAGGCATTGAGGGAGACTCATTCTAGGGCTTGTTTTTGTGTAGGGGGCACCCGAACGATGTCCGCCTGGGACATTCAATGCAAATTGGGGAGCAGAAGCTTTAGCCAGCTGTCAGAAGTGCACTCAAGGAATGTTTTGCGGAAGCTGGGGGCTCAGCGCCCCAGATGGGCTGTGCAGTTCGGGTACGCCTCACCATCATGTCAAAATCGATAGTTGGTGCGCTGGTAACGAAATCAGTCACGCTATTGGAATGCATATCGTAACCCGGAGGCAGGTTTGTGGTAACACTAAAGTCTGCTTGGTTTTCGGTTTGCTTGTAAGACCGCCGTTCAGCAGGCACGCTTTGCATAGTTCTTTAATTTCTTTGTGAATGCCATGGGCATGGGGTGCTTGTAGGCTTTTACTGCAAAGAAGGATCTACAACATCCACTCCACTGCAAGAGGCAGCAGGAGACCTTTGCCCTACAGGCCACTATTGCACAGAAGGTAGGTGGCCAAAGGGGTGGCCATATGCAAATGGATCCATGCAATAAAGTGTGCCATCAGGTTGACGCCGACACACGTCACATGTTACCATACCATACTGCACGAATATTTATCACATTTACGGGCAGAAGCTGCTTGTTTCTGACTGTATTGTTGTACGGAGCCGTATGCTGAATGACTTTATGCACTCGCTGTTACAAATTTCAGGGTCCTGGGAGCCAACACCTTGCCCATTAGGCACATTTAGTGCTCATACCGGTAAGTGTTCAAAGATGCATACTTCCTTGAGAAGTTTCATGCTTTCATGATTAAGCACCGCTCGTCCTCTTGTTCTAATTATGCAACTAGCAACATGATGTGTGGCCATTGATCACTTTTAGGTGCCAGCGAATGCTCAGCCTGTCCCGCGGGATACAAATGCCCAGAGGGCGCTGTGGAGCCTGAGGAATGCCCAGCTGGCCTTTACTGCCAAGTCGGAGAGTTACCAAAACCGTGCCCAGGGGGAACCAGATCCTCCACTACTGGCCTTTCTGAAGAAGGACAGGTAGTTTCGACCTGTGTATTGCGTTAGATGCTTCATAGAAACAAAAGTTTTAGCACTTAAATTGAGGAACTTCTCACCGTGGAATATGCGTCAATAGCTATCAGCGAGTCGAAGTTCAAGGTATAAAGAGTACACTATGCACTGTGCGACATATTCAGGCATGCGTGTGTTGTTGCAGTGCATCGATTGTGGCTCCGGACAAGCTTGTGATGGCATGCACGCTACTGGTCCTTGCTCTGAGGGGTTCCTCTGCCTCTCAGGGGTGGGGCCAACCAAGTCTCCCAGCCTCTGGCAGGATCTGTATTTGCCTTCCGCTATACAGATGGGTGGCCCCTGCCCTATAGGTCACTTCTGTCAGGAGGGGGTTTCGCTCCCAACAGCTTGTCAAAGAGGCACATCCACAATAGCAGAGGGTAGCCGCAGTGCACAGGACTGCGTGCAATGCAGCGCTGGTTTTTACTGTAGCCTGAATTCGTCAGTAAGTACCGGTACACAAATGCCTTTCTTGGTCCCGAAATTTGCCTCTGTAAAAAAACTTTCCAACGCGGCCCCCAGTTATACATTAAGTGGTTCCTGCTTGTTGTTCGAATGAACCCCTGCAGGAAGTGCTCGAATGCCCGGCTGGCCACTATTGTGCCCCAGGGAGCATAGATCCCATTCCCTGTGCATCGGGCACCTATAATCTATCGCCACAAGCTTCTTCTGCTGATGAATGTTTGAAGTGCCCTGCTGGCTACGTTTGTACGACAGCAACAATAGACTACTCACAGTGGCCATGCCATGTGGGCTACTATTGCCCAGAAGGTTCTGCATTGCCACTACCGTGTGCACCAGGCACATATGGTGCTATCAGCAAAGCTGAGTCTTCCGAGGACTGCAAGGATTGCCCAGCAGGCAAGCTGTATATGCGAAGTACTGCGTTCATGTGGCACTGCACTCGTGTAACAAGGGCTGCTTAAAACGAGTACAAACGAGTACCAGACCACAGATTAATGAAAAAATTCACCTCATGGACAACCCGCTTCAACAGCTGGGCTCACCACCACCGTTGCCTGGTTGTCAGTGCCTTTACTCATGGTATTCAGGGTACATCTGCATAGGAGGTGACGCGCCTCCTTCTCCTTGCCCCGCTGGAGGATTCTGTGAACAGGGATGTGCAGAAGCCACCCTGTGCCCGGCTGGACGTTATTGCCCTGGAGCCACAGATGTGCCGCTAATGTGCCCCAATGGTTACCACTGTCCTGAAGGCTCCATGCACCCTTTATCGTGCCCTGAGGAGGCCATCTGTCCGGCTGGGACTGGCGAACCAATCATATGCCCTGCAGGCAGCTACAGAACTACCTCGGCCCACTGCATTCAAACACCTTCTACCGAGACCTGTTGTGTGGCCTGCCCTCCAGTAAGCTCTAGATACTGCACAGCTTCAACAAGCTAGCCATAGGATACTGGTGAAATCTTTATAGTGGCTCGGCTTTGTTTCCGGGCTCCCTGGCATCCTCATATACTACCTCACTGTGCGGTGTCCCACTTCATCACTCCAACGTAATTCAGGGAACATACGCCCCCTATTCAGGAGCTTCATCCTGCGATCCATGTCCTGCTGGATACCTTTGTTACGGGGGTACCTCCATGAGTACCCCTCAACTTCCAGAAACGGACAGGGGAGAGCCTTGCCCTGCGGGGCATTACTGTCCTTCTGGGAGTTCCATCGCTCAGCCATGCCCTGCTGGAACCTTCAATGACCAAGAGGCACGTGGCAATCTTCTTGAAGCCTGCAAAGCATGTGATCCCGACACGTATTCTAATAGCTCTGGCCAAACAGGTTGTTTTGCATGCGGCCCAACATCAATTGCCGACGCAGGGCAAACCACATGTACATGCATGGGTGCCCACCGGTGGTTCCAACCCAGTCAAGGTTCATGCATTTGCAAGGGCGGCTTTGAGAGTTATGACACGACGGGAGCGTCAATGTCCAATATTGATTCTGTACTAGACTGCCAACCTATTGTAAAGGACAACTGTAGCGGGACTCAGCTCCAGCTGCTCTCTACTCCTGCCACACAGCTTCGCGCTAGCGATGGCGTTTGTAGGGATCCGTCAGAATGTGAAAAAGAGTGCCCCAGCGGTAAAGGAACCTTCCTAGCCCTGTCAGGGCAGTGTTTTTGCCTGCCTCTTAGAAACAGCGATTCAGTTTGCGATGCCGATTGCAAGTGAGTCCTGGCGTACCTACCGCGCAGGTCTGCTGAGTTTTCCAATGCTCTGCAGTAGATCTGCTCAAGCGGAAGTACATAGTCGGTTCATGAATAAAGCATGAATATATGCTGATATTACTTAGGCACCAAGTACTCCGGGCTCACTACAAGGATTCCGCCTTGATATTTAGTACCGAGGAAGATGGCATCGTCGGTCGAATAACGATTTCTGAGTTCGCGGGAAATGGGAGGGTACTGGGAAAGATTAGATGCTTGGAGGCCAGCTACAGCGAATGTGCAGTCCACTTCTATGAAGCGACAAAGGATGGTGTTTGGGGGCACCTTGGTGTCCCTCAAAGTACGCTGCTAGCCCGTCTTCCTGCACACCCGCATTCAACTTATTGTGGGGGCCTACAAGACAGTGACCATGCGTTCTTTCAAATAACGGAAGAAAGTTGTAGGACTCTGCTCAATAAGCTGCTAGTTATTTGTCGCACACGCTTTCAAACAGTAGTGTGTATGTGATTACAGGTTTTCAAGAAGAATATGGACCTTTTACGGAGCCAACAAAATCAATACAACGCCGATCCTACTTGTCCAGACATTTCCGTGTCTCAAACTCCACTTCAGCAATACATTCCCCGGTGCAGTGTTTGCAGTTGTATGACACTGTTGCATGGTGGGTGGGCGATGGGGTCTATCCCGTCTTTTTAAAAGATTCTCTTCTAAACACCAATGCTCCAGTGGATATATCACCGTTTTTACAACTAGAATCTCAAATTCGTTCTCAACAGGATGCCAGGGGCGCTAACAAGAGTACATTCACAGGGTCCAGCTTGCAGGTAAGGGTGAAAATCGCCCATGGCGTTTTTCACTATTGCTTGGTGCCCTGTTGGACAGAGCCAGCAGTAGATTTTACACTGTATTGTGCTCCTCACAATGTATTCTAGCCATAGCCTTCAGATGTGCGTCCTCACCCGACTAGAGATGTCCACTACCCGTACACACGCAGAGGACACCCAGGAGCTAACATTCAAGTAACTTGAAATAAAGCCTTCTTCGGCCTTCCTATCAGTTTGTGCTACACAGCTTTGTGAGAGGTCATGCCTTGCTCCTGATCTGTGTATTTCTTCAGTATTTTGTATACACATTTACTATGGAGGGAATTTTTGCCTTCGGAACTAGCGAAGACAACGCGCCACAGGCTATATTCTCAGTCGTCGGCATGGGCATGCACTGTCCTTTGGACACACGGTCAGCCAAAAGCCTGCCTGCTTTCCATGCATCGTAGGCGCAGTATTATGTATTACATGCATCAAAAAATGAGGCCGCGTCACCGATACGCCGGTCCGTTCCGCATGCGGTAGTCAACGAAGAGGTCGTTAAAGTATGCACTCGTTTAAACCGAGACAACAAAAAGCCATGAAAGCAGCACCTGCAAACATTTTTGCTACGTTTAGGTACCCCGAGGCAGCATCCCCTTCGTCGCTTGCACGCCTCGGAGTGCAGCTGCAGCAGGTGAATGTAGAGCCAGACATGACTATACTATTGCTGACGCTTTCCTGTTTACTGGCTATTCTGGTCGTTATGTTGGTGTCCATTTCGGCTGCAAGACGGCGTCAGTATCGGAAACGGCAGAAGATGCACCGGAAAGACGTTAACGAGCGTCATGATCTTGTTCTAGGAAGCACGAGAGCGACAACAAGAATGCGAAGAAGGCTAGAGTCATTACTCGCAGATTTGATTGAACAGAGGATCTATACACAAGAAAATTGCACAGTGCTTGCATTGGGCCCTGAGCAGATCGAGCCTATGCTGGGTCATATTCCTCGGGGGAATCCTCAACCACAAGCCTTTGAAAAAGCCTTTGGAGCATTACACAACCTCGAGCGCAAGCTCAAGTCATTTTCTTCTAATGCATCGCGACAGTTCCAGCAAACAGCACAAATCGTGGCGGTGGAACTTAGTGAACTAAAAAAGGAAATACTAGGTGCCCTAGAACCCATCGAGCAGAGGTTACAGGTGAGTATGAAAGGCATATTACTTTGTGCCCGACATGCTAACCAGATCGTCGCAAAAAGGCTTGTCAAAAAAGGATCGTAAACTATCACCCCGCGAAGTATCTTTGTACATCACAATGAGTTCGTGATTTTGGCACGGTAAAACTTAATGGTGTAGTTAATTAGGGAAGACACGTGAAGGAAAATATTGTATGCACCAGCATTTGCGTCCTGTGCAAACAGCACCGCGGCAAGCTTCATGCGCACATGGGCCCTACGCTGGAGAGCATCAGTCGTCTTTTAGGCGATTTGAGATCGCCAGACTTGCTTATGAATGCAATAGCCCGTGGAAGAGAGGAAGAGGGGCCTGACATGGAGGAGTCTGCTCTAATTGCAAAGTTTGTCCTCACCCCTACTAGCATCGGCGTGCCTGCAACCTTCCACGTCCGCCTGCTTCATGCTGCATTATATGGCTTGCGCCTCACCATGAAAAAGTCGGATTGCTTCCACATTTTTGCGGAGACTATTCGAATGTTCAATAAATGGACCGCTGAACTGACAGCTAAAAATCGGCATACCGAAGGGGGGATAAATGCACTTTCCGAAGAAAAGAAGCAGTTGATGCGGAGCGGCTACGACCTACTGACAGAAGGGCGGACCATTGTTTCCGTTGCCAGGGATGCTGAAGAGAGCATCAGAGGTCGTTTCGTGGATGGCACGAGGCGCGAGGAGGAGATGCAGCAAACGTCCATTAAACAGCTTGCTGAAATTTTGTTCTCAGTGATAACTACAGCAATCAAAAACCTTGTGGAGCAAGAAGATGCACTTCTGCAATTGCATCTAAGCCAGTTGACTGGGCTGGTGTATGCTGGAAACAGTTCTTCTAACGGAAGTCAATGCAATGAGCAGAATGCCTCCATCGCAGTCCAGACTTACGGCAAAGCTTGCAGAGCGCACTTTATGCAATCCATGAAGGCAGCAACTGAAATAATACAGAAGCAGTTTGGTAAGGATGAGGTATTTCTCTACATTTTCTTGAGCATAACGTCCTGATCAGCCCTTGTGTAACTGCTGCCCTAAATGTCTTCAAAGAAGAAGCATGGCACGAAAAGGATGTAAAATCATAATTTTTTCATTTAGGAGAGGTCATGGGGAAAGACCGAGAAGCGGCACAAGCACTTGAGCTACAGCAAACGACCCTAGTTACCCTCCTACTAAAACAGAAGGCTCGTGTAGACGAAGAGTACCTGGAAAAAATTCACCGTCTGGAACGCCACCTGATGCTCATTTCCATACAGCTCTTAATATACAATAAAAAAGCACTTGAAGAAGAAGCCTTCGAGGTATTTCATGCCACTGTTCCTATTTCACCGTTTCGAAGTTTTCTTGAGGAACTTTTTCTCATGTGGCCTAACTTCATTTTTAGTGCCTCTTTGGACGGAGGAAATCTGCAATGGGGAAACCTCATCAGAAGATCAATGTAGAAGATGTTCTTGTCAGCTTTCTGCGAGCATCTCTGCAGGCATCGTTATCCGCCTGGACTGAAACATTGCACTCTGGCGTAAGAGCAGAGGCTCAAATACTCCAACGGCAGGCTAAGGCCGGTGAAATTGACGCGTCGGAATACAGACAAAGAAAGGCTTCCATGACCTCTTTGCTCGACCTTGAAATTCAACGGCTCACAAGAGAACAGTTTGCCAACAAAGTGGCTCGCATTGAACGCTTCGAACAAGAAGCAATGCGCGCATACCAACAAATGTAGGCCTCCTCGCAGAACTCACACGCTCTTCGACTGGGCAGTAGATGGGAGACGACTTATGCGTGTGTTTGCCAGAACTAAAGCTCCTTAGTAATACTTCCCTTATGTTCTGTCTATAAGGGAAACTTTTCGAGGATCATTCCAAATATTGTGCTCAGAATGGAGGCAACACACAAACGTCAAAAGCTCGAAGCTGACTTGCAGCAAGCAGAGGCAGATGCGTTGGCCAGCTTGGTGCACAGAAAACTTAAGCATTCCTGGAGAACTGCTGCAGTTGAAAGAGAACTTATGTGTAGTTCTGTGGCTGCGTCGTGGTCACGTACTGTTGCAAACCAGGAAAGGTTTGTTTTCTCGGAGGATTAGGCACCAACGCTCTAACGCACAGCTGGCGATCAACGAACATAGTGATGAGACTTCAAGCCGGCCACTGAAGCTCGGCTTAGTTCTGCTTCATGCAACCTAGCAAAAGCATTTACATACCTCATACCAATTGTACACTGAAAAACTGCCGTTCGGATGCGAGAAAGGCCCGTGATGGCTTTTAAGAATAAGTGGTTGCGACAAACCTTACGAAGGTGGTTGCACTAATTTAGGGAAAACGTGAAATCGAGATTCCATTAGAGTCAACGCAGAACAGCTTTTTTCTCCATGGCATTTTTCTGTGCAGGCTGTTTGGAATGGAAACAGACGTTCAGGAGTGTTTCGCCTTGGCACACCTGCGCATAAGAGACGCCGACGGAGGCTCTACAGGACTCCCGCAAATCCTACACGAACAACAACAGCAAACTGAGTGCACTGTTGAAGATATGATATGCAAGGTGCGAGAGCAACAGGCCAGACATACGGCGGATAACGTGGCCAAAATGGACACATTGAATCAAGAATATGATGAAGAGATGAAAGAAGCACTGGAAGCAGTAAACGCTACGCTTGCAGAGCGGCGTGAGGCTCTTTTGAAAGCCTTATTGCACGAGGCTGGTATTGATGCGGAGGCACATGACAAGCTACAAACCATTGGAGAGGAAGATGCAGTACATGGTGCTGCAAGCTGCCTAGAGGCTGCAGCCAAGCAGTTCTACCAGGATGCTGTTGCAGAGGAGAAGGAACGTTCTGAGGTGGAGGCTTTTGCCAGAGTCGATGGAGATATCCAGCTCCATCAATTTAAGCAGGAAGCTGAAGAGCGCTTGGTCATGCTAAAGTCAGCAATCGACGAGGAGCTCCAGCGCCGCTCAGATGCACTTTCGTCCACCTTCGTGCAGCACCAAGATGCTTGCAGGACAGCACGCCAAACGATTTTAGAAGCTTATCACCAGATAATTGAAAATCGCAATCTAAGTGTGGGTAATTTTTTAAGCCCAACCTAAATCAGCAAACTTAATGCTACCTAGAATGCTTTTCGATGAGCGCCAGTTTACCTGGATTAGATTCTACATGGAAGCTTCCATTTGTCCGTCGAAATAAACAAATGACATTGCTGTTTGTATTCAATAGCATATCGTCACTTTCGATTGGTCTTACGCTTGTTGAACTAGGAAGTTTGGGTTCAAGAGACACTAGATATGATTTGGCCAGTAGCTGCATTTCCCCGTCCTGACCATGAAGTGCACAGAAGCATGCAATCTGCCTTTTCATACTTCCGCACTGACTGGTATGGCTCGTCCATCTCTAAGGTTGACAATGTCCTCTCTACCAGTACTGTATTCATTTACAAAATATAGATTGTGTCATGCGTTTGATTGATATACTGCTGCTTTAAACGCCAGGAGCAGAGTGGGTTCTGTTGTAGCATTGTTCTTCACAGGGAAGAAGTGCTCCTGATATGGCAGTCAGGCCAACTCCAGGAGCGTCTTGAAGCTACTGGAATTCAGGACAACAGGTTGCTGCAGTCAAGAGCATCTGACTGGGCAGCCGCCTTTGCGTCTTCTCATTCAAAGAATCCCGATGAGTCTCAGGTGAACTATAAATTCCAGGCTGGTAACCAACTTTGTACGCTCAGGAATACGACACTGTTCACAACCACGTTTGACCTAGCGAAAAAATTGCTAGGGAGAAAATAATTTGCATGATTCTGAGAAGCAGGTGTACGCGTCAATACCTGGGCTTCTTTGTAAAAGCAGCTAGACGCACGAGCTTGGCCTCATCGGATCGAGCTGCGTGGTAGTGTGTGTTAGTGGACTCTAGCGTTATTCGTGACTCTGCAAAAGGCCTCAGACTGGAAACACGAATGTGCACCAAGCAACTGACTAGGGCTGTATCCTGCTTAAAGCCTTTAAAGTTGCAGCTAAGCTTAAGGTCCTTCTCTGCCCTACGTTCTCAGACGAAAGGAGGTGTTGAAGGTAGTATACATACAGCGAGACCTGTTGAACCGCAGCAATCACGTGTCAACGCAGAGTACTTAGCGAAGAACAAAGCTCTGTTGGACAAGATTGCAGAGGCACAGACAAATCTAGCTCTTGCTGAGGCTGTGATGCTCGAAAAATGTCTCGGTTTTCAAGGTGGAGGCCCAGCTAAGAATGCCGAGGCCGCCAAAATGAAGCGCACGGAAATAGCACGTCTCGCACACCTAAAAGAGGGACTTCAGAGGTAAAAGCACACCATTGCTCGAGCCAAGCCTCGCTAGAACGGGTTTATATTCTGTCGCGCGTTACTCAGCATTCACATCTTTATATTTGGTGGATTGCGAGCTTCAGTGAAGCAGCAGAGATCCGAAAGAAGTTCATCGAGGAAGAGTTAAGGATACTGGAAGAAGACAGAGAGGAAGAGGCACGGCTCAACCGGGCCAAACAAACAGAATCTGCAAAAATTGAAATGCTTTTTAGAGTAAAAGAAGCCAGCGAGGAAGGCTCTGAGGCGCTTGCACAGCTAAAACAGCAACGGGAGCAGGCCCTTGCAGAAATGCTCAAAGACATGCAGGCTGTGCGCGAGACTCAAAAAGCCAGCAGCCAGAGCCGCCTAGCTGAAGCAAAGGCAGCGCTAAAAATGAAGCAAGAATACATTTGCGAGCACTTCGAGGCAAGCAAGCAGGAGATCTTCAAGGAGTTTCAAGACATGAGCAGACTTCTTGCAGAGAAGGCGAGACAGAACAGGAATTCTGCGCTGCTGGAAATAGCACGGAAGGATCCAACTCCCGACAATGTCTTTGAGTAAGGGCTTCACATGCCATATAACTGGCTCTATTTGTGTGTCCTTAGGACTAGACTAACTGACGTGTGCTGCACGACTTCCAACCACAGCGCAGCCAGGTACTTGCTAAAGCGGTCAAGCGGCGACTGGGACTTACTACGACATTCGCATGCTATTGCTATTGCGAAACAACGTAGGCTTTACAACAATATGAAGGCAGAGCACCGCAACAATGTCAAAGCCCTGATAATTAGGCAAATGCAAGAAAAGGCAAAGTATAGACATACCGCCGCAATGGAGCGAAAATCCCAAGAAATTCAACAGGCAGATGAAGAAGAGCCGTGCGTGTAAAAATCAGCAAAATTAATGCAATGTGTCCTATTTCCCAATTAGATCACGCCATTTGTTATGAAATCGGATACACCATGCACTCAGCTACACCTTACTCTGCGCATGGCCCAGACATCTGTAGTTGGTTTATTTGTAGTTTCCATGAGATCTCACTGATTGGTTCAATAGGTTTTGAAACAACGTTCAATTTAGCAGACATCTGTAAGGCGTGATACGTGTTGCAGCCTACCTGCGGCTACGAATTTGAGCAACTCGGACAGGCATGGAGAATTGGAAGCCTACACACGGCAGCGGACTGCACAGCTGCACCAGGAGAAGCTTCAAGATATTCAAGGGGCCGCCCAAGACGCAGCACTTCAAGACGAGATATTAAGATTGCACGAGCAGCACCTTGACCATGTTATTAATACGCTCCAAGAATTTATAAACTTTAAGGATTCACCAGCAAGTAGCTTACTTGAAAATGCTAGAAAGGTATTGCTCACTACTCACAAAACGCTCGCAATGAGGGCGTGTATAGGCCCTTGGCACCCCTGATCTGGCGTTGAATTTCCACTGGCTGTCTCTTGTGAGTAGGAATATAGGTGAACTTCGATGTGCTGCCCTTTGTTGATCCAAAGCCATATTCTACTTTATCAGTGTAGTGGGGTAACCTTCACAGTATTTTGTGGTGGGATTTGTCCCGTTGGATGATTTTTGGCAAAGACGTGGAGATGCGTTCTACGAGAATACTTTTTGTAGATTAGATTGGTAGCTGCAGCATTGCTAGACGCTGAACGTTAATGGACCTCTAAAACTGTGAAGGAGACGAACACACTGAGCACATATTTGCTTGTAGCTTACGCTTGAACAGGAAAAGGGAAGGCTGGTAAAGGAGCGCGAAGAACTGCGTTTATTTGTTACTGCACGGCTCCAAGAGGTGGAAAAGCTGTCTCGCGAGAGCAAGAAGCAAGAAGAAAAGAAGAATCAACACGAGATCCGTGGCGCCTACAAGCAACTTAATGCTAATATCGAGAATCGAAATTCGGCAGCTCAGAAACGCTGTCTAGAAAGAGAATCCATGAGACAGAGCGAACAGCAAATGGAAGAAGCGCGCAAGCTGCACCATTTTATTGGAATGATCGGATTCGATGGCACGACTCTCGAAGAGCTCAAGAAGGCCTCAAAACGCCGTATGGAAAAGCTGCATCGCGCGACAGAACGCGAGCGTCAAAGGCAGAAAGGGCTCTTGGCATCTAAATGTAGCGCAAGGGCTGCTAGGCGAGCGAAAACTCTCCAAAGCACCGCACAGGTGAATTTCGATTGCGAAACTCGTCTCAGAGAGTACAAGATGGTTACGCAGACACTGTACAAAACACTGCCTGTGTTGCTTTAAAAGACTACATGGTACAAAAAACTCATCTCATGGGCGGGTATTTCTGGAATAGCAGGTATTTCACCTGGTGGAAGCACTTCTACATTTGTACGTTGCTCATCATTAACAAAGATGCATTCAGTGTCGGTGCTGCAGCTCGCTGGCCATTCTCAAAACTAGCGACTTATTTTTCTCTTACTGGTTCAGGCAAACAGGGATCAAATGGATATGCAGAATGCACAAGGCATGCTGCTGTCGATTGCGGCTAAATGCACAGCCACGATTGGTGAAGCTTCAGATCCTGATGCTGCTGGAGAAAGGGAGTTCCGAAAGTTTGCATGGAAGATGGAGGTTAAAAAATTCGCTGAGGAGAGATTTAAAAGATTGGGTGAAGCTCTTGCAGAGTTTCTTGAGAAAGCTGAGAGCGCCACCTCATCCGCGAGAAGAGAGGTGTCACCTGACATCCTGGGTGGTGGAGAGCTCAAGCAATCCGTGTTTCAGGTATGGATCTGAACACAGCAACCTGGATCTTTGATTATTTTACTCGCACTTAGCTTTCAAAATTTCGCACCACCTAGCTTAAGTGATCATATGCCACCTGATAGATTTGTACCAAAATATTGGACAACACCACCCAGTGAACCGTTTACCAACGGCATTGGAAGACACACTGTCTTCTGTACGATGAGCCGCTTTGTGCGCTATTTATTTGCGGTGCACTTTTAGGTAACAAGGCTTTTGGAAGCCATTAACGCGGTGCACATGGCTTCAGAGAGTTAGTCCTTCGACAGTCAGGGAAAGACCTTCGCAACAAGCTTGCTGCCCTAAAGTTAAGAATTCCCACCGGCTCATTTGTTCCCACGCATCTACGAAGAAGCATCAGACCGATTATGATGCTCTGTACGTCGTGTGACAAAGATCTCACTTCATTTCCTACAAGCCATGCTCTCTGTTTTTCTAGTATAGTTTCTGTAGTACAATGAACTGCATGGAGGCAAGCAAGTTGCGATAGCGTCACCTACAAGGGTCCTTGCTGCTCAGCGGCATCTCAGGTATACAAAACCTAACATCAATGGTGGTCGCATTTAATGGCTTGCTTTCCAAGTTATGCCGTGTATGTCATTTAAGTGGTGACCACACCACAGTAGTTCGAATACTAGCTAGCAGCCTGTGAAACTGGGAACATAGAGCATCTATTTTATCCTTGTTAACATGGTGCATGCATGCTGAAGCATTGCTGGCTTGAGCACGCTACACGCAGGAAGTGAACTTTAGATGCATAATCATACAAATGTAGATGGGGTATGAGCCAAAGAATGCTTGTATTCTTAAGAAGCTAGTAGCCTTGTCACGATAATTTAGGGTAGGCTCTCCTATTGGGAATAACGTCCCGAATTTCCTGTTTTCTGGACGGCTGTATTAGTGCATACGAAACAACTAAGTTTCACGACATTGGATAGTACGGTGGCGCTCATACGCATCGTCCAGTTCCATCAGTCTCATTGGTTTGAGGCAAACTTCCTGCCGACTATAAGTAACGTGGATTTAAAGAACAGACAATAATAAGGATCTCAGCAGGCTTTTCTGTGGGCAATGTGCCCACTTTGGAGTAACTCCATTTGGTAGTGAATCATTTACTTCAACGATTTCCATTGGCACGGGCTGTGTGTAGATAGTCAAGTTACACTTCAATACTTTTTGTTAGACTTGCTAATTAGTAAAGACTTCACTAATTGGTTTGTACTCACGTTCATCTTTTCCTTGTCGAGTGCTTCTAGCTTGATACTAGAAGACTCGACGTTGTGTGCCTGTCCGCTAGATGCTATGTGTGTCTAGCTGTGAATGCTCGGATACTGCGAGTGTAGCCAGGCGCATCCTGCCTGTTTCTTTTCGCTCTTGTTGGGAACTCCTAGCGGCGCGAGCAATGAATGAGGGGGCCTCTTTCGTAAGAGAATCAGTAATTTCAATTAGTGTTCTTGAGCGCGCAGTTTATTGTATCTATATATAAGCCCCGAATAGCGGATTACAGTTGGTAGCATTGCATTATGTGATGGAGCTCTTCCCTGCTTTTCTACCGGCTGTAAATGCACTGCATTGCCAGGTGTCCCTGCAGTAGCTGTCTCATTCAATCAGATTATTCAGCAGTTCAATAGATAAAGTTTTCGACACCAGCTCAATACAAATGAAACCTGTGGCGATTGAAGCTGTTGTTGGCGGTAGGCCTCTTGGGGTGGCAGACGAGGACCTAGAAGCTTGTAGGCTCGGAGAAGCTCCACAGGTGGTGGGAATGCATGGAGTGTCCTCGGATAAATTGATTATGGATGTATCCAGGATTTTATCAAGACCGGGAAAGTGTGACCGGTGTATGGATAGGCAGGTACACCAGACATAAACAAGACAGACAATCGTGGCCAGGTGGCTGGGACCATTTCCCATTCCTCTTACGAATAAGTGGATTTTCGTTGTTCAATCCATCTTTAGAAATGTTGGAGATGCTAGTAGACTATCAATATTGGCTTTCTACGTAATTGTCGAATACCCCTTAATAATTTGCTGACTTTACCACGCAAGCACATGACCCGTGGGGAGGCGAACAATCCTGAAGGAGCTGTAGAAGTGCTCGGGATTACTGAGCACTTCGAACACACTAGACGGAAGTTTCAAGTGAATTAGCTTGTAGCACATCAATCCCAAGGAGTTAACGGAGAAGTTGGGGGATTGATTTGCGGCGGGATAATTTGCGGCTCAGCTTCGTTCACAACATTAGTTGCCATGGACGACATTCCCGGCATTCGATTGAAGTTTTCCATCCCCAGTATATTCTTGATGCCTGGAAAATCTGACTTTGTGGTTGAATATTGCTTGAATAGTTCCCGGCTATTATTATGTTGTTCGGCATACTCAGGTTTATGCGCAGGCATTTTTAAGCTTGTTGTTCCTACATTCTTCTTTGTGTCTCTTCGGAACTTTCAAGTCGACAATCCTGCATGCACCGACTGTAGTTGCATGTAGACAATGGTTTGTGAGACGTGCAGGCACTGCTAAACTAGTGTATGCCTTTTAATTATGGCTACACATTTTACTTGCCTTCTTCAGCGGAAGAAGGCTCACGCATGTAAGCGCTCCGACAATAGCGAGGCACCGCGCCGCCGCGCTTGTGCTGACCTGATTAATCCTTCGTTGCTGGCTAGTGTGAGTGTCTTTCTTTCTTGTATTTTACTGTTGTTGTCGATGAACACGTTCGCCCCCTTTTTGCACGGCACTCGCGTTCCTGCCTGCGTGGCGCATAGCAATGCAGCAGGAAGTATATCGTTGTCGTACATGCAGTTGGTCTCGATGAGCAAGTACAGAACACAAGAAAGTGCCTGTAGAAGTGAGCGGGGGAATGCGATGCGGAAGAAGCTACACTATAAGACATTCTTCTAAACTAGCTATACTGAAGGAAGATTTAGAAATAATTAACTGTTTGGGTGGTCTGTTCTTATGTACCTTCAAATATCAAAGTGCTTCTAGTTCGACACAAGAAGATGCAGTGTTGTATGAGCATGCGCTAGATGCTGTGTGCAACTGGCAGTGAAATCTTGGATTGCTTGGAGGGTGCAGCTAGACGTATCAGCTGTCCGCCTCTCCTCATATCAGACACTTTGAAGGGCATGGCCAGAAAACGGAGGGAGCATTGTCTGGAAATAGTTTCAAAATTTCTATTAGGTGTGTATCGAGTTCGGATATCACTGCTGATAGAGCGCTACACTTCTTGCCATCCCACGACCTTCGTGAGACTAAGTGCATCATTCCTCGAAAACAGACTGCCTGTCATCTGCAGGGGTGTCGATCTAGCCTGCAGCCAGTAGCTGCAATCAATTGGTGAGTGACCTCAGGTTTAGACAGTGAGCTTGTCCAGAAGCCGTTGGTTGTGCTGCTAGAGTGTCCTCTGGTGGCTTGTTGAAAAAATGGATGATATCGTCGAACCCTCTGCAAACGTTTGTGCTGTTTCAGTGCCTGAAACTTTATTCCGCTTAATGTGGTGCCATACAAACGATGAAGGCTATATCTCTATTGCCTACATGCAAACGCCCAGTAGTAACCACATGTGGAGGTTGCTGGCGCACCCAACGCAAGTGCTCACTCACTTTGGAGGAGTCCTCATCTCCTGCATGATAGCTCCTTTGTACGCGAACTGTTGTTTTTTGGTGTAGTGAATTAAGCACTACAATCATGGCCATAACTGCAAGCCATGGATTTATCAGTGCTTGAATCTCCTTTTTGTTGCGTTTAGTGCTGCTACAGACGAGAATTGCAGAGTGCTGGATGAGTGTGCTTGACCTTCTCACGAGAAGGCACAAATAGGGGCCTTGTAGATCAGCGAAATGCCCTACGTGGCTCGACTACACTTGCAAAAGCCGCCGCAGCTCTACACCAGCTAGATCATCAGCAAACTTGCCGCTTTCTCCACAGGCACAAGCCCCAACCAGCAGCTCATTGTTTATATGGCGCTTCCAAATGAGTTTTGGGCCTTTCTCGAGCCTCCTTACTACGATTGAGTAAAGAGATTGCTAGCGACTGAGCGCACGTGGAAATACGAAAAACTAACAAGCTTTCTCCTCCGCCTTCCTAGAATTCCATGCAAAGTAGGTTCAAATAAGGAATCAGTGTGCTCTGTTCGAAAGTCTGTAAGAACAATTGATGAAGATGCCCTTGAGAATAGTCTCCATATCCACGGGTTCACGCTAGCTAGGCAGACTACGTGACGCCTGCAAACCAGCCCCCACACCAAGAACAATACTTGTTTTACCTCGTCACAGTTTAGTGCTTCAAGGGAATAGCCGAATCTATGCGAAATCAACACATATAGACTGGTCAGCCCCGCCGGCCCGCGTCTCCCCCCCTGGCCCATCGATCACCAGTGCCGTTTTAGCCACAGGTTGCCAGCAGAAAACGTTTTGCTGCTTACTCATTATTCATTCCAGCCCATAATCAATATCACGGAATGGAGCACAGCTGGCACGGAGCTTGGAATAGTATCGTTCCTTACAATCTCTCTAGCCATGCAGAACCGGTTTAGCTTACAACACAAACGATTATGCATACGCACTGATTTGTTGCGGCCTTAGGGACTGGCAGGCTGTGGTCCCACAGGAACCCTATTTCTTTAGGTGTATGCATTTAGAGCATGCGTTTAACGGCGAATAAACCGGTTGGTAGTAGTATTTTACTGCTGCTAAAACACACTAACTATGAATGCTTTGACGACTTTAAGTGCGCAGCAACATGCACCTCAGGTCTTCTCTCACACTCAGGCCAGAACCCTTAGTGGCAACGATAAGCAAGCGAGGGAGATCTTATGGAAGAACACTCAATACCTTCCTTAAAAGTATTTTCTATGGAGTAGGGAGTTAAGTGTCTCCACACAGAGACCTGTTGATCGTCATGGCAAGGGTCCGGAAAGTATTTCCTGACACTATTACACACATTAGTTTTTAGACACGGAATTATAATTCAAAGTTTCCCTAATTTTTTTGGCGCTCAACTCGAGCTCCCTGTCCTACTTTGCTGATAATTGCGTAGACAGTCCGTTATAACGAGGACCACGATCATTCCCACCTGCCACGCCCAGCACCTATGCTAGCTCAATTTATGAGCAATGAAGACCTACGTTAAGGACTTATTACCTGAACGCCAACCTGTGTAGGGCGCTTTTGTCCAGCAGTGAATATTGCACTTTACTTCAACTTTGGTGGCAATTTCACTGCGTCACTCGTAGTTCACGACTTTCAAAACCTATCGTTTATCATGTTTCTAGTTGGTAAAGCTAACCCATATCAACAGACTTAGGTTACTGTGGCTGAACAGTCTTTGCACTTGGTATGCACACCACACACCTTCGTTCGCACAACCGCGATAATTATAGCCAAAAGCTCGCCACCATTATTTTGAGGGGCAAAAGGCGAAAAGACCTCCACAAGCATATAAATGCATTTAATTATCCTTATAGAAGTGAGGTGAAAGCTCTTGTGTAATAGCACTGCGCTTGGCCAGTGGCTCCAGAGCCCCAGTAGCGTGCATCCCGCGAAACCTTGTGTTCAGATGGGGCGCGTGCTGCATCGAACGCAGTTGGCTGAAATAGCGTCCGAGAATTGCCCATAAACCAGTAATTGTCAGCTTAAAGGCCAATTAGTGGATGTTTGCGAACGTGCATAGAGACCTTTGTTTTCATTGCTGTCGGTACTGCGAACAAGCCGGTTCTAGTGGTTTGCTCAGTAGCACGAGCCTGTGCATGTTTATTCCTCTCTTGCTTCACCTCATTATACAACCTGAGATATAACGTAGCTGATGCCCGTTACCAGGCTCTAGGCGAAGAGAAGTCTAATGCATGGACTCGCGTGTATCAGTGTAGGGGACTATCTGCCCACAGGCATCCTTGTGACCTTGAATTTTGCCAACCGCTTGGCTCCCACTTTGGCTCAGACGGGAGGTATAATTAGTCTGCATTACTAGCTCAAAGTAAAGGTTATACTTCACACTGTTGCCTTATGCGAGGCTCCATGACGTGGCGCCGTGCACCGTCTTCGCCCCCCGTTGAGGGTCCATACACGCGTCAGGCAAGAAGGTATATGGTCCAGCACGGCTCAGGGCAATTCATGACGGCCTCTTCTACGTGCATAGACACATACAACACCCCGGGTGTCCTCCATTGCTGTCAGGCCATTGAGCGTGACTGCGGAGGTGAGGTGCGCTCTACTTCTCAAATTCGAAATAAAATGGGAAAGGGAATCATAGTAAACAAAGCAACGCATGAATCCTGGTGCTTTTCCAGCTATGGTTTGCTCTCTGGAGAAAACAATGGCCAAACTCGATGCTCTTTGAATTGGGTGGTTTGGTTCAACGATGCACATAAGCAACACGGGATCATCTTCCGATAGAGCCTTGATCGACATAGTTCGAAAACTTGTATGCAACACCAAGAGTTGCAGTGCCACTTCAAATTAGAAGCTGCATTTTGCTCTACGTACTCTTGGGTCGGACATCCTAGCGCCGGTTCATCGCTATTCGAGCCAAACAGAGCTTGCTAAATGTCACGTACCACTCGTCGCAGGATCTCCAGAAACTTACTCTGAGAAGCTGCGGCTACAATTGGCAAGCCTGGCGCAACGGTTTGCGGGGTTCAAGTCATCGATAGCCGAGGACACAAGAAGGAGGCGTCTGCTTGAAGAGGAAAGATATAAGGTGCGCACGTGTTCTGTATGCGGAAATCGTGCGCGTATATGCCCGCTTAGAAGGCGCAAAGTCACATTTGGACGCGCATGCACACAGCCAGATAACGCTTACGCAAAGGTGCCGACTTGAGAATCTGCGGTGGGGCAAACATGGTTACTCGAGTATGGGGAATACTCAACACCCCACACAAATAGTAGTCAAATAAGTCAAACACTGCACATACGATGATGCATGAGAAGATATAGCTCGAGGAATGCTTGAGTTCGCACAGATTAAAATGCGTATGTTTCTTCTTGGCAGCAACTACATCATGCCCTGCAAGCGATTGAGGACGGAATAGCAGTAGAAATGAGGAAAAGAGGAGAAGCCAGGAAGATGCTAGAGTCTTTGGCTAAGAAAATTGCTACAGAGATGCTAGAGAGGCTGCAAGCAAAAATAGGGAAACACATAGCGCATTTGACTGTGGGTTTACAATCTCACTGAGCTTTCATGAGGAAGGAACACCACAATGGCCCTAGTCAACAAAGGGACTGCATCACCTGCATAGGGGCCCTCTATGTTGCCTCCGAAAAGATCCTCTCGTAGAAGTGCTTCGACTCATGTGTCGCTTCAAAGCACTGTGCTCACCAATACGATGCATCGCGGCGGGAACTGTGATACCTGCGTCCGCAGGGCGCTCTTGATCATCTTATAACGCGCTGCGAGGAACTGGAACAGGGGGTCAATTGCCTCAAAGGAGAGCACGCATCAAAACTTTTAGTCCGATGCAAACTCCTATGAACACCAAACTCTAGATCCAGGGAGCATAACGGAAGTGCAGTGTGCTTTACACAGCTATAAACGAGGCGCCATGATCGACTTTGCAGAAATGTAGTTGTTCGAAACGTGGCTTCGCCAATGCACATGGCTTCTTTCGATAGGCTGTCTTATTTTTCCCTTCAATGTTCAACCTGTAGGCTGAGCAGGATACTTCATGCAAGCAGCTCTCTTTGGTCTCTGCTCTATTGTTTACTTTAGAGGCAATCTGCTGAGCTAATGGCGCGCTGTAGAGCAACTCGGGCAGCGTTTGAGGCAGAGGTACTCTCCAGGAATGAAAGGGAAGACGCAGCAGGAAATAAGCTGGAGGAGCTTTTAAAGAGCTTAGACTCGAAAGTTGAGAGTGAAATAGCAGCACGCCACCAGCAAGTTGCAGCTGTCAGAAGGGACGTCGGCTTGTTACTCAGGTGAAGCTTCCAGATGGCAGAGCTGGAGCGCTCTTGCAGATAAAGACGCGAGGTTGTTGCTCGAGACTACTTTAAGCATATGCACTTGGTTCAGATTTGTGCTTTTTGATGCATGCGTAAGATGGCTGCTTTACCACCATAGCAAGGCAAGTGCTGACTTACATGGTCTAAAGTATGATACTTTGCATGAGCTCACGCTTGGAATGGTACTCTTGTGCACGCCTTTTCCCAATTACAGAGGAGACCAGCCTAGAGAACAATTCCACACATTCGTGAAAGAAGAGTTAGGGGAATTGCGTGAGGGCCTGACAGCTGCAATGCGTGCCAGGGAGGAAGCGGATGACGAAATACTACAAGTACGATCCCAACATTGCAAGTTTGTCTTTTCGTTGCTCGTTGCATTAGGCTTGCATTCAGTGTTTTCACACTGACAGGCTATTTGTAGATAATGGTGATGCACATATTCGAACACGTGCAAACACTTGCTTTTCCCTTTGCAGGCAATAAACGAGTATACAACCGCTCTACAACGGGGGCTCCAAAACGTTAGTGGCTTACATACCATCAGTTCTGTTTTGTAGAGCACCTACTTATTTTGATATTTTTTCCTGCTTCGTGTCTAGTTAAGTGTGCGCTCTTCGTTACAGGAGCAACCCGCAGACTGTTTGTGTCCAGAGAGGGTGAGGGGGAGTAAGACGAGGGGTACAAACAAGCAATAAAGCTAACCGCCATGTAGCGACACAGGTATGCAGTTGCATACCGAATAGCTGGACGCCACAACTGTTGACTGAATAGACCTGCAGCTCGGTCTAAACTATTTTAGTCATTGTGCAGCGGGAGTAGATTTTCCATCACCTTCGACCACCTTCCGCATAAATTGCATCCACAGCTTTGCCATACCATCCGTGGGTGCACAAGAAACCCATGTCACCAAACTTTTGCACCATACCCCAATGTCCACTACGCGTTATGGCCGTTCGAAAATTTAAGGTTTTTTCACTGATACAAAGCCATACAGCAATCAGTGGCACACTCATAAAGGTTCCCGATAATGGCCGAGCGCTCTTTACCCAGATAAATCAGTCGCTCTGCATGACATTGTACCGGGGACATGGAACACTTGTACCAAAAACCACGTGTCCACAGGAGACCTCCACGCAGGGGGCTTCGCAGAAAGAAGTGCAATTGTTCGTTGCGCATTTCATAAAACCCGTCCTAAATTTACCCGACACGCATCAACGAGGAATTCGAGGTCCTTAAATGCAGTGAAATATAAGTAGGTACTAAATATATACATCAGTGCATCTAAGAGCCCTTTCTTTCTGTTCTGATCGCTGTGACCAGTTGTCTACACGGACAAAGTAAGGAATATAACGGAGGAAGATATTGCAGCTTATGAACCGCCTTAATCTCGACATACCAAGTGCTCAAAATATTGTAAGCAACTCAACGTGCAAGTGGTACATTAGATGTGGACTAGCGAGCCCGATAAATTTGGAGCAGGGGGAAGCTGCGCTCCGTGGCATCAACCGGCTTCGTTCACTAATTGTGTGCACTTCTTCACAACATTATAATTATCCATAGCATTTCCCTGAAGGCATTTGGCCAGAAATTTGAGGCCGAGCAAGTTTTCATTTGTGGAAGCTGGAGAGAGCGCAATACGAAGTTTCTGGGCTGCATGCGCCTGTAAAGGGTGAGCATGTGCATCTCCTAACTACCTTCCGCGGACAAACTATTAACAGCCATTGTGTCCTCTAAAATTATCCAAGTAAACTATAGCGTTATTATTCAGCTGCTAAACGCTTCTGGGTATGGTGATTCCTCAGATGAGGCTGACTTTCTCTTAGGTGTGCAAGTTGTGGGTCACCCTCATAAAACGGGTGGACACATCTGCCGTGCCGTTGTCCGTGCGTTGCTTCTTGGGGACGTATTCCATTAAGCATTTGGGCGCCTAACGCAAACAGTGCCTGCGTCTGATTTCGTTGACAAATATACATGTTTTGACTTGTGATCCATCACGTTCTTCACCAGTGGTACGCAGATATGCATTATGTACCTATACTGTTCTAAAGAATATACTGAGCCGCCTCAAAAACTAGCGAATGGGTCAGATGATACCATGAAGAACATCCGATACTTCTAAGGGTCCTGGGTGACAACTGTTGCACTCCGCAACAAAGCATTCGGTATGCAGTTTCCCTGGCGTCGGCAAATACTTTGAAAGCCTTCTGTTCTACTTTACTGCGCGAAATAAGGAGTGCTTTTTCCCTGAGAGCTAACTGACTTATCCAAAGCCTTTTTGCACCATATTTTGTTATGTTATCGGCAAAAAAGATATACATGCCAGTCTCTTTACCTAGATATTTGCTGAATGATGATCAATATACAGCCCTTGCCAGCACGGGGCAGGCCAAGGTGTGGCAAATTTTTAGGTTAATAGCCAGGAGGTCGACACAGCCCGGAGGCGCGCTGTAAGATCAGAGATAGATATTAGCTGGGTGTGTGAAAATAGAGACGCTTTCGGCGTCATTCCCCGTCACAAGTAATTTAAAGGTCTAACGCGTATGCATTACACTTTGCTTGCTTGTTGTACTTGCGCATAGTGGAGCACACCAACGAAGCAAACTTTGGACGGCGACGCACCATATGGAAGCATAGTCCCTTTGCTTTAAAAAAATCCTACCTGGCACTCATGTTGCAGCTTTATGCCTACATTTTTGCGTCACCACACGCCCTCGGCTTGCTTTGCTAGGATATTAGGGCCCAACTGTGTGAACTTGAGTGACCACGGCTTTGAAGAACAGAAGTGCTTGGGGGTTAAGCAAGCGCGATCGAGACGGATTCGAGTAACGAGGAAAAACTCATCATCAGCGTCGTTATTGTCTTCCAAAAGCCAAACTCATTATCGTTGAAGGAACTCGGAAGCGCGACGTGCCCCGAATACGGAAATGGAACATGGGTGGACCTTGAGGGATCGTTGAAACAATATCTATGAGTACTTCCCCACCAAGATGCCAGCCTATTCAGATGTTTGCGGTACTCTACCGCATTACTGTGCTCATCCGGCTGGAGAATGCCGGACTCCCAGAAATATTTCCTCCCGACCCCACACTTATAGAAGCTGCTCTGGCCATCTTAGATTTCCCCGCTGGGAAATTGAGCTTTTAGATGAGTGTAAAAAGGAAAATTCGTCACAAAATGCAATCTGCAGCGATCAGGCTCATCATTCCCATTCTCTAGAAGGAGCTGACCCGGAAGCCCTGGTTAGCCTACAAAATGTGGCTCATACTTTCGTTGATCTATATCTCTGCCAGGTATAATTGCCAGGCTGCTTCTTACAACTCCTGTACGGAAGATGCCAATGTGTGTTGTGGACAGCTTAGCCACCAAAAGGGTGTCCACCCCCGGATTGAGTATGTTAATAAAGATAGTGCGCGCTCACTCATTCGAATTGAATCTTTACACCACCAGCTGGCCGCCTTGCGTGAGACGAATAGGACGCTGTCTCGCGACATCACAGACCAAGGTACGTGCTGTTTAGTGCATTACTTCATGCTTTATCACTAGAAGTATATTTACGCAGCAGGGCCTCATGTGGCCCTCCAGTGCATATTTGCGAATAAATGCTTACAGCTCAGGAGCTTTCAGCAGTTCGTAAGCAATACATGCGACAAACAGCTGAAGTAGCAAGGCTCTCTGAGCAGTACGATGCGGTCAGGGCTTCATCAGATTCAGCTACACTAGAGCTTGCAGCAGCCAAAAAACAGCTGTCGATAGCGAAAGCAGAAGCAGGACTTGCATCGAGTGATCGTATTGACCTGTTGAAGGAAAACAGTCACCTGAGGCAGGAATACACTCAAGCAATGGTACAGAAACGCCACTGCTGTACCGGCTTTGGGATGCATGGATCATAAAAGTCGATTGCAATCATTGCATCTTCCCTAACCATTGCAGGCCGGAATCACTTGCTGTCTAGAAGGCTCACAGTTAACACTTGCAGTTGCTAATATCATGCTAAAAAGCCCGGAAAAGGGCAGGATCGTCGTAAGGACTAGGACTTGTTGGTGACTTTCTCATGGATGCAGGCACATATTGCCGCACTGCAACAAGACCTAAGTAGATTGCATTCAGTACAAAAGAACTTTGTAGAGGCAGCTGACTCACTAGACCGCTGCAAGCAACAGCACGCTGTTGATCAAGAGCAGATTCTACAACTGCAGGAAGAAGTTAAGGCGCTCTTACACAGCAGGAAGCACGCACTACTTATTGAGGTTCAGCATTGACACTGTTAGCACACAGTTATAAGCGGGCTCCGGTGCTTAGGAGTTACTTAAGGTAGCTCTGCACTGAAGACTTCAAGCATTAAGACCTTACGGCGACCCCTGCCCTTTTGCCTTCAGCGAGAGGTTGATACTGTAAGGAATCAGAATGCCAAGCTACAAAGTGAACTACAAAGTGCCAGAGAGACACTGAAGTCCTACCAAGATATCGCTGATAGGAATTGCTGGGTTGGTGTCCTGAAAGCAGTCCGGCAGTCAGCAGAGAGCATTAGAGCATGACCTGACATTTGTGGCATTTTTCTTAGCTTGCCAAGCGCCACACAACCAGCTGTGCTTCTTCGTGTTCTCAAGCTAGAAGACGAAAGAAAAAGGCTTCTTGCGCTCGAGGAGGAGTGCGCCCGGATTCACGCTCGATTAGAATGCGAAGATCGCATCAAAGACGTCCGTGTAAAACTAGTGTGTCATTAAGGCTTTCTGTTAGGCTGGCCGCACTATGATGCAGCCATTGGTTTTGTAGGCAAGGTGTATTTGCCGGATATGCTACTATCCAACGGATTAGACGAGTAACTTAGTACCATTGCGTTGAGGAGGAATCAAGCTAGGGCAAACCATTTCCTCCAGTAGCCTTTAACATTGTTATTTAGCCTACGACTACTTGTCAAGCTCTACACTAGATCTCGTCTGTGACTGGCACGCAGGAGAGGCACTCACAGGCGCTGCTACAGTTGAAGTCAGCATTGTCAAATGAGAAGACTTTGAGGCAAGAGCTAGAAAAGCAGTCTAATGAGGTGGTTATGCTTACCGCGGAACTTAGCTACGTAAGGCATAGGTTACATTAGTAGCTTCACAGGGAAAGGTGCAGCGCTATGATTCAACTGTATATTAGAAATAGATGCTGGTGTCCGGGAGACAACCACATGCCACACTTATTTAACTTGTTAAAAGTTCCGTCAGCAAAGATTACAATGACTCAGGCAAAAGAGCGGGATACGCAGAAAACTGAGCAACTGCACTTTGCGCTTGACAAAGCAAAACAGCTCGAAACAGATACAGAGAGGCGAAAGGAAGAGATTCAGCACCTTGAGGTTGAAAATACCAAGCTAACTAAGGAGCTTGAAGATTCTGCCAAAAAGCATCTCGACGAAGTTGCGGAATCATTTGCCGAGAAACAAAAACTTAGAATAGAGCTGGATGCGTCGAAAGACTGCAGCAACCGGCTCGCCGCGGAACTTCAGATCCTCAAAGAGGCTGAATCCCACCGCATTGAGGCACTGCGCCGCTCTCGTGAGGAGATAAAGGCACTATCCAGTCAAATGCAAGAACTAATGCGTCACGCGGAATCGGCACACGTGAGATCTGGGCTGTGACTGGGGGCTATTCATCGCTGAGCACGTGTGCATCAAGATGAATAGAAATGAGTGGACCCTGAACACTAAAAGGTAGGCCTCGCGCTATTGAGTTGCTGCAGGAATCCCAACAGCTACAAAGAGCAGAATTTGAGGCAACCATTGCGACGTTGGAACAGCATTCCAAAAGCCAGGAAACTGCCCTTCTCAGGACACAAAGTGTGAACGAAGAGGCAAGAGAGGAGACGCTACACTCTGCCCTCGATGTAGTTGGACTATGCCTGTACACTTACTTTGCGGCTCTTCTGGACATAGCTCGAGAAGCACGCCGTGTGGAAACGAATTTAAAATTGTGAAGATCAAAGTACCCTTTAATTTATGCTCCCTAAACATCCACGGTGAAAAGATGCCTGAACTGCATGCAGCTAGAGACAATGTTGGGGTCTCTCAAGCAAGAACTGAAGCAAAAAGAGTCAAGTGAAAGTCAGATGCTTGGCCGCATCAAGCTAGAGTTACAGGAAGCGCAGCAACAGCAAGACCTTGCACTCATCAAGAAAAAACAGTTGCGGACACAGTTGTTGGAAGCTACGAGAGCACTGCACTTGACTAGAGTCCGGAATGAAGAGGTCAGCAGCAAGCTCGCATGGATTTTTTGGCAGCTCCGACAAATAAAAATCATCGGCGCATCCTACTGTCAAGTATATAAGATATTTCTCGAGCACGGACAATAGGGTACCAAAGCTGCAACACATGTGCTAACTATGTAACTGTGCTGCCACTGATTGGTTTTACGCACAGCTCAGCGCTCGGCTAAAGGAGGCAAGAGTGAGCCAGCGCAGACCATGGGTTGAATGCTGCACTAAAGAGCGCCAATCTCAACGATGGGTTGGACTTTGAGTTGTTCTATATGCCTTTTCGTGGCTTTTTGCTACCGGCGTCATCTTGAAGATCACCAGAGAAACAATCGTGTTTGAACTAGCCCGACCTTCGTCAAACCAAAGACAGACCTTGCGAAAGCCAGAGCAACTACGACTGTGAGACCTGTTTGCAGAATCATCATGCAAAAATAGTAGCAGATGGCGCTGCTAAAGAGAAGGTGTGCTCTTCTCCTACCAATGTAACGAGCGCCGCATCTACTTTCCTCTGCTCCCTTAGTAGGAGTGTGCCCGCCATGAGTTCCCTATTTCCATCATGGCTGTTAGATGCTAGGTTTATTATCATTGTATGTCAAATATGCTTGACCGTATTCATGAGCTGCGCTTTTAGGACTGGGCCGAGAAGTATGCTGGTCTTGAGGCGAAATTAGAGCTGGTGCAAAAGCACCATGAGCTTGAAGTTGGCAAGCGACAAAAACAAGGCATCGAGATGCACCGACAGCAGCAAGAGCTCGCCAACTGCACGCAACTGCTCCACGTAAACTATGTTCAAAGCTTTATTTAGGGTTGGACTATGACAAGCTTGCAAAGGTGTACCGCAGTAAATAATTCTACACCGTTGCGAGCTGCACAATGTCATGGAGCAAGTGTTGATTTGTGCCGTGTCTAACCGTCGCACAGTCGTTACAGGCTAGACACAAGGATCTGGAAGAAAGTTTCAAGGAAAAGGATGCTGAATTAGCTGCGTGCAAATCCCAGGCAAGGGTAAATCGATCTCGATTAATTCTTATCTCCTGCTCTGTTCCAAAAAATGTGGCCAAGCGAAGCATATTGCCATATCGCTCATACAGTAGAGCACTAAAAAGATACGCACTAGTATTTGTCTTGAATTGCCGTGTCCACACAGAGAGAATCAGTGGAGAGGGCTGAGGCTGAAGAGGCATGGGCAAGGAGTATTGAGGAACAAGTGCAACAGAGAGTGTCAAGCCTGGAAAAAGACTTCGCAATGCGCTTAGCGAAGTAGGCTTTCATGTGCGGCAGGGTGTAATTCACGTCGGCCAGGCATCTTAGAGATTTAGTAAAGGAATGTGGCCTGGCTCTTGTCGAATAGGCACGTAAATTTTCCTTCTTTGCCTCCGCATGCAGAATCCGAAAAAAGGTTGCCGAAAGGGCGGAGTATAAGCATCTCCTGGACGAATTGCTTGCAGCTGGTCCGTTGCCCTTGTCCAACAGCGTGGAAAGAAGCCTAATTATACTAGAATTCAAATTTAATGAGGTGTATATTCAGGATTTGCTGTGGATACGATATGCGAGCAGAACGTTCAATAATGAGGCGGTGGCGAGAGGGGATGGACTTGTGGAAAAAGGCCGTAGCAACATCACTCACTGTGCAGTAATAAGTGTTTTTGATGAAATTATTTGTTAGCCGTACTTTAGCAGCCAACCATCTCCAAATTTTGCTTCGTGTGATAAGATTCCCAACATGCACGCATAGGAACTGACCCAAAGCAGATAGCCCGGGGGGGATGACTTCCTCCTGGACACCCTTCCATATTGCAGTCGACACGTTCCCACTAAATCTGACATTTGGTGCCAAGAAGGGCGGAAAGGCCCATGGGCTGCGTCAGCTCGGATCAAAGCTTCCCTTCCAGCCCTTCTTCGATGCTCGCAAAGCTCAGCACAGGGTCGAGGGCAAAGTAACCGTTTCACTAGCTAGCATGTGTAAGTATGGTTCCAGTTTAGGGGAAGCTGTTTTAAAAGCCGTCACGTTGCTTGTGTTTTGCCCATATGTTGGCATTTGTTTCCATGAACTTGCCACATTGCGAAAACGGGGGTTCCCAAGAGTTGTTGCCAAAAATTGCTTACCCCATTTCCTTTAGAGATAGTATCCTACCAGAAAGTAAACACAACATGACATGAGTTCCCGGGCTGCACTTAGCTGTACTTGTAATTCAGCAAGCAGCACCAGAAGTGGCAATGTTCAGGGGTCCTCCGCACAGGTCAGGATTTCCGTTTCTCTCGTTGGCATAGTAGTTCAAAACACATTCTACTTCCAAATCGTAAAGAGCTAGATGTTTCCCTAGAGACTGAGCACACCCTTTAGAACAAATCTGGGAGTTACAGTGAACCTTCAGTGATGTAAAACTGTTGGCCTACTAGTCGGGCACTGGTTCTGTCCGCTGCAGCGTTCGCGAAACCCAAGAGATCCCAATATATTATGGCCCTAATCCACGATTATGTTCTGGAGGTCTATCTTGGTACACTCTGTCAACGAGTATGAAGCGTGATGCCATCCTAGTGCTGACAAGAACGCTGTTTGCAGTCCTGGTCAAGGCCCGCTGGTACTGTTGAGTTCTGCTATGCTACTATTGTCTCTTGAAGCATTTCCAGGGCTGAAGGCTTTGTGCTACCTCTAAATACTTGAAAGCAACCCAGTTACCAAGCTTCAAAGATATACAACGCATAAAGACGAGGTACCTTAACGCGCTGCGCACGTTACAGGGGCCCCGTGAGTAAAAGAAATTTGCTAGTCTTGTTGGCGACTGGGGGGCACTACACATTCCTGTCAGTGAAACATGTGATTAGTTAATTATATGAGATTGTTGTGAACATCTTTACCCATTGCGGGGACTTTTTAGACAAGAGCGGGCACCAAAGTCAGCAAATGGCGGGGCTGCCGTTCTCGTGTCCGTTCTGGAGCTGCTACTGGGGACTCCATGCTTCCGACGCAGATATTGCGCAGCAGTCTCGTCAAGCACACTATACAACTGGCTTAACCTATCGCGCTCCTGCCGTTTGATTCTCCATGACGTGGACATTCAGAAATTCTTAAAAAGAATGCACCCCATCTTAGGCCCAAAGGGCAGCAATGATTTCATTCAAATCAGAATCACGCTTTTGTTGACTTTGGTGCCAATCTAATACTTCCGATATTTCGTTTTCATCCCTTATAGCAGAGTGCTCTATTCGTATGGTCGGCTCAAGTACGGTGAGCCCGGTTTCCCCCAAGTGGACTGGTGTTGTTAAGGGCCAGCTCAAGGGTCTCAGACGGAACCTTCACTCTTCGTAAGGTACGAATATTGAGTTGGTCACTGGGTTTAAAGCACTGGGACTCTGTCGCTTCCTCATTGTGCGCAGTGTGAAAGCGACTGAAGAGAATACCTATACATGACGCTCTCATTCCACTGTTAACAAGCTGTTTGACTCATTTTCTAGTCGAAAAGCCTATTCCTTTATGAAAAATTCATTGTTTAACCTCTCCGGTAACCACTTTATACGAACTGATGTGCTACCAGGAGTCTTTAAGGGGGTGAACAGGACTGCCGCATGCCAATGCACCATGTAGAGGCAGACTTACAGGACATAGCATTGGCATTGCTGCTCACCAACTGGCCATCAGTAGTGCGTTACTGGGTTCATTGGCGTATCAACATAAAACCAAGTTCGGTCGTACATTAAATAGCAGAAATTTCTTGAGCTAAAGGACGCAAGAAGCAATTAGTACAAAACTCAGCGATGTGGGTGAGCATGGATTGCTACACACTTGAGTGACCTGGGACAGTTATGGCTTCGCCTTTAACCCATCAGAAAATGTCTACTGAGGTACGAAGCCAGAGCGGAAGTCTTAGCCTCCATGTACGGGTATGACAGGCAGCGTTTGCAATACCCTACAGCGCCTAGCGCGTTGCCGCTTAGTCTCTCCTGGGGTGTAGTGGTCTTGAATTCAACAGAATTTTGATTAAAGGAGTTTGCATTGAAAAAATCATGATGCATGTACCAGCACGGCTGCGGCCGCCTCCTGGCAGGGTACGGGGATCAAAATATGCAGCAGGTGCTAGCATCTCGTGTTTACAGATGCAAGGGATGACGGGTACTGTTGGACGGAGCACACACTTCATAAGCAGCGCAGCCGATGAGAGTATGGGCCGTCGCAAACTCGAGAAAGTAACTGTAGAGCCACAACGGAAAGAGGGAAAGCTGGGAATTCAGTACAGGCAAATCAAGCATCGAAGTCTGCAGGCAGAGGGCCGCATAATGGACAGCGGGAGGAACATACATTTCCATGTGAGTGATACAACCTTTTCCACTTGGTTTCGCTGCTTACTTTCAGCAATGCTGCATATCCTTCCAGGTCTGCCTCAGTGTCCACTGCAAGGAGTACTTGTTTCCTGTAGTGTGCAGTTGCAAGCCATGCCCGAACGGCGTCCTTCACAGGAAACATAGACCATTCACATAATGATTCCATGTAGCATTATACTTGCTCCAAACAGATGCAGCTTCTTATTGCAACTATTGCGTATCTACCTACAGGCCAATGAAACATTGAAACAGAGACTCCGGACGTTGGAGGCGAAGCACATGCAGGTTGTCCGTCTTGCTGCAGGTATTGGGCTGGTTTTTGTTATTTGCAGCCTCTTAAACCTTAATCATATCGCCACTTGCTGGATAAGGGACCTGTAGGGCTGTCGAGCCCATCCATACATCTGTCCAAAATCATATTTGGCATGCCTGACGTCGTGGCCTGCTTTTTGACTCTGCGGTTGCGTACAGCATATCGTGGTCGTAACGAACAGCTTGTGCAAGCAGCAGAGAAAGCCTTTCAAAAGATTGAGAAGGTATCCCTGGTGCTGTGCCGTGCTGGCACTTAATCAGCATACGCCCAGGGTTACCCTGGAACACCGTGCTCCAAAAGCATTGTCCAATTCTATACGTTCTGTGCAGCTTGAGGCCCTGAAGGCCGCCAACATCGAGCTGAAAGCTGCAGAGAAAGAGGCGAGATGTACAGCGGAAAAAGAAAGGCGCGAGTTACAGAGTCAATTGCAGGAAGCGCGACAGCTAGTGCATCAGCTGCGGGAAGAGCTACAGACGGTCAGGACGAAGAAGTCTCCGAGGAAAAGACTCAGCCTTTCTTCCTCTAAAGGTAAAGTTTGACGCACTGTGATCGCTGCTATTTTTCCGGTGCTTCGCACTGAAACGGGGAAAACATCCTACGTGCTCTAAGCAGCTTCAGCCGGGGTCTGCTGAACAAAGCAGAATGTTCGTCTATAAGATGTCGCAGGCAACAGGCATTCAGGAAGTGAGGATCTTTTGCAGGACAACGGAAGAAATATCGAGCGCGAAGATGAAGCATGTGCGATGGAATACACGAGGATGCGGTTGGCAGTACGAGCCAAAGGTAAGGCAGGATGCCACAGCATGCGACGGAGCTGTCCAACTCCTATGCAAGGTCAGAATGATTTCAGACATGTAACTTGAAACAGCAATGAAACTCCAATCTACTGCTTTAAGGTGTACAGGAGACCAAGCCTTGAATCGTAGCGAGGGCGCATAGATGGAATGTTTTATTGGTCTTCCGCCTTGTACATTTTCTTAGATCGACAAATACGAGTACTACAGGCTGAGCTAGGGGAGCTGCGGCAGCAGCATATGGAGGTCCAGCAACAAAGTAATAAGCAACAGAAAGAGATTTTGAAGCTTGCACAACGTCTTGTAGTCATCCGTAGATCTAAGGCGCAATTTGAGGCCAAGGCGGCTCGTACTGCAGTTGTAAGGACATAAATCCTTTGGGAAATTTTAGTTGCAGAAAAGCCCACCTGCATGCTTCAACCAGCTTAAAGCTAGTGTATCATGCTGTCGTTCTAACTCTAGGTATATATGATATAGGAAAGCAAAGCAGAAGTGCTTTGGCATATATGAAAAACATGCCAATCCAAAAACACGGATAGGCTCACGCTGTACATGCTTTGTGTCTAGGCCCTTGCCGCGGCTTGTGAACACATGGAAAAGGAAAAGGATGAAAAAAACCTTCTGATGGAGCTCGTATGCACTCGTGCCACCAAGGGTTTGGAAGAGAGCAGAGACTCCCAATTGCCACCCATGGAAAGCCTGCTTCAAGATGAATCCCTCAAGTGTTCACTTGGGGCTGACAATAACCGGAGCACGAATGAGCCGGTAACTGCTCTTGTTTGAGCACTGTGCTAGTAGTGAAGGAAACAGATTTGCGTAGGGCCTTTTTTTTTAAGGTGGAGAACAAGTAGCGAACCGATCAATGGGTACCTGCGGTCCACAGGGGTCTGAGCCGCTTTGTTCTACGCAAGCTGTTGACGATGAGAGGGCCGAAAGCGATGATTTATGCTCAATAAACGAATGCAAGTCTCTAAAAATTAACTTAAAATTTGCTTGCCAGAGCCCGGCCTTCGAATTATGGAAAATGGCACAGGTGCCTTTATCGGGCCGTATCCTTTGTCAAAATGCTGGACTTTTAATGCTCAGGAAGGTTCTGTCACACAGGTGGGTGGGAGATAATTTGTGCTTGTGTTCAGATCAATCTCGAAGACAATCGGCACAGGCAGACATGCACGAACAAGAGAGTTGCTCTGAGTCATCGAGTCCTACAGCCGCACAAAAACCGCCTGATTTCCTGGCAAAAAAAGAGGGCTTGAACAAACGTCTGAACACAGATCACGCCTTTGCGGAAGGTATCATTGACCTTCGAGAAGAAGCCGAACGGGGGCTTGAGCAAATGCAGACAAAAGCGTGGCTAGACTCATCTGGGCCCGAGGGTGAGAGTGAAGGTGGTGGGACCGCAGAAGACAACACGGGTGTAACACTCCCAACTTTTAACATGGATCGTGTTGAGAGCTTCCATACTGATCAGATGAACGATTTTGCGGACTGCTTCACAGTGGAGAAGCCTAAGCCACAGCATAAAGCCCAGCACTGCTCTGCTCAAGGAGGATGCTCCCGAATTGAGTGTTCACATCGTGAAATGTCACCATCTCAGATGTCGAAGAAATCACTCTTGGGTTCTGAGCCTCAGCAATGGCAGAAGGGAGGCTCAAATAATGCTCGCACTTCGTTGTGCAACAAAGGCAACGACTCTCTGCGGAGTGCAGTTCAAGACGATGTGGTAAAATGTAGTCTCGGACGATGCAAGTACGGTTCAACATTGCAAGCCCAGAAGGATAAATGCACCATACTTGGCTTCGCTACCTCCACCTTGGCCGACAACGGCTCAATCAGCAGCATACCTCTCTGGAGACAGTTGCACCACGATGAGGTATACAATAATATTCAGTGGAGCCTTCAAGAACAACAATCCATGTACCAGGATCAGATTATGCCTCTGCAGCAAGTGCTCACGCACCAAGGCCAGGCGGTAGCCATCGACAGAAATTGCAAAACGTGCGATTCCACTGTTGCAGAACCAGGTGGTGGACTAGGACACCATGCGAAGCAGGAAGGGTCTGTGGAGCATGATGTTGTGTCTTGCACCAACGAAGCACTTACTGCTCCGCTGCCTGCCAAGTACAGTGACACTGAAGCAGCGTCACCTGTCAAAAGACAAATGGAACAGTTTCCCGGTCCGCCTGCAGGACCCCATTCCAGCACTGACACGCCAGCCCTTGGCGAAGCCCTTGGATCTAGTTGCATCACGGGCAATGACAGGTCATTGTCATTAGAACCAGTTCTCTCCAGCCACAATGAAGAGCTCTGGAATTCGATTTCAGCGGCAGCACCGTCTGCTGATCTTTGTGCTAGCGCCAACAAGAATACTTCTGGAAAACTACCGTCACCTTGCTCTGTGTACCCGAGCGTCTGTAGTACCCTGGTGGAACCATTACACCCATCCAACACAGCATCTCACAATGGAACAAGCGAACGAGGGATCATAACAATTGAACGGCTGCAACCTACCCAGAGAGCCTCTGACAGACTGAATATACAAGAGCTGCAGACGCGCCATGGGAAATGCACCAAGGTACCGGAAAAGCATATCACAACGTCGTGCTACAACTCGCAGTCGGGAGTCAAGGAGCGTACCAAGGAACACCACAAAATAGATGCCTGCAGCCTCATGGAGACGTCTGTTCAGCGAAAGTCTTGTGTTACCTCAAGTTTACTTGCTAATGTGGGTCATTCCTCAACGCATCAGCTACCCGGGGCGGAAAGAAGGAAGGGGGAAAAATGTAATGCCACCCATTTCACTGCGTGTGATCATTCGCTACAGGAAAATAATCTTACCTGCCAGGAAGGTCGACACCGTGCGTTAGAGCCATTCATGCCTCGCCGTGGAGTGCAAACACTACAAGGCCGTGTGACCCCAAAAGACGAGCACGGGCACATAAGCGAGAACGGCAGAAGCTCTTCTTTTTATGCCTGCATTAGCCCCATGCCAAGCTCACACTGCTCACTCAACACTCCGCGCTTGTCGGCTAGCGGTCATCTTCCTGCAGGAATTTGCAGCCCGCAATCACGAAAGCACTTGCTCAGGCCAGGCAGCCGTTCGAGTTCCGGGTCCATGCAGCTGAGTGTTAGTGAAGACTCACGATGTGTAACTCCACAATATCTCCCAAGTACTGTGGAATATTGTAGAGACCTCCGAAATCCTAGATTACACGGCTCTCCAAACAAAGGGTCTTCTCGGAGCAAACCGAGCTCCACCGATGAAGTTAAGAGCGAGAAAATCCCTGTGAGAGAAGACTACCACTCAGATTTTGATTTTTCAGAATCCCTGCCATCATTTTCTGTAGTAAATATTGCCGTACGTATTATTCAAAGGCATTGGCGACTTTACCGTGAGCGCATGACCAAAAGACAGCGAAGAAACGCCACCATGGAGCACAACACACAAAAAGGTGCCTCGCTGCAGCAAAGGTCGGCAAGGCGACCCATCTCTGGGCTGCATAGCTGCCTTGAACAGGAACAGGACAGAGCAGCTGCAATGAAAGGAAAGGTACAAGGGGACTCGCCACCAGCACCAATGCACTTTGCCTCAGTATCTGGATTTGCCAGTGTTTCTTCATTGCGCCCAGAACTCGCGTCAAGGGCAAGGACCAACAAAACTGACTATTATAAAGTGTTAGGGGCACAGACAAAGGCAAGCATTACTTGCAAGCATGGAAGCAACTCTGAAGATGACGAAAAGCAGATGGAAACAACCGTAGATGCCCATGGTATTTCCATAGGGCTACCCAACGCCACACCAGGAAAGAGGTCCACGGGTAGTAGGTTGCACCAAAATGCGAATAAAGCTACGCCGCCACCGCACACAAAGGCTGAATCATGTGCAGATATGAATAGAATGACAACAGTACCCCGTTTGGTAGGTAAAACCCATCACGATCATAAGGGTCCCGTACGTGGAAGCCCTGACAGCGATGTGGAGTTTGTCGCTCTACTGGAGGAAGCAGAGGCCCATCATGGAGCTAAGAGTTCCAGCTGTGAATCACGTCACAGTCATCAATGCTGCTATAAACCCCATACCGATGCTTATGGTGATGATAAGAACCGTTTGGGGTCCGCTGGAGGACACAGGAGTAGTCAACAGTCTGCAAATGTAAACGCGCAGCAGCGCTTCGTAAGCCACTCGGCAACGCCTCGAGAAGTAGAAATGCAACGCACCCAGAACCGAAATAGGAAGCTCTATACGCAAGAGGTGCTCTGTGTTGGAGATTCAGTAACCTCTGCGGAAGCGACCACCTCCGTGGTTGCTGGGTCACCAAAGCCGTTATCTGCGGAAGTATCGAGCTTGACCGGCAGTCCCCTGTTCTCGCCGTCCATCCCTCAACTACCCTTAGAAGCCTCGTGCAATCCTAGCTCGATTTCTTTCCAATCAAAAGGCAGCAAGCCGCAGACGATCCATCCATTCCCAGCTGCCCACGACTCTCATTCCTGCAGCCCTCCTGTTTGCACTGCCGTACCAGTGCTTCCCTGTCCTATTGCAAGGCAACTCGAAGAGAACAATATTTGTCCACCAACTGCAGATCGCGGCCACTGTGCGTTGAAGCGCCAGCACGCTACCCTGGAGAGAACACGTCGACAGAAGCCTCACAGTGAGTGCACCCTTAACAGGTGCTTTCTAGTACTGAAGAAACGAAAGGAGCCACATTACCAAGAACGCTAACTGGCTGTCACAATGCTACAATAAGCCTCCTTTACAACTGTCCCTAAGCCCAGCCAAAGTTATGCGAACTTTTCGCCAGCAGCTCTATCGCATCTAGACCTACAACCAAAATAAGAACCGGTATACACCTCGAGTTAGTGCTGTCCTCTGCTTCTCAGCGCTCAGCAAGCCGCCTATTCCACCCAGAGATCTTTCTGCTGCTGGGCAGCACATGAAGCTTCAAAGTCGCCTCATGGAGGAAGCCCATGAGTTCCGAAGGCAGATGATCCTGCAAGCACAACGAAGCAAATAAGCATTTGCGGGTTTAGAGTGAGTGGCCCCAGTCACCAGTCACAGCCGTATGCCCAGCATGGTACCAGCATCAGCGAAATATTTTGTAGTATTCTCTACTTCTGGTGGTATACGCACTTCTTCTTCCTGGCCTAGCCGCGGAAGTTTCCCCAACCAGATGCGTTACGGCTTATAACAAGTGAGAAGCCACGGTGTGCGCAAGCAAAAGGATGCCATGGGATATACCACGATAAAACTCTATTTTTATTTATTGGCCTTATTACATGACTCACTTTGATGGCGTAACAGCCATGCGGGAGCAGGGGCTCACTATGGCTAGCGAACCCTGTAGGTAACTATTTAGCTCCCCACCTTTAAACCACAGTGGAAACGTGTCAAAGCTTTTCAGGATTCCTGTCTGATATAAAGCTGCCTAATTACATGTGTCAGTGTGACACTCGGGGCTGTTCTCAAAGCCATTTCTTTCGACCGCTGCAGCACTGTTTAACACTAGTTGCAAGAGCCATATGCTGGGATACTCTGGAATCATTAATGCGTGCTAGTTGGCATTTAGGAAGTTGCATGCACTCAAGCAATAGCTAGAACGTCTACGGGCGCTTTATCATGCCCATTACCACTGGAAAGTATCTGTATTGTCCCGCAGCACCCACGGTTCCAGCTATGAAACCCTGGGGAGAAGCTGCACAGGGGGCTTATGGCGTCCATGGCAGCCCAAGTGGCTTTGAAGGACTTTGTCCGAGACTTACCTTAGCAGTTTCGCATCTAGAATATCCACCTGCCACGGCCCCTCCCTATCGACACTACCAGGTGCGGTAATGGGCAGGCAATCATGGATGATCCTGCTGGACCAAACAGTGCTTGTGTTTGCTGTGAAACGGAAAATGATGAGGACATTGGGCGCACTAGAGCGACGCTACACTAAATTGGCCCAACTTGTCCACTGTGGGACAGCAATGAGGGCCACTACGTGAAAGCCTTGCGTCAGGGGTTCATGCCTACTCTTTCAAGTGGTTTACCCTTCAATGCAGAAGCATGAAGAACTTGAACATAAGGTATTTGTGGCGACCAACAAACTTAATCCTGAATCCACAGAGTCCTGTGAGCGTCTACTCCCCCAACATAGCCAAGCCATGTAGGCAGGGCCTTCATCGGCACCACTGATGAGGCCCACAGTATCCCCATGTCAGACACTGCGAATGCAAGCCAAATCCGGCAATTCTAGCGTTTACACGTGATGATTCGGGGCATTTTGACGCCCGAGTGCAAATAGCAAGCAACAAAGTTCCTCATCTCCCTCATTCGCTGCCTGCGCAGCCTATGGGTTCCGTCTGCCCCACGGCCGGGGCCCCCTGATTGTTGAGGAGAGCAGGCTCAGCTGCAGGACCCCCTCGATCCTTTGTGGCCTATATTTAGTGCACATTCAGGCGCCGCTTGGCGCCGCAACGGGCAGGCCCTCGCTTCTCGCGCTTATGGCGGTGTGGGAGACCGCTACACACCGTGGGGGTTGCGGGCGACATCCCTCACCACGAGAGGTTTCTCCGCTCCATACACAACATGAAGAAACGTTGGAATATCAGGTGACTGAGCTAGGGGGCAACAGGGATCCTCCGCCAAACAATTCCCCCCTTTCCTGCGGACCACCACGGTCTCCCTCGGACTGTATGACGCTGACTGAGCACTGTGTGGACACACCGCGGAGTTCCTGGCCTCGGCTTGCGCAGAGGCAATGCCGCAGGCGTATACGCTCCCTGCGGAGTCCACGCGCTCCCCGAGAATTGCAGGACCCCCAAGCAAATGCGCGTGGCTTCTCCCCCGTGTCTTTACTACAAGACGACACTGATCACCCCGCGTGGGACAGCAGCGATGAGGTGGATGCTTTCGGCTGGGCTACGGATACGAGCTGTGGCTCAGCTAACGGGGCTTCGGCCAACATGCAGCTGAAAATGCTACACGAGGCCACTCGCTGGTTCCCTCACACAAACTTTTACGACAGTATGAAGGCCAACGCACAGTCTGAGGTCGACAAGAAACGTGAACATAGAGATGCAGGTTCGTCTGGGCTTAACCATTTGAAACGGATGAACGTTTGTTCAAACCTGCAAGATGTATTCAACTTTTCCAATCGTCTCTCACCTCTGTACCCGCAGATGAGGGCATACTACCAAGGGAAAACTTACCGGGATGCTAGGGACGCATCATTCGCTGCGCACCGCATGTCAAACTGTTAACATTTAGCTCGTTCACAGCATCTGGTGGTCCGGATAAGCACGCTTTACCCTTGCGTTGGTGCTTGCACCGTGTGGCCCTCGCTAATGGGCTTATGCCTCGATGGGCGCTGTGCTGCGTGCGATGCTGCAGTGACCGGCAGGTTGCGTATCGGGGGGCTATTCCTTAGTGTCTTGCTCTTTATTTGCGTCACGCAGCGGCAGAGCAATCTGGAAGAGATTCCCCTTAAGGCCCTTCAGATGGGGGGCATGAAGTTTTTAGTGTGGGCTTCTCTCTTAAGCTGCATTTGCTCCTTGCCCATCATGATCACAGATGTTGCTCTTGGTGAGACACCGCCTGCTTGCCGCTTTCCTCGTGCTTCATTGTTGATGCTACTCTACCTACCACCATTTTGCCAGAACTCGGGGGCTCAGCGCTCGGCAAAGCAATTTATTACAGCGAGTTCAGCCGTCGTAAATGGAGGCGTATCTGTCCGTTGTGCATGTGATGGATGCACATTCTGAAATCAACAGCATTTGGCCTAGATTCGATGCAGCGCTGATGAAAGCTTAGTTGAATTCGCGCTTTTTATGAGCATACAAGCCAGGAATAAGGCGAAAATCAGCATTTTCCCTGAGCCTGAGTATGTGGGTGTATATCAACGTGTACATTGTTTGCTAAGCATTATTTTCGATCTGTCTTGATGTGTTGCTACATGCTTTTTCATTGTGGTTGCTGGCCGGTGTCGCATTCAGGTCAGTCCACACAGGGCTCTGTAATCACAGCCCTGAACGGCCTCGACAAGCGCCTTCGAGGGCTCGGTTTGGCCATTGCAGGCTGCAGTGCTTTGTTTGCAATTGCACAGACCTATGTGTCTTCTCTTGTAGTCCACTTCTTCTTTACTTCAGTTGCGTCCCTCTCCAAGTGGCTGCACAACAACGACTCCCTAAAGCGCGCCTGTGTAGCTCTGTCAACTGCCGAGTAGGTTGTGACCTGGTTTTTCGGCGCTAAGGCTGTTAAAGATCTGGCCTGAACCCCAGGTGTTACCAGATTCTTTTTTCATGATCCTTGTAGCCCTGGATATCGCACCACTAAGAAGCGTGGAAAATCTTTTTCTCCGTATAGAGGCATGTGGGTTTGGTCTGGAAGGAATGTCCGAGTTGTCTGTTGCATCGGTGCAGGTGTATTGCGGACTCTCGCTGCATAATGGGGGCTGAAAATGTCTGCCACCCTGCGCTAGAGGCGTACATCAGTGCCTCTTGGCCAAACTTTCTTACATCGACGGACACAACAACCAAAGCGTGCAACATCATTTGCTGCCTTGCCATTTGGCTTATTCTTACTTACGCTCTGACACAGGTTAGTGCCTTTCAATGTGCTCCAGTGGCTAATACCATTCTGGTGCCTTTAAGGGGTCCTCGCTTGTAGGGTCTCACATGCGAATAGACTGTGGGGTGGCTCTGCCTGAGTCAGCCGTGTACCGCTATGTGTTGGACTTCTCTTCGGTCACTAGTAGGGGGCTTTGGGGTCGAGCTAGGAGGCCGCCGCGGGTATGTGCTGGTTTCTCAGGCGCCGCGGACTTTGGGAGCCGTTGGGGCGTGTGCTTTTCCTTGTATATTTATCTTGTTGCCTGCCCTGGTGGTATTGGAGGTGTCAGCGGAGGGACAAAAACACTCTTTGCTTGATATTTTCATGCTGCCGAACAAAACGCTTCCCTTTGAGGACGTTTATTATGTAGTTATTATGCTACCATTGCTTGTGTACATGCCTGGGGATGCAGCGGTCCTAACTGTTGCTTCCTACGACAAACAATCTCACAATCCTATAATTATCAGCTTCTTGTGCTTTTTTGCCAAATGGTTGGTGGCATATATGTCGCTGTACCTGCTCTTCTTCGCTGAAGGACTCTCTCCGGATCCCCAAGGTGAGCTCCGTTGATGGGGTGATTTTTCTTAAGGAACGCCCTGTGTATTAGCAGTTCTGCTTTCTAGTAACTAACCCTACGCAATCGTATAGCTCTGGTATTGTACATTTCGAGTGTAACGTGGCTTTTTGCGCACCACCAACAGCACTGCACTAAGCAGTACTCTCTTCACCCCGTCTTTTCCGCATCCATTGATTCCAGAAAGGGGTTACCCTGGATTTATTGGTGCAATTTTCTTGAACGGAGGCAAAGCCACCAGGGCTGCATTGACTGGGGAAATTTCTATTTACAGTATGCAAGGATCGCTGAAACGTATACAATCAGTGTGAGTGTGTGCGTGCAGCATTCAGAGAGATGTTTATGCCTAAATCTCCAGACTGGATCACTTCTGGAGGGCCAGGAAGTGCTGTGTTTCCGGTTATGTGGTACGTGATTGCGCGCATGTGGCCTGCATCGTGGCTTCTTGGGTTACTTTCCTTTGCTGCAATCTTGACGCAGCGCATTTCGTCGTGCTGGTGTCTCACAATGGTCTTATGGTCTGCGCTTCATGAGATGCGTTGGCTAAAGGCCTCCCCAGTGGTCGTCAATAGGCTGAAGAGACAACAGAGCCTCTCACTGCCTCCGCTGCTTCCGGCAGCGAAGGCCGCATGCAGCAGCAGTTGTCGAGAAAAACAGGACCATCGCCATTCAGAGGAGCAGAGTGGATTGCGCGGTTTATCCTCTGCATGCCCCGTGATAACCACTGATCTGTTTGGCCAAGAGAAGGAACAGACTGGTTTCCAAAAGACCGGCGCATGCAGAAGCACAAGAGACCGGCGATCTGGATGCACGGATGGACGGGGATCGAGCAGTGAGGCAGGAACACGGAGATCCTCCCCCCTTTCCCGCATTCTCAAGCGGACTGCTGGAGAGAAGTATGATTATGAAGATGAGGATAGGGCCTTCGCAGCACTGGAACCCCTTTTTGATGCCAAACCTGACGCTGCTGCCGATACACTACTTTCTTGGTGGGGGGGTCCCGATATGGATGACCACAAAAAGGTTGGAGAGTCAGCGGATGGATCCGGTCGTCGCCGAATAAGCAAGCCATTGCTAGCCTGTATAGCATATGGACCGCCTGCCATTCTATCGGCCATACTCATATCTTTCAGCCTACCCATGGACACAAAAGACGGCCCCCGCTTTAGGGCGTCCATGCATTACATTTTGCTGTTGAATGCAGATATTCTTCTTCGGTTGCTTTTAGGGAGTGCCAAATGTGTACATGTCGCTTGGCTGTTTGGATTTAGGGAACAGGTACAGCGGGTTGGACTGTTGCCGCTACTTGTGCTTGGTTGTGGATTGATTGCAGTGATGCTAGTGCCACTATTCCGAATCATTTTTCCGATCGACTACTCCGACTCACTATTACTGTTGCTTGTTTTACCAGTGGTGTTCATGAGCATTGCTATTCTAATTGTCACACTGCAGACGGCAGTTAATCTCCGTGACATCCTTGCTGAAGGAAAGGGCCCCCAGAGGCCGAAGAGGGGCAGCCAAGGGAGTCGGCGTTCCTGGAAAGGGCTTCACCGTTCTGGGGCCAGAAGCTTGTCACACCCCCGGATTCTCCCCATGCTTCCCCGCGTTGTAAATTCTGCATGTAACTCAAGGGAAGAGCATTTCTTACGCAGTAGGAGCTTACGGGTAGAGCGACTTTCTTGGAGGCCCCGATTCATCGCCTCCACCCTTCCATTCAAGCAGAAGCTATACAAACAGGCCCACAACACAGCGGAAAGAGAGAGCATGAGTGATTCGAGATGCGTGCGACACGGGAACCGCCGCATACGCCGAGCGGGGTCTGTGCTGCAGTTGTTCCTACGACTTCTCAAGAGCAACCTTTACTGGACGCTTATCGGAAACGTGGAAATCCTTCGGGCCAACCTTAATATGGCACTCTCTGGGTGCCCCACAAAGCCGATCCCAATGATATGGGGCTGGCTCTTGAAGTTTGTGGCAACTCCCTGGTTGTTGTTGGACTTTATGGAACATTTGAATGGCAGCCTTCCAAAGATTATCGGAAGCATCGAAGGCCCAAGGGGTTTAACGGCATCTGTCTTGCTTGTGTGGATTGTAGTTGTTTTAGGCATCATATTGTGGGGTAAGCCAGCTCTCCGCTTATCTGCAAGCTAAACCCCAGCAAGGCAACCAGGTCGTGGAATTCATTGTAGCGACCATCTGCGTCAAATTTTGTCGTAAAAGCTCTCCACTATACCTGCCTCTTACTACCATAAGATGTGTTTCTCTGTTCTGCGAACTACAGGGGCGCTTTTCCCAGATGCTTTGGAACCCTTGTTGCCCCTCCGTACATTGGATTTTCCCCGCTGCTGGGTGCCTAGGGTTTCTTTCCGTTGGCGGCTATCCCTATTCGATGACATCAATCCTAAGTTCTTCAGTAGGGTATCCCATTCTCGTATACGTCGCACTGGCTCTCCTGGACGCTAAGGCAATGGAATGAAGTCCCCTACTGACGCCACCAAGTAAGAACAAAATCATTATGGAGGTAGTGCTCGACAATACCAGGCAAAGTTGGGGACGGGGATATTTGGTTTCGAGGGAGAAGACGTCGGGTGTGAACGACCGGAGGGTGGAGAGCTACTAGAAACAGCAAACAAAAACTCAATAAGCTTTCAAGGAAAATCTTTATACTCCAGAGGCCTGAAAATGCTCTTGGGTCTGGCGCATCGGAAGCTGTCATGTGTGTCCGAGTTGATGGTTCTTCTAGGGTATTTTGATAATATGTATCATTTATATCGTCCAATGTGCCTTGTAGTTTTCTCTTTATTGTGTGTTCCCAGGGCGAAAAGAGGCTCAGTCTTTCTCCATCGTGCCAATAAAGCAGCACCAAGAGGCAAAACAATGAATGGGCACCAGGAGATGACCATTGGAGAGGCATTAGGTAGCTTGGCTTACCCGGTACTCCATCAACACGATGAGGTGCCTATGAGCAGCTTCTTGCAAGCAGAGCGGGGCTTCCGTGCTCCCCACTTCACAAACGGCAACCGGGAAAAGCTTGAATTCAGATTTTTCGGTATTGGAGACTCTGTTCCCGGCCGTACACGCCTTTTCCCGAGCTATCGAAAAGGGAGCCCACCCTAGCCGACAGCGACGGGGAAGGGACGTATGCGGGGAGGCTCCAGACGCGTCACCACGCCAGGTGGCATTGATTCAGCTTGCGCTTAAAGGACACTTGGCATCTGTGATAGTTAGTGAACCCAAATGAGTGTGATAACGAGCAAATAGAGGCATTTTCAGGTTTCCAGCTCAGTGCCTATTGCTATGCATCTGGGCATAAGAGCACACAGTGGCCCGTAGCCGCCTGCATACGAATAATAAATTGATAACACCAAGGTAAGCCTGCAACTAGTGTGTGCAACGTTCACGTTCCACGATGGGTAAATGGTGAAATTGGCGCCTTCGGCAGCAACGACTTCAATCATTGAGTGCAAATAAACCTTTTTTCTCTTGAATCTGCCCCTCTGCTGAGTTCCGAGTGTTTAAATCTCTTTAGGGAACCCTCAAAGGCGTCCCTATGGGAACCTATAGCTGGCTGGCTTTATGGCATCAGAAATAAATTATGCGAAGGGAAACGCCGCAAGTACTTCACCTTTAAAAATAGTTGTTTTGCCCCCGAGGCGTAGGTCCAGGGAGGACGGCACGGTAGAGTGAGCACAGGGAGCTACCATTCTCCATTTGAATCTCACGGCTACTCTCCAGAAGCAGTGCTAAGAGAAAGTGACGGAGAAGGAGCAGCAAGAGTCCCAATAGTCTAAAGAATTGGCGAGAAGTGTTATGTGGAGGGTGTATTATCGTATAAATGAATAGCTACTCGGGGATCTGGCACCACGAACAATGGAGAAATGGGACGGGGAAGGGCCGTTTTCACTATCGCGGCAACGGGGTGTCGGCATGGAGGACAAACCTCAGAGGCGCTGTGCGGCTTGTCGAGGCAAGTGACTTCCACGCTACTAGAGTAGCTTACTTTTCTGGGATAAGTCGACCTGCCGCATGCTAGGCAGCCCAAAGAGAGCTGTAGGCCGTCAGAAAGCGTGTGCACACCTCCATGAGTCAAATAATTTGGGGTCTGGAGGAGGAGCACTCACTGGTAGACGTGAATGCCACCTTACTTGCTCCAACGGCCCATCCAGACAGCTCCGATCCCATCGAAGGCAAGGTAGTCAGTGTCATACAGCTGACGGGCAGCGTATGAACCAAAAAGTTCAACTTTTGGGGCGTGCGCGAGCCATGGAGTTATGTCATTTGACTCTGCACAAAATACTCCTAGAGCGAAATTGCCCAGGGCGGGCTTCCACTCTCAGTGGATCATCACACAGCAGACATGTAGCTTTGTAGTATGGGCGCAGCATCAAGAGAAATGTTCGCCTATAGGAATAGCAGACGTCTACGACGCCCTCGCATACGTAGTAGGTTCGATGCAGCAGGAGCAGCAACAAGGAAGTATGGCTAGAAGGCATGCGGTCATGGAAGCAAAGAAACGAGTGTGAAATAAATCGCTGGTTCGCTGACGATGCAGAATAAGAACCAGCATAGTGAGCTGCAGCAGCAGCAGGTAGTAAAGGTTGGCAGAACGAAGGACAACAATAGGTGCATATGACACAGATGCTCTAGTTTGAGTGATATCGGCACAGCAAAAGGCAAGCAGCTGCTAGGTTGTGAGGAAAGCGCACCAAAGTGATCACAGCTAGGGGAATGCTTGTCATCGCAGGGGCAACAAGAGCTCCGCCAGCTAGTATGGCAAAATGCCAACAAAGCCTGAGATGGGTGTCAGCAAACGCGAGAATATCTTAGGCCACTTGCTTGAGTCCCTGCACCATCGACTGGAAAAGGTCACTGTAGAGCCTTTGATACTACGGACGCAGAGCGCATCTCACGGGCTAAAGTGATAGATACGAAAATGGCATCCTGCGTCGCTGAGGCCTACAATGGGCCAGAAACACGCCTGACAAGATTGACTAGAGCAACCTGGGTAGCAGAATGAATGCGGTTGACCAGAATATAGCGCCACATAAAGGCATACCATTTACACTACCAGCATATAAGGTACATGCACACAGGTGTGAATCTTCTTAGCGGAAGTCAGATGCTTCACGCCTACACACATATGAAACGAAACACAACTAAAGAGACCCCAACTGCTGCAATAGTCCCTGCAGCAACAGTGCCACGTGCAGGTGTGCAAATCACACAATGCATGTACCAGTACTGGATTCTATCATAATGGTCAGCTGTCATCTGCGATGTGCCTGCTGCACTCGCTGAGGCACAGCTGGTACGAGGCCTGATGTATCTGTTTCTAAACCAAGCCTGTATGAAGCAGCAAGGGGCTCTTCAGGGGCACTCCTCCTTGCTGCGCTTTACGACAAAGTAGGATGGGAATGTCGGAACACGCCGCCCTTCATCCCCGTATGATTGATATCTTGGCGGCAGCAGCAGTGGCTGTAACGTGACATGCACCGCTGCTTTGCAAGTACCGGTGGCCCATAGTCAGCCTGCGCGAGTGTAGCAGCAAGCTGCTCACACCAAGCAGCTATGTTGGACCTCCCAACAACTAGGGCATTCTCGTAAAGACCCCTACACCAAAACAAATGGCTTCCTCAGCTGAAAAATAGCATTTGCTTTGACACTGAGTACACACACAGATAGCGGTTGAGGCCATAAAAGCCCTAGGCCCCTCAAACGTCGCAGAGTAGCCAACAGAGTGCATTTGTTAGGCGTAGCTGCTAAAAAACTTCAGATTTGACTTTTGCGACAAGGAGTTATGCAAATGAACATACTGTGAGGAATAATAACAAAGAGCTGCAAATAGCATTCATGTAGAAAGCATGGTAGTGCCACAGACTGCCCATGAGCTGACAACGAGGCAACCAAAGCAGCCTCAGTGGACCTTCCTAGTCAATTACCAGTAGCTGCTACTAGATTTGGGAACTTAAGAAGTAAGGAACCGCAATGATAAACTTGGCTTGATTTGCTGGAATATTCTAGTCGATTGACTCCAGGGAAGACCCACATGGGTTGCTCCGTTGGCTGGATTGTCCTGTGGAAATCTCTTTGAAGGACTGATGGTTCTTGTTCACATATGCATTCTTGGACTGCGTCCTTATACAAGTAATACCACACAGCAGCGTGCTAGCAACGGCTTGCTATCCCTCAAGGGCTGTGCCTCTGATAAAATGAAGTGTACAGCCGCAAGTTGGGAAGCCTGTGCTGTTTTGCCGAACACTCTAGCTGCTGCTTCTTGTTGAGTAAGCATAACAACTGCTCAGCAATTCCTAACCACAAGCTCCAGCGAGGGCAGAGCGACGCCTTTCTTGGGGAAGGCTTGGCCATTTTGGGGGGGGCCGAGGATATAACAGCAAAGCATCCGAAGACAGCCAGCAGCTGATGATTACGCAGGTCGATAAGGTGATTCTGGACTACCAGAAAAAGCGATAAGTTTTGGTGTACAGTGAACCTCCGCTGCAGCACTTTTGTTATGCTTGCTCATGGGCCACAACCTCCCGGGGCCAATGCAGATATGTAGAGGCTTGGTGGATCAAAGAGACCTCTGGTCTGGATCAAAGTATGACCAACTTCACTCTTCCTTTGCTGATATATTCCTCTCTCATGAAACCTCTGTGCATAAAGCGTATCTCGGTGCAGCACACTGAATCCATGCGGAAGGCCTGTGGAGGCGATAACTCCCTATGGGCTCTCCTGTACCAGTCCTTTATACGGACCTTCGACTGTGTCAACAAGCACCCTCCACGCCCTGCAAACCTCAGCAAAGTATGTACACGAGGTCAATTGGGTGCATGAATTGCGTGTAGATTCTTAGGATTCAGCCGGAAGTCCGGGTGTGCTGGAGTTTACGTTCTAGTCCAACGGAATGCGGGGAGCTGTGGGTTTCTTAGTTGCAGGTTTGGAGCTGTCCCGTCTCGTGTCACTCCTTAACTGTACTAAGCGCTAAACCAAACCGTTCCGCTATGCTCATCGAAGTTGACTAAAGCTCTTTACCCTTCGATGGAGATAGGTTCGGCCAGAAGGAGAAAGGGGATGGCGGACGTTACAGGGAGCAGAGGACGGAGTCTCCCAGCTTTATTCAGTCATACAGTTCACGAACGGACAGAATACAGCAAGAAATGAAATAAATGGCTTTTCTTACTGAGTGTGCGCAAGGACACATGAATGGGAAAGGGGCTATGGGTGCTGTTCCATCGACAAAAAAGGCATTAGTCTCTGATAGTAGCTGTATGTTAAGGTCTGCAGTGTACACGAGTAACAACCAATTCAGTGCCACTTGTTTTGTTGGGAGCATGTTTAGGCCTATTAAGTCCGTTAACTGTTCCTCATTCTCTGTTGGAGCCACTGGCTACGAAGTTCCCCGTATTCGAATAACATTGTTTGATGCCTAGGGTGTCGACTGTGCGTTTTTTTTAACTCAACATGTATGTATATATATATAGCGTATAGTTGTGTCTTTTCGACAGACTTCGCTTAGCTCCGTACGAACGACGCCTAAATACCCACTGGAGTCCCTTACACCAATTTCAGGTGACCCGTCTGTCCCTTGACGCCTCTTTACCAGCAGTGTGTATAAGGAGACTCCTGAATTCTTGCCTTAGTTTAGGGATCCATTGCAATTTTATGGGGAACCAAAAAACTATTTCACGCTCGATTGCTGCTTTGGTGCATTACAGTTACCTTGAACACTCTACAGCAGCAAAAATGTCCCAAGACTTTTCCCTCGAAGCCCCAACAACAGAGACCTCCTTACCCGGCATGGCAGTCTTATGGCGTGGTCCTCCGGTATTGTACCTTAGCGTTTGGGCTATATTCTGCGTTTTTGTCGTCGACAGCCTTTGAGTGACCTGACATATGTGAAAGGCAGGCAGATAGGCCTAATAGGGCCGATGGATTTGTGGGCTGACCTCCGAACTACTACAAGCCCTTCGGGCCTTTGATCCCTAAGCTTCCCATAGCATTTCAGCTGCAGTGAACTATACGGAAGTAGCTGCGGACCAACAGTTTCAGCCTGTTAGCCATGAGCGGTAAGTTCTTTGCCTTGGAATTCAGTGCTCAGGACTCCTTTGAGTGCGAGACTTCTAGGCAGTAAGACTGCCATAGAGACGTATCCGGCACAACCTCTATGATTTCTTTTACTCTAGGGGATACTACTCAGGGAGCAGAACCGCTATACCTATGCCCTGGCGGTAGGGTGCTCTATGCGACGTTGTGCTGCCCCCGTTCTGCCGTCTATTCACTAGAGGTCATGGAAAAAAAAATAAGATGATCAACTTGCACCGCGGCTTCTGCTCCCTATGCCCATCACTCAAGGTACGCCCTGCAGGGAAGACCCTTGGCAGTAGCTAGAGCGATCCTCTTGATCGTACCCAGTGCTTAGCCTCGAAAGGAGGCAGTGATTCTAGCCAAATGGACGCTAAGGAGGCAAAAGAAGAAGAGGGGGAGAGTGCAGGGGTGGGAAGCAAACCACAAGTACAGTTGCGCCTAGATCTTCAAAGGGCTAGAGGGCAGTGCGAGAGTCCCCGTAGCAGCATCAGCGATGGGAACAGCATCAGTAGCAGGGAACTGCAGCCTGAACATTCCATTTCAGCGGTAACGGAGCTTCAACTCGGCGTCGTGGGTAAAACCACGAGGTCTCAGGACACGGCGCTGCCGCCAGGTGTACCCCAGGCACAGCTTAAGGTCTTCGTTACACCAAAGCCTTGCGCTGCAAAACAGCAGCTGGACCTGTAAGACCGCACGATGTCCGAACATCTCGAATCAAAGAGTCTGTCTCAAAGCACTGAGGAGACGAAAGTGAGGAAAAATTAGTGTACTGCAGCTGCTGATGCTGTCGATACTCCTGCTGTTACGCCTGCTGCTGCTACAGAAGTGCAGTTGGCGGGAATTCACATGAAGAAAACGTATTCGGTTTGACAGCTGCGCCAAATCTCGAGAATGCTCAGTCCATACCGCGTTTCCTTGCGGACTATTCGGCAGATTTACCAGGTGCCATCCTTTCCTCCGGCCAAGCCTCGGTTGACCCGTGCGAGGGCGCGTACCAGGAGCACTCGTCACAGGGCGAGCCGGAAAAGGCGGGTACAATAGAGGCCATCAAAAGGTCCCTGATCTTTAACCTCGACTGGAGCCAAGCATACAGCGTAGCCGCTCAAGCAGACGAGGAAACATGTATGACCGTATGCTGCTGCTTGCGGGCTTGGTACAGTGCCCTGAGGCGCTAATGCTTCTTTTACTGCTTGCGCTGTTGGTGCGGCTTCTCTTCTTGCTCCCTTGGCTAAGGCAGTCAGGGCTATAACTTGCGGGCCGCTCCTAATAACTTTGCGGAGTTGAACCCGCGTTGTTGGAGTTGTTGCCTCTGAATCGACTGCGCTGGTGATATACTGAAGGTTATAACTCACTAATGAAGCTCCACTGCTCAGTTGTGATGCATTGGCTTTGCTGCAGCAGCAGAGCACGATGCAAATCGTGTGGTGCGAGAGTTGCTACTGCGAGAGCAGCGTGATCTAATGCAGATGGAGAGTGTGCTTCAGAGGGAAGATCTGAGGCGCGAGCTTGCGGTGCTGAACCAGGTGCTGCGTGGTTGGGATAAGGTCGAAGCTTTAGACAAACAGCTCGAAGCCGCTGAAAGGAGGCTGGAAGAGGTTGAAGCAGCAGTTCTCGCTGTGAGGACTCAACTGAGGTACAACCACATTCAGCTAGCTGCTGCAAAGACCGAAGTTGCACAGATCACCGCGGCACGCGGCGCAGGGACGCTGAGCAGATATAATAGGGGGCACAGAGAGAATGGCTGTGTAGCCTCAAGGGCCGACCTCTTCTTAGGTCGTGACAACAGCTGGGTGGACTTCATGATTCTTGATGTTTTCGCTGCTGCAGAGACAGCTGTACAGAAGGTAGCCGGGATGAGAGTGAGAGCCAGATTGACACGACAACCACTATTCCTGCACCATTGCCTCCATATGGTGCTTCTGATAGTGCGAAGGGGGCTTCATAACAGCAGAAGCCGCAGCGCCGCCTCCATTAACCGTATCTCAAGCGAGAGCATAGGCTTCATGCCTCTTGTTCCCTACCGATTGGCAGAGCTCCTATCTCCTCATCCGTTCCTCATGAGTCTTCCCTTCCTTCACAAGGGTGCATTGTAGGGTCAGTGTCCCCCGACCTGAGCTCGCCATATGTGGATTCAGGTCTTGAAACGCGAGTGCCACGTGGCGGCTCTCCCTTACAGCGGCTGCAGCCGGTGCGACGCCTGCAGCGTGCAGCGGGGACCTTCAGGCTCTCAAAGGCTCCAAGAAACCTGCGGCGGCGGTTGCAGCAAGCAGCAACAGCTGCTAGTGCTGCGTCTGTTGGGGCAACGCAAGCCTCCGACTGTTGCGACCAAGGGCACGTAGTGCGTGAGCGGGGAACCAGGCTCCTGCGTGCGTCAGTAGCGGGACCTGTGGCACCAGCAGCAGCAGTAAGAGAAGGCGTACCCACGTCAGTAGTTTCGACGATACGTGGGCAGACAGCTTCTAAAACCGATGCAGGAACACCTGCATCCTCACAAGCAGCAACAACACCAGCAGAAATAGGGTTCTGGCGGGTTGTTACTAGGCGTAGAAAGCATCGTAGAGACTCTGGCTTTAAAAGATACAATTGTGGCCGAAGTGCCCTAGCATGCAACGCCCCGCAACCGGCATACTCCTCAGAAGGTGCTATAACAACAGCGCAAGAAGACACAGCAGCGCTTTGCAGCACCACTCACGCTGAAGATGAAAGGGTAGAGGCTGGACCAAAACAATGCTATTCAAATGGGTGCCACTCAATGGAGGCCACTGCTGCACCCACACTCGCAGGCGACCCCTCAACTGCCTTCGTGTGGGTTGAAATCCCGTAAACAAACTTTCACACGAAGCTAAATATAGGATTTCAGCGTTGAACTGTGTTTTTAGTGGTGGGTCATGGGGTCTGTGACTTATTCTATGTTGGCTGTGCAAATGATAAGGCGTACAGGCACTCTGAAGAGGCTCTGGAAGAGCTACTAGCAATAGACAAAAGGCTGGAAGAGCTAGCTAGCCAGATGGCTGCCCAGCAGGTCGTCTGGAACGTACAGCTGGCATCGTCTACATTTCAGGAGCTACCTGAATCCACTCCAAAACCAGTGGGAGAGCAGCCGGCAGCCCTCCTGGATATCCCAATTAAGAATGGTCCTGTGGTATCGCGCGCCTCAGAGGGGCATTTTGAATCAGAATGGACCATGCAACATGAGGTAAACTATCCAGCACAGACGAATGCATCGGCTAAAGGCGGCGAAACCTCATTTTCTTCCTCATGCCATTTGGTGGCCACTCGCTTCCCCCAGCATCGCCACGTCGGCCGCCGCAGCCACAGCAGTACTACCCTTTCAAGATGTTGCACGAATCTCCAGCCAGGAAATACGCGTTTCCGCAGCCGTAGCAGCTGAGGATCTGAGTAGCTGACACTTCGCGTGCGGGCGCCTCAGAACCGTTGAAACGGGGGGGAAATCAACCTCTATGAGAAAAAGGCCCATCCCGAAGGGCCGTGGAGAGAGCTGCAAAGCATCGATGCAGCAGATGTACCTAGGGCAGCGAGAAAGGCGTGATATAAGAACAGTGGCGAATCCCAATAAGAGGAGCGGCGGTATCCTCGTTAGGGGCCCTTGACCAATCACAATAGTTATGCTAAATCTCGCCATGCGGAACCTCGCCGCGGCAAACTGAGGTGCGAGGATTCCCTAGCTGGCATGGTGTACTGATCTCACTGCACGCGAAGTCTTGCTATGTCGAAGAGTTCTCTCCGAAAGCTGTTTTGTAAACGGATATCAACTTATGGCAACAAGTCCAACAGCTGCAAGAGCCTTAAGCTGTAGATGAGGGACAGCGAGAGCACTAGCGGCACAAGCCACAGACGTAGCTGGTGCATTTTCCGTTGCTGTAGCAGCCCTTGAATAGCTCTTGGAACCTCTGTAAGTTCTCTTGGGGCCTTCAGCATATCAATGCGACCGTGTACAACAGTATTTTAGGCAACGAAAGGTAGTTCCACAAGAGGGCCCCGTTGGGAGGATTTCAAGGCCTTCAGGAGCTATTGTAGTGCATGCCCTCCTGGAATCTCCGCGAGGCTCCCTGCTTCGAGAGCCGGACTCAAGTTGGCACCTATGTACTGCAGAACGCTTCAGGGATTCGGCATACGAGACTTCGCCCAGATGGGGAATGGAAAACGGCGTGGAACTTGGGGGGACTATGTTAAGTAGCATATCAAACCCCAAGCTCACTAAAAAAAAATTTCCAGGTTCACGTACTAGAGACTAAGAGATTTTTGAATCCTTGAGCACGAATAAGTGCCCTCCAAGCTTCTGTACCGGTTGCCTTTGACGACACTCATATCCCCCAGAGAAGCGTGTCAACTGGGACTGTACCCCAAGTCTTTCATACTTTATGGCGGCAGGGTATGTTAGGCTACAGTAGAAGTCGTTTTGGCGCTCGGACAGCGAACCACTATTTTCTGCCCCGAAGGCTCGAGCGCTGCTGAGCTCCCCGTTATCCAGCAAACTACAGAGTATGTGCCAACTCAGTTGTAGGCTTGACCCATAAGCCTCCCTGTGCATCAGTGTGTTCATCTTCGTCCGCCTCCTTATCTGGCTCTGTACATTCCCCGTTTTGGCTGGTTTTTGTGCCTCCGCTAAGTACTATTGCTCCCCCTCGCAGGATAAGGGGGCAACACATCCCACAAAAAGCCCTCTTTTGTGCCCCCCTTTCTCCATTCCGAGCCACAAACTTGTTGTGAGCAGTCTCTGGCGGGTGTTTTAGGGCCTTCGGCTAAGGCGCAGCTTCGGGGAGGCACATTGTGTGGGTAGCTCCTGTTCTCCAGAATGCCAATGCATGTGAGTAGGAGAGATTGAGCTCTGAAGCCTATAAAATCCACAATTGGTTCCATTTTTGCCGGCACAGAGTGTCGCCCATCAGGCGAGTTTGCATGCCCCCTTGCTCAGCGGGCCAGCACACAGCGGCGGGCGTCTCCATCCTCGTTATTATTCAAGAGCGCGAAATCAGAGGGCCGACCTTCCAATGAATGCTCTATGCCTACTTTTTAGATTTGCTATGACTGTTTTGCGCGTGTGCCCAACTTGGAAGATCTCATTTTGTCTACCGGGACTCGGGTCTAAACGCCGGCAGCGCTGTGCGGACTGCTCCTTTTTCGTCGTGTCTTGTAGAGCCAATGCGCCAAGTGGCAAGAATAACATGGTCCTTGTAGTTCCTCATTAATCGCATCCGCGAAGGTGAATACACGTCGCTGCGTCGTAGGAGTTTGGTTGCAAGGAGGAGTTCGTAACCGATTGCGTGTTAAACTCGTCGATACCCACTTCTCCTCCGCAGCATATCGGGTCTAAACCAAATATCCCAAGAAAGAGCTCAAATCCCGGTGTATTAATTATCGCCTTAATCGACACTCCGGCTCGCAATAATGGTGTCTGCGAGTTCTCCGATGGTCGTCCTCCCTTCCGCGAGTCTTCCGCGGGAGATGCTTATTCTTCGGACTTCTTCTGAGGTGGCAGTTCACCGCAGCAGGCGTCCGCCGCTGCGTGAGGGCTTTCCCCCCTCTTGCCCGATTCTGGGTGCGACGGAAGAGCAGCAGCTGCTGCAGCGGCAAGAGGCCACAGCCGGTGGCTCACATGTGGGGCCCCGCAGGCGGATCGGCTTTGTGCCGACGTTGGGGGGCCTCCATGAGGGTCACCTTTCCCTCATCAGGGCGGCGAGCCGCCAGTGTGATGAGGTGTGGGTATCGATATTCTTGAACCCAACGCAGTTTCAGAGCCAGAACGACTTCGACTCGTATCCAGGGGATCTGCAGAGCGACATTCAGCTCCTTCGCACCAAGACGGAAACGCAAGTCCTTTTCCTCCCAGACGTGCGGGAGATGTATCCGAATCTTGCGCAGCGAGAAGCCCGAGATGACACGGGAGCTCAGGGAACCCCAGTAGGGACACAAAGTGCAGAGGCATCGTTTGCGGATCTCGAGATCAACTTTCGCAACATTGAATGCTGTCCTGGGGAGGGCAGCCGGAGACCGGGATTCTTTAAGGGTAAGGATGGCTGAACTGTACAGACACTTCGGCCACAGGGCTGCACTTGCCATGTACGCAAGCACAACACATATCTGGAGCAAGAATTGAAAAAGCCTCTACAGAGCATGAGCAGTCGTAGGTACCTTGCATAGTGGCCTGCAGAGATGGAAAGCCCGCCTAAACCGAATTTTGCATGTAGGCTGATAGCTCGGTTCCTGTTAAAGATCTTGCGGGGAGGGCGGCGGCTCGCTGAAGAGTGGCGGTAGGGGAGGCCCCCACCCTTGTGCGAATAATTGGCAGTAGGCTGTGCCTCTTATGTCCGCAAGCCTCGCGAGTCTAACATGAGAATAGAAGGGTCCTCTGCTTATAGGGTTCGCCTGATTCTTCCTACTCCGGCCGCACTCTATCTCAGTTTATGCGTCTGTAACTGTCTGTATCCCTGGGCCTGTTCCCTGCCTCTGTGTGTGTTGCCTCCTCCCCTGCTGACCTTGACCGCGTGCGTGTCATTTACCTTAACTGCACTGGAAGCTGCATAGGCCTGCGCCCGCCTGCTGTTCTCGCTCTCGCGCGGTGTATGACCCTTCGCTGCCGTCAATAGGGCCTCCTCTGTATCGGTCCCTGGAGAATTACAGTAGTGCCTCCATCACTGTGCCCCTCCGTGGTTTTTTCAGCCTCTTTGCTCTCCTCCGACTTCTCGAGAGTTCCTGGGGTGTCTCTTCTGGTCTGTCCAGCTGCCTTTGTAGTGGTGGACTTAAACCGGCTGACACCGGCACGATATTTCGAAACGGAGAACATGTGTATGTGTGACGCTACTGCTCTGTGTCTGTAGGTGTTGGTCAAATCGTGCAGAAATTGTTTGCTCTGGTGCGGCCTACGCATGTCTTCTTCGGTCAGAAGGACTTCCTGCAGACTGTCTGCGTTAGGGCCCTTGTGCGATGCAGCTGCCTAGACACCCGCGTGCTGCTGTGTCCCATCGCGCGCCTCCCCTCTGGCCTGCCTCTTTCATCTAGAAACAATAGACTCAACAAAGAGCAAATGCAACTTGCACATGATGCATCCTTGGTTCTTAAGGAAGTAAGGCGCCACAGTGGCAACGGATCAGACATCCCCAAATTGCATTGCGTATCTATTCCAGGGGTGTTTTCTAGGCTCTGGAGGAGGACGTAGGTCCCCATTCGTAGGGAACCCCTTAGTGTCGCGGAAGCTCCATGCCGTCTCCTAGCTGGTCTTTGAATTAAAAAGAATCTCCCTGGGAGAGAGAGGTGCAGGCTGCTGCCGGCCCCTGACTTGTTTGTGCAGGTTGAGACCCTCTACGAAAAGGGGGTTCGGGAGGTTGCAGCTCTAGAAGCAGCAGCAACGGCAGCTGCAGCGCGTGTGGGCGTCCCTCTGTACTATGTTGCCTTTAACCGACAGGCCGACGGAGACCCCCTGGTGGAAACAAGCGACTCGCCGAGCGGCCCCCTCCAGCTGCCGTGCAACGAGCAAATCTGCGTTGCTGTGGCCATAAAGGTTTCCCCAGACTGTACCATTGTTGATAACTTCATCCTTTCGGACACACACAAGTAAGCGAAGATGTGGGGGGATTGGGGTCTCTCCTCGCACACGCAGAGGGAGGTTAAACAGCGTGCTTGTGTTTGTGAAAGGGGCAGCGTAGGGGTGTGGCTGGTGTCCTATTGTAGCGAAGCCGCCGGATATGCGGCCACATGCCCGCTTGCATACGGATTCAGATTTCAGTAGGGGTGGCCGTGCGGGTTCGGCTAAGCACATGCTGCTTGAGCGTGCACTGCGGCACTCAAGTTGACTGGGTCTGGTTGCTCGAGTGTAGCTGCAGCTAAGCGTTCTTGTCAGCAATTCACGGAGGTGTTCTAGTAGGTTTGTTGCTACTGCTTCTGGCCTAGGCACGGAGACCTACTGCCTCCCCTCCTCAACTCCCCAGAGGCAGTCGCAGGCCCTTCCGTCGCCCTTCTCCCACCGCACGCGGCTCCCTGTGTGCTGCTGCTGCGCTCCCTGTCCCTTCGGCTGTTCCACATGGATCCGGCACGGGGAGCTCCAGGAGAGGAGAAGATTCTTGGGGAGCTGGAAGCCCTAGAGCTGTCAGACGCCGCTGTTCAGCGCCTTTCGGGGGAGGAGCAGCGGGTGTTGTGGCCCTGGGGTGCTTGGAGTGAAAAGAAACGTAGGACTGACGACGCTCCGCAGACGGAGTACTTTCTTCTCAGAGACCACAAGGAACCGAACGCAAGCACCCTCATTGCCTACCTTGCTTTCACGAGGGGCCCTGGAAAATCAACAAGTGCCTCCGAGCGCCTCATTGAGATCCAGAGGCTCTTTGTCGCTCCCAGTCGCAGACGCAGTGGCCTGGGTGAGGCCTTCTTCGGTGTCTGCATGCTGGCCTTGCACCAGCAGTGCCCGCAACAGCAGCAACTCGTCACGTGCGTCGTCCCCCGCCTCGCCATTAAGGTGGTAGAGAGTCTAGGCCTTGCCGAGGCTCCAGAGTCCCCTACAGAGGGGAAGCCTGGGGATGTATCGGTCTGCGTGGACCTGCACCGTCTTGTTCAGCGCCTCCTCCGCCCATAGGGCACCCCGAGTGCGCGACTCTCGAGATCGTTGAGGCCCTCGAACTCTTGCGAGTGGAATGGCTTGTGTTCCGTGTCTAGTAGCCCTCCTACGGGGGTGGGTACGAAAAGGGAGCTTCTAGTATACCAGCTCGCGCGGGCTTTAGAGGCGGGTTCTGCGTCGGGTGTCGCTTGTCTGGCAGCCAGCCCTTAAATAAACCCGTAAGGCTGCCAAGACGCTTAAGATTATTACGGCTTACTCTTGGAGACCCTATGCAGGGCCCCTAGCCTCAACCGATACGGGGGCAAAAGAGGTACGGACACGAGGGCCAGCACTGCACAGACGCCCCGGGCGAAGAAACACACGACGCTCCTCTGTGTTTCACAGCTGCAGGAGCAACGGCTGCTGCTGCTGCTGCTGCTGCGAAACCCTGTGGCTGCGCCTCCCTCCCCGTGCCCCCTCCAAAAGCTGAGGCCCCCGCTGTTCAAGTCTCGCGCATTTAACGCGCCCTTGATAGCTGTGCATGCCCGCATTTGGCTCGCAAGTCGAGCAGCTACAGCAGAAAATCTCGACGCTGCTGCTGCAACGAAGAAAAGGTGTGGCACCCCGGGGTCTGCTGCGCCTCGCGCAGTGGCGCTCGCTCTCCCTTAGAGGGCCCGTAGACTGCGGAGCGGCGACGCGCTTCGGGCAGTTGTCGTCCGTCTTAGCGCGCGAACAGGGGGCCTCGGCGCTTTGAAGGGCCCTAATGCCGCCGCGTGGAAGCCCCTCACGGCGTAGGGGCCCCTACCGAATGCATGCTCGAGAAAATTGTGCGTTGAAAAGAGACAAAAAGGCCGTGGTCGGCCCCTTGAGGCCCCAAAGGAACGGCCCGGTGGTTGTACGATCACCACGGTTCCACGAATCTGGGTTCTCTGAACCTCCTCTCTTGGCGCCCCTCTGCAGGGCCCCCTCTCCTCTCTGGCCCCCTTCGAAAGCCGCCTCTGAAGCCGTCGGAGTCGCCTTGGACTCCCCTGGGCCCTTGAAGCTCGAGATGCAAGGCTTTGCCTTCGATGCGGCGGCCGTCGAAGGCCTCTACAGCCCGGCGGGCATCGGAGACACTCTTGAACACGCAGCCTCCGGTTCCCTGCATGCACAAGCAGCGGCAGCCGCAGCGACGCTAGCGCCGCTACGCAGAGAAGCTAGAGGGAGCCGACAGGCAGGGGCCTCGCAGTGAAGCGGCAGCGCAAAAGACAAGCAGCAGCCTGCGCAGAGACTGAGGCCGCTCTCCGCCACCCGGCTTCCGCATGCCCCCAAATGTATGCAGCCTCTCGAAGCCTTCGCCACTCCGAGACTTACAAGGCTCCTGTCTGTCCGGTCGAAGTCGATCCAGACCTTGTTGAGGCCCCCCACGCTCTCGAACAGCTCCCGCAGCTCAGACTCCAGCACGGAGTAATCCAAGCCACTTATGCGTACCACGGCGCTGCGCGGAGACGCACGGGAGGGGGCCCCTCCATAAGGGCCAGCGTAGGGGCCCACCCCCCCACGACCGCGGGGAGAGGGGCCTCCGTAGCCTCCCCGGCCACCTCTGTACGAACCGTAGCCGCCGCTAGCGCCGCCACGACCACCCCTGTAAGCGCCTTCCCCTCGCTGCAGCAGAGCCAGCACTCACAGCAACACTGGCACACACGCATGCAGACGCTTCCCAGAGCCGCGTTCGCATCGCTTTCTCAGGAGGCAGGAATGGAGTCTTCAGGCCGGAGAGTGACCGCGCCGATCTGCTGCAGCATCACTGAAAGGGGTAGTGCAATGCCGCCTGGTGCACCCTGAGCAGCAGGAATAGCAGCACTGGCCCCACCATGTATCCTCCCCGCCGGATGGGGCCCTCTCCCCTTTCTGCTCTCCCTTCCCTGCGCTGCGCCTCGACAATGTCGTCTGAGAAACACATACGCATACACACTCACACATACACCGTGAAACACGCCAAACTTTGCGACACCCCAGGGGTTAGGCACGGCACTCAGCAACACCCGCAAACGGCAACGGAGGCACAGAGGCTGGCTGCCATGCGGCAGTAGCGTCAGCAGGAGCCGCCGCCTCAGTGCCGTAGACACCTGCCGACTTGCAAATCATACCCAGCGACATGTCCAACATGGACTTCGCCATTGTGCTGCTGCTGCCGTTGCCGCCGCTGCCTCCTGACGCTGCCCTGCCACCAGCTGTAATTCAGATGGGTTGCTTATTGAAGAAGGTGCTGCCTGCTGATCCTAGCAGCAATACTTGGGATCTTTACCCTTCGCCCCTGAGTGCTGCCGGTGCACTACGGGTAGGTTTCAGTCTTCAACAGAACGGGCAACGCCAAAGTAGTGGCGCCAAAACACCAAACTTCTAGAAATTGTATCTATGAGTTTCGACGCGATGGCAGTAACGCCAGCAGAGCAGCTGCAAAACCAGCAGCGGCAGCAGCAGTGGCAGCCAGGGGGGCCCTGTGGAGTTCGAACTTGGCTGCAAAGTGGCATGCCATCCCGCGTCTCTATGGAAGGTGCTGCTGCGCTAAACACCAATTTATTGACCAATAGTCGTAGAACCCTGCTGGCCCTTCGCAACTAACGCTGTCTTCCCTGATGCCGATGGTGCCGCCCGGCGCCGAAGTTTGACTGCGTTCGACTAGGGGATTTCGGCGCTGTGGTCCTTCTCTGCACATTTTAAGATGGTGTAGGTGAATAGGGGCCTTCAAGTAAAGCAAAGACAAAGGGGACTGCATGTGTGGACCGCGGCACCAGGAATTGCCACAAAAAGATTGGAAGAAGCTGCAGCGCGAGCAACGGTCTCCGCAGCAGTGTACTTTCGCGGATCTGCTGCAATTATCGTGTAGATGCGCTAGGCGTCACTGTGCTAAGCCCGTGGGTGGCTGATGATGCAGGAAAGGCCCTCCTTGTCTGGTTCCTTTTGGGCGCTGCTGTTGGTACTTCACCGTGCTCATGTTTTCTCTGGCATCAGGCCTGCTGCGCTGGATAACGCAGCCGCAGGAGGTGCGCGTGCTGCTTCTGGGCCTTGAGAGGAGTGGCAAGACGACCCTCGCCTTGCAACTAAGTTCGAGCCGCAAGGGCCAGAGGGGCGGCAGTGACAGCAACGGGAGAGTGCTGCCTGCCGTGCAACCCACGAAGGGGTTTGCGTTGTACAAGGTGCAGCAGCACCATCTGCAGCTGTTGCTGTGGGACCTAGGAGGCAGCCAGCCCTTCCGCTGTCTGTGGAGCGCGTACGTAAGGGACGCCGACCTCTGCCTCTTTGTGGTAGACAGCGCAGACCCTTGCAAGCTCCCCGAGGCTGCCGCTGCTCTTGCCGGAGTGCTTGCCGATGTCGGTGCTGCTGCTTCGAAGCAGGAGCTCAAGCGAAGCCTGCCAGCGCGCGTGCCCGTGCTGGTCGTCTGCAGCAAACAGGACGAGCCGGGGGCGGCGCAGCCTGAAGCGTTGCTGCAGCGCTTGGTGCTGCTGCTGTTGGAGCAGCGGCAGGAAGCGAAGCAACAGCAGCAACCCCTGGAGCAGCTGATCAGAAAACACCTTGCGGGGTGTGTTGGCTTCGACGCGCGCAGCCTCACGGGACTGGAGACAGTGCTGCGGCACGCAGCTGCAGCAGCGGGGACGCAGCACGAGCACCGTCAGGCGGACATAGTTGCCACTGCCCTCGCAACAGCAGCAGCAGAAGCAGAAGCAGCAGCAGCTGCAGCAGCAGCAGCAGCGGCTGCCAGACAGCTGCCCCCCTCGGTGCCGATCGCAGCCTCCACGGACTTGCGCCCACCTGATGAGCAGCCGGAGGAAACTCCCGAGCACGATCCCCTGGAAGACTCTTCGCAGCGGCAGCGGCGGAAGCAGCCTCTCGAGCAGTCACCACCAACGAACGACCCCCAGCTACGTGCGAAGATTCAAAATGAAAAGATCCCCGCAGAAGCGACGGTTCAACAGCAGCCTGGAGCCACGAGCAGCAGCAGCAATCAGTCGCTCGCCACCATGAGCGGATTGATGAGGAACACTCCCGAAGAGGACCTCGCAACAGCGGCCTTGCCACGAGGCATTCTCAGCAGGAGCCCGACGAATGTGCGAGGCGTCAGCTGGAAGGTTTTGTACGAGCCAGACGACTCGGGGGAATTCCACAGACTGCTACAGCGACAATCCCTCGCCGCCTTGCACAGAACGTAGGTCGTGCAGAGCGTTTCTCAACGGCCCTTCTGCCTCCCCGACGCTCTCCTATGTGGCGCCGGAGCAGAGCACGTTGCGCTCCTGTGAGCCTTCTGCCCTCACGCCCCTCGCCTCTGGGCCCCGTGTAGTACCTCTCGATGCGGCAGTTTCTTTTTCTCTGCGAAGCTCCCAGCACTGCTGCCCGCATACTGTCTGGCGGCTGAGCCGCTCCCGTTCGAATAGCGAGCGGGGCGCAGTCCCGGGCAGTTGCTGTTGCAGCGTGTTTTTTTTGTTTCCTTGTTGCAAAGGATGCTCGTGTACCGGCGTTTAAGAGGGGCAGTGGGCAGGCGACTAAGGGCGGGAGTGGATGGGGGGTGAGTGCGCAGTGGTTCGCCGCAGCACGGAGGCGTGCAGGGGTCACACCACGGCTATTTTCCTTCAGTCGAAATGAAAGACTCGATTCTCAGCAAAAACGCGGATAAGCGGGCTCCTCTCCCTCCTTCCCGCAGGGCCGCTGCTGCGCGACGCCACGCGGGAGGAGGCGAGGAAGGGAGTCACTGACTGTTCTATACTATATAGGTCTGTGCGCCCTTTCCGTCGGAAGGGGCAGGCAGACGTAGGCGCCTAACACGAGCGCTTCGCCACTGACTAGTCCTGAGCCTCAGTTCGGCCGCGAAACCTTGGACGGCCTAGCGCTCGCTTCCGAAGACGCTGTTCGTTTACCCGGCTCTCCGACCTCTTGCGCCTCCTCTGTTTCCTCTCCCTCGCCCTCGGCGCCATCCAGCTCCTCGTCATCTGCATGTTCAACACACACACGCGACGGGGGAACGTGCAAGAACGGCCTCTTGCATGCCCCGAATTTGAGGACCTGCTGAGCACGCGGCCGACAGGTTCAAAGGCGTGAAGTTCAAAATGAGGCCTCCCGAACAAAATAGCGCCGCCTTTCGGAGGAGAGGCACCATGGGGGGAGGGGGGGAGGGGGGCGGCGGGGAAGGGGGGAGGACGCCGTTCGAGCCTAACCTTCGTCCTCTTCATCGATATCTTCATCATCCTCTGCGTCGCAGGGGGGCTCAAAATCCTCTGCGTCTTCTGCATCCTGCTCAGGCATCTCGGCCTCATAGAAATCTTTGAGTGTGGTGTCCACCTCTTCACCTTCGTCTGCATGTCAGCCCAACACAAAAAGCCGCGCTTGCGATGAGCCGTACGACGCACGGAGCGTCAAGGGCAACCCTGGTGGCATCCAGGCCCCATTCGGCCCGCTTTGTGGCAAGTGCAAGTGGTGTGGGGGCAGACAGATCGAAGGCTAACAACTCAAGGTCGCGCAAACACAAACATGGATGCTTAGTACAGGTGCAGAACAGACACCTGACAGAAACGCACATCCAGTGAACCCTGCCTTACCATCTTCCTCCTCCTCGGAGTCAGAATCTGCTGCCTCCCGCTCCTCCCCCTGTCTGTCCCGTGAGTCCAGAACTACCAGAGAAGGCACAATAGAGAAAACCTTTTCCCTGTAATTAGCCAACGAAGCAACCGGGTTCAGATCCAGGCCCAACTGCTCCAGCTGTGAGAGGCGCGCCTGTAAATTACACGCATACCCAAAAAATGCGTCTTAAAGCCAAACACCTGCAACCCAACCGTCTAGAAAAGGCAGGAAATCTGTGGCTGCTCTTGGGACTGCCTGCGATGGACCCCACCAACGGCTCGAGGTCTTCAAAGGTTTTGATATGATTTCCGCCCAGTTGCAGCTTTCTAAGGTTTGGAAACGCATCCACTAAGAGCTTGAGGCACGACGAGATGTGGTTATCCGTGGCTTCCAAGGTTCGAACGCTGGACATGCACGGGAGGTTGGCGAGGGAAGCCAAGCCGGTTTGGTTGAGAGTGAGCTTAGTCAAATTGTGGAACTTTTTGAGGGCTGCTGCATCCTCCGGGGTGATTCCGCGGATGCTGCGGCCGTCCAGAATAAGCTCTGTGAGCTCCTGGTAAACATCCACTCCACTGGTTCCATTGGGGGCCCCCGCCGGGGGCCCCCCGTCCTCTGCGGCTACCGCGGCCAGGAACTGCTCCACGCGCTCGGCTATGGCTGCCTCCATTCTCTGTCGAGTGTAGACCCTAGAATCCTTAAAGGGGGAAGGCAAGTGGAAAACAAGTGAATGGTATGCGAAAGCTCGGGAACACGACCACAGTGAACTGTGAGAGACCCTAAACCCTGTTGCCGGGATGCCACGGGGAGAGCCGGCGAGGAGTCCGGTTGTTCGTGATACCCAACAACAAGCAAGAATAAGAAAACTATATCGTCTCGAACTATGGGTACATAGAGAAGAAAGATTTCGGAGACATAGGACGGCTCACGAGAGGCACAGCCTGCCGTGGGGGCTGCACGGGTGGGGTCGGTGGGCGAAGGCTGCTGCTTGGGTAGCAGCTAATTGTCCTGCCTCGCTTCTATGGGCAATATGGCAACACTAAGTGAAATAAAATCCACTATTGAGAAAGGACTCTGTACACAAATCTATGGAGGCGCATAACTGTTGCTAGACAGGATGCAACGGTATGGCTGGTAGACACCGTTTCCGTGCTGCTCCTTCTAGACACGACCGATGGGCCGTTGTTTGCGAGACAGACAAGTGCATTCAGAATGGTGATAGATCAAATGTATGCAAGATTAAAGGACACTGTTGGCGCCTGAATATGTATCTGCTCATCCTTAGAGCGTGGGTAGCAGATACGTCAGGCACACAGAAGCACCAGGAGCAGGAGGTCGCTGTGGGGGACTCGGCAGAGCAGCCCCTCACGAGCAGGCATGACTAGCCCATAGAACACGTAAGGCCGGGATATCTGGAGTAAACAAGAGAGATGTATGTCGGATATAGGCGTCTGTTAGCTACTGGATGCAGTTCAATTGGGTTATGGTCGTCTAACTGCCTGCAAACCCCCCCTTGCTCAAAATCGTGCAAAATGGTTGAGGCGGATTATATCGTAGGAAAAATCGTTGTGCTTTGATACATCCGTGAAGGGGGCTAGAGATCTGTAATGCTCCACCTCCAAACATAGTAATACGAGCTGTCAAAAGGTCATTGCACACATGCAAACGGCCAGTGAGGCTCTTTGTGAAACAGAGCCTACATGAGGTCTGCATAGTCAGACGCAACATATGGGAGTAATAACAAGAGAATAAATCATTTTTATATCCCAAATCAATGTCGGTTCAAATACGAGGTTGCCCATACACCGGAATTGCACTCACTGTGGTGAGAGCAGAATTAGCCATCAGAGTTTAAAATCTCTTGTCAAACAAAATGAAAATGTATTACTTTTTCATTTTCGCGCTTCCTATTTCATTCAACTTTCTCAAGATTCCAGCAGTTTGTGCGGATCGGCCCCCAGCTTTCAGGTTCTCCCAGGTATCGCCGACCACACGAAACTGTTAAACGACGAACCAGAACACATTGCGTGAAAACCGGAATTAGTCTACATCGAAAATTCCAGGCTTTTCAGAGACCAATCCACCGCCGTATACTGTCATAAACATTGCCGCCGAAGCCCGACTCATGACGGTAGGTTTCTGCTTGTTTTCATTTAATCAAAAGGTATACACTGCTGCGTTCAGGACCCCTTGGAAGGTATTCCAATACCTTTTTGTCCATTATTATACAAACTAATGCGACTGTGTTTGTATGGGCTGGAACACACGAAGAAGTAAAGCGAAGGGCCGAGGTACTCTATGCGGTTGCCTCTCGTTTCCGCTTTCCTCATCACTCCACCTGCCTCTCTTTGTGACAGCGAAAAGGACAGATCCGTATCGTTCATGACCTTAATCAGTGAGCCTCTTTTTGAAGATTTGCAAGCATAACTGTGCAAAAGGGCACAGCCCTGCAATACGGCCCGGCCACAATTAAACTCCTGAAACCTCACGGAACGCCATGTGCAGGCAAGCCAAGGAGAACATGAAGTCGTTTAAGAGTCTCCAAAAAGACCACAAGAAGTTTTCCAGTGAGTAGCGCACTTTTGATCGAACAAAATGTACATGCAGCAAAATAATAGAACTCCTCCAACAGAACGTATTCACTCGCTGAGAAATCCTATTGCCTGAGCGCAGCCCAGTTGTGGCTCTGCCTGTTTGTGGCTTCTCCCTGTGGAGGCTCTTTGGGGACCTCTACAGCTTTGTTTTGCATACAACAACAGATTCGAAACACTTTGAAGTTGACCACCTAACAAAAGGAGCCAAAGCAATTTTCTTATAGATCACAAAATGCGGTCTTTACCAAAGTGTGAACGGAGTTCGAGAAACGCTCCGGCGCTTTTGATGCTGTACCTCGTGCTGTGGTAGCAGGGATGAGTGCAGAAGGAAAAACAGCCACTGCATGCGCTGCTGCCTTCACAGCTGCAAATTTTACACCAGTGCAAAAGGGGTCCGAGGCAAGAGGCGAAGGTGCTCTCATAGTTTCGAGTCGCCCCTAGTAAGCTGAAGCACCCGCTTTTGGAGCAGAAGCTACTGCCCGAGTTGCGGTGGCTGCCCCTGCAGCAGCTACAACTACTGTTGTAGCAGCTGCGGAAGAGGCTGGGAAGTGCCCCTCTCAGCCATTCGCGCTGCATACCTCGCCCTGCTGTTACGAATCATTTGTTGATATTGCTCCCTCAGCGACCCTTGGGTCGATGCTCTTGGCTGTTCTCTAGCGAGGCCAGTGGGGTGGCTTCCGTCCACAGCCATGCTCTCCTGGAAGGCTTCCGCATGATCAGTGCCGTTAGTGTTCCCCCCTGTAGGCGTCAGCCATTCAACGCGTACAGAAAAAGCACTATACTGGGGTAGTTGCTCCTGCAGCTTCTCTGCAGCAGCTGTGGCTGCTGCAGCTGCAGCTGGATCCGAGCGCAACTTGTTGAGCCTCTTTAGATCCTTACAGAGGGGGTGTCGAACCCAAAACGAAACAGGAGGGCAAATAGCTGCCTGTGCTGCCCTTGCTGCTGCTGTGCCTGCGGCTGCTGTCTGATTCTGGAGGGTTGCAGCAAAGGCCTCGGACAGGTCAAGCAGCTGTGTCTCTCCGTCTTCGTCTGTGAGCGTTGCTGCTGCGGCGTATGCTGCAGCCGCAGCTGACAAGGGCTCGAAGCAAGACCAAAGCAGCGGCTGTTCTGCTGATGCTGTACATTCTGCTGCTGAGGGGCCTCGCACGGGGGGCAGCGCGAAAGCTGGGCTGCACGGCGGGAGGCCGGTGAGCGGTTCCGTGTGCGAGATGAAGCGTCGTAGGGCCTGCACAAAGAAACACACAACCCCTGCCTCTATTGAGAAAAAGCAGCAACGGCAGTTGCCTGTGCAAGGCTGCACGTTATTCGGTGCTACGCACTCTAGGCGTGCCACCTAAAAGCGCATAATACGGAACCCCACAGAAACGCCGACGAAGGAAGCAGGCAGGGCTGGCATGGACACATTAGCCCCAAAAAAGCCTCCCAAAGCTCCTCCGGAGCGCCTAAAGCGAAGGCACCACGAGTTATGCTGCGACAGCAGTGAAGGCCTTCAAAGACCGCAAGGCTACCTTGTACAACGGGGTGTTTTCTCTTTCCTCCAGCGGTTGCACGGCGTCAAACTCCGTGGCGCTTTCCACGACCTCCACATTCTTCTCTATGCGCTCGAAGTCGGGATGCATCAGGTCCCACACTCTGCGCCTCTTCGGCTGCAAAAGCAGCAAGAGCCCCTGTCTCTTCTCGAGGGCCACCAACGTACTGCTGCTCGTGCTGCTGCTGGTCACGTCGCCGCTCCCAGCAGCGAATGCAGCAAACGCAGCCGTGTAGACACCTGCGGGGAGGCCACAGCTGCTACGAGGCCCCCACTGCATCTGCTTGAAAGGCTGCAGTTTGCTAGTTTCCAGAGAAAGGACGATGGCGTCAATCGCGTTAGGTGCAGCCACGTCTATCATATACAGCCCAGTCGTGCTGCCACGGTCCGCCGAAACTGCCGCAACAGACGGCTGCTCTGTGCTGCTACTGCTGCTGAAGCAGCAAGCGGTATACTTTTCCCGCTGCACGCGGTCTTGCTGGACAAATTGCAACGTGAGCTGCAGCGGATAAGAGGCTTCTTCTGCTTCGCAACTCTCCTCCGTTGCCTCCCCGCTATCCTTCTCGGCTGCACTTTCTGAGCCGTCTGGTGCTTCTTCCAGCGATACAACTGCTTCCGACAATACCGGAAGGTCGCAGGCATCTCGCGGACAGGATCTGCGCTTTCTGCCGCCCTCGCCGTCTTCCCGAGAAGCCTCAATCTGCTGCTCACCCTCTTGAAACTGTGACTGTCCGCTGCCTGCGTCCTGCAGCGGCTCCCTACCCGCACCATCCTGCCGAGGCCTCTTCCTCGCCTCGTGCGTGTCACTGGCGCTCTCTGAGCTTCCCAGTGAGCTAACCGCTTCTGCTCCTGCAGTGGCTTCGGTTTCTTTCGTTTGTTGACAAGCGTCTTGAGCAGTTTCCGTTGCAGGCGTTGCTGCCCCGTTTTGAATTTCGGTCGTGCTAGTGTCTTCTGCGTGTGCTGCTGCTGCTGCTTCTTCGTCTCCCTGGTTTCTGCTTGCTGTCTCGCTTTCTGTCGATGAGGATTCGGAAGTAGTGCGTGCTGCTCCTGTGGGGGAGATGCGGACGGCAATGATCCTGTCAAGTGATCTGAGCAACAGCATGCCTCCATCTGGCCGTGCCTTCACCTCCAGCGGCCCTGCTGCCACACCAAACTGTGCGAATGCTACGATCTCTGCAGGCAGCTGCGGCGCCTCGTGCTGGCCTAGCCGCAGGAGCCACAGCATGCCGGTTGGCGAGCACACTGCCACAAGTTCCTCGACCTTTTCCTGCTGGTAGTAGTGGCGACAAGGCTGCTGGATAGAGAGGAGCTGCAGTCTCAGCTGGCTCAGCGGGCGGCGGAAGAAGCTGCAAAAGGGAAAGTTGCTGCTGCGGCCTGACACGGACCACCTGTCGCTGCCGGCGCAGCTGCTGCTGTGGCTCCTGCGTGGCGGCAACAGCTCGCCGCAGCAGCACCACAGGGTGTCTGCGCTGCAGCAGCAGCAGGACGGAGGCAGCAGGGAGAGAGACGACAGAGCAAAGGCTGCGGGGAGAGCGGGATCGTGCAGCACAGGGCGCTGCTGGTGCTGGAGGTGGTTCCGCAGCAGCTGCTGCTGCAGATATTGCAAGAGCAGCTGCTGCGGCCGCAACACAAACTGCAGCAGCAGCGGGGCGGTGTAAATACAGCTTTCTCCATCGCCCCGAGGATCCGCGGCGAAAGAGACAATCAGAGACATTCGACCCACTCCAGAGAGCCTCTCTAGGTCGGCCGCTGCTGCCAACGATGCGTCAGCAGCCGCCGAATCTGCTGCTGATGACGCGCATGCATGAGTGTTGTTACACGCCCTGCCAGATGGAGCAGAGGTACCAGCGGCAGCAGCGGCCATCGCATCTGCTGCGGCTGCACCCGCAGCAACAGCGAGCCTCCAAGCATCGTCTGCTCTTCTCTCAGTCAAAGAGACAGCCGCAGGCAGCGTTAGAGACACGACCTGCAAGCAGAAAACCTTCACGCGCTCGTTCTCTGCCACTCCCGCTGTCTCCGGAGACAAATTTCCGTTCTTTCCCTGTCGCCTGCTTCCAATCTTGCCGCTGCTGCTGCTGCTGCTGCCCCGAGAAACACCTCGATCGGCCGCTTCGCCTCCCTCGGGAGGAGGCGCAAAACTTCCCGCACCACTCCCCGCCGTCTTGCGCTGCTGCTCGTCTTCCTCTTCTCCAGTCTCCAGGTGCAGCCTCTGCTGATCTTGAGCGCCCTCGTCCTCAGTGACGCAGTCCTCGTCTCGAGCTTTGTTGCGCCTCAGCAACAACTGCAACTGCTGCCGGTGCTGCCGATGCTGCTGCTGCTGCTCCTGCTGCAGGCCCAGGGCAGGGATGGCCTGTATGTACACCTGGTGGAGATCCAGGTGCAGCAGCAGCGCTGGCTGCTGCTGAAGCAGGGAGAACACAAAGAGCCGGCAGCAGCCGGTAAGGGCCATGAGCGCGCAATCCGAAGCGACGAACTGCAGCTGCTGCACTGCGAGCAGCAGCAGCGGCCGCGCCTGCTGTCGAGACGCTTCTGAGCGTCCGTCTGAACCCCCAAGTGTACATACAGCAGCCGCTGCACTGCTAGCAGCAACAATTGAGCCTGATGCTGCACCTGCTCTTCTCGCTGCCGCGTCCTCTCGCGGCTGGCCCCGCTTGCCGCTGCAGCAGCCGCTGCAGTCTTGCTGCAGCTGAACGTACGCATACAGCGCAAGGGTGTCTAGCGAGAATATCTGGATATCTCTTCCCGCAGCAGCAGCCAGCAAAGCCCCCCTTTCGCTGATTGCAAAGCTACTGTACCCGCGCATCAACTCGGGATACACCCGGGGCGCCGACGCGTGCGGTGGACTTGCTGCTGCTGTGCCTGCTGCCACTCCCGCCGCTGGCGAGTTCGATGGAGCTGAACCGCCATGCACCGATTCAGAGCCGCCTTCTAAGTCTCCTGCACTGGTCCCCGCCTCCTCCTCTGTCCAAAGGAGGCTGAGGGCATCCCTGCCTGCTGGTGCTGCCCCCTCGACACCACCCGTCCTGCCGTTGCTGCTCATGTAAGCGTCGGCGAAAAGTGTCTCAGCGCCTCGGCCTTGTTGCTGCTGCAGCAGCAGTTGCTGGCGCTGCTGCTGCTGCCTGTCGCGTAGCTGCACGCGCTGCACCCACGGGTGCAGCCTGGCCCTAGGAACACACGGGAAGGCCTGCAAGTCTTGTGGCTGCTGCAGCATCAGATCCAGCCGAGAAGCTCCCTCTTCGAGCTTCCGTAGGGAGTCGCGCTGCACGCGACTCCCCTCCAGGGGGGCCCCCTGGGGGAGGGAGGCGAGGCTCACGCCAGAGGAAACCATCAGACACGACCGCAAGGCACAAGCCCTGTGGACACTAGGGGCTGCAGAGTAGGCTGGGAGGGAGGCGAATCAAAAGGAGCAGTTGCATCTTCCGCAAACACCGCCGCGGCTTCGCGCTGCAGCTCCTGTCCACTCGCGCCGCGAAGGGGTACTGCGAGCTCTGCGGATGCTGTGCGGTCCCAGCCGCTGTGTAAGCCCCTTCGGAGTCGCTAAACAGGGGCCTACACACTTAGCATGCAAATAAGAAGACTGCAGGGAACTGGTTAACGAGCCCGAGGATACTCCCTCCAGATCCTGAGGGGCCCAAGAGGCCTTCGCAGGGAGGGGGGTATCGCTGGGCCCCGCCTCCGGCCCCACTCCGGGGAATCACATGAGGCCCCCTTCGAAGAACTGGATTTTCCCCGCTTTTTAGCAAGGGGTTTTGCATTTCATGCTGAGCAATCCGTTTCCCGTGAAAGCGGAGGGCTTGGAGTGTCCACACAGTGCCGGCGCGGGGCCCTCTGCTGGGGCGGGGGCCCTTTCGACGTGCCGACGCCGCGCGGTCCATGGAGGGTCCGCTGGCTGAAAGGCATTTTCGCTTTGCTCTTCCCGTGCTGCTGCTGTTGCTCTCGGGCGTCTCTGCAGTTCGAGCCTCCCCAGAAGCAGCGGCAGCCTTCTCCTCGGCGCGTTCCCACGTACAAGGTTTTGGGGGGCCTCCAGGGGTGGGCCCCTACTACAGATTAGCCCCGAGGCAGCCGGCTGCTTTTATTCCGGCAAGGACTGCCCCCAGCTCCAGGCTCCTCAACGCACCAAGGGTGCCCGTCCATTGTTCTCTTCGCCAGCCTAAGGACGCGTTTGGGGGCTCTGAGAAAGGGCCCCCTGGAACGTCTCAGAGCGATGAGGATGGACGGCAGTGGCTCGAGGAGCAGCTCAAAGGGGCCCTCAAGGGTCAGGATGTGTGTCTCCTGCTCCCCCCAGGTTCCTGGGAGGCAGAGGCGCTCTCCCGAGCGCTAGGTGCCGCCGAGGCGGCTTCCAGTGATGGGGCCTGCTCAGAGCGGTGCGACCCCCCCCCGCCTTCTTCATCACGTGGAGGCGGAAGAAGCGGCGAGGGCCCTCCCGGAGGGGCCCCTGAGGCCCTCTCACTGGAGGGGCCGTCAAGGACGGGGCCTCCCGCCGAAGTGACCCCCGTGGAGAGGGCCCCTTCCCCGCAGGACCCTCTCCTGTGGGTGCTGCGCTACCCGGCAGATTCTGAGAGGGGTGCCGCCCTGCTGCACCAGTACGTCTTCTGCGAGCAGCAGCAAAGGCAGTATCCTGCGAGGCCCCCCGTCCTCTTCTTGCAACCCCGGAAACAACCCCGTCGTGGGGCCCTACAGGCACTAGGGGGCAGCGAGGGGATTCTGCCAGGCTTTCTGGAGGCGTCGTGGAGCTGCTTCAGCAGGAAGCGTCTGGGAAGTCTGCTGACGTGGGGGCCTGCCCAGGTGCCTCCGTCCTTTGCCACGAGCGCAAAACTGCAGCCGCAAAAGCTCAGCCTTTTGCTGTCGAGTCTTGCCGCGGAAGCGCCTGCTGCGGGGCCCTCTCCCGGCGTCTCTGCAGCGGCAGCGGCTGCAACTGCAGCGGCTGCTGCTGGCGGCGGCAGCAGCGCTCTCGCTCCCATCGGCGAGCAGCCTGCAAGGGGGTCCTCGTCGAACTGCAGATCAGCGGGAGAGGCACCAGGACCAGGCACGAGGGAAGCAGCAGCCTCGGAGACTGCCCGTGCAGTTTCTCCTCCCGACGACTTTGCTACGCCTTTGGGGTCAGGCTACTCTCTGGTGTGTCCACCACTCTCTCTGCCCTCGAGCCTGGAGGCTGCACGGCTTGTACATGGGGATTCGCTCCTTGCCGCGGCTGGGGGGGGGCCCCTCCCTGTGGAGACGCGGGAGGATTTCGAAAAAGCCTTGGGAATACCGCTGTCGATGCCCATCCGACTGAAGATGCTCGCAGAGGTCGGTAGGGAGGGTCGGGATTCTGGATGCTCAGCATCGGCCTTGACGATGGGGTCTTGCTGCTGCAAACACCCACCGCCACCATCGCCATCACCACCCCTCCCCTTCCCCGCCCTCTATGGCCTGCTGCAGAGATAGAGAGCGCGTTGAAGGGGGTGCGCAGCACGTCTGGAAGGCGCCACGCCAACTAGAGTGGCCCCTGTCGTGCGCACTTTCTGTTTGCTGTTGTATTTTGGGAGTGCAGGTAGCCAACACGTGCTTGGGGGCGGCTTTGGCAGTCGAGCTAGGGCTCTGCCTCTGCATCGGTGGAGGGATGCATCATGCAGGCAGAAACCGTCCCGGCGGCTTCTGCCTGCTGAACGATGTCGCTGCTGCTGCGGAGGCAGCGGTGCAGCAACACCGAGCCAAGTAAGGCTGCACGCTTTCGGCTGCTCTTTGCTCAGAGGGGCTGCTCCAGGTGCACCGTGTGAGGGGGTACCTTCCCATGCCCCCCTCCTCCTCCCCTCCCGCTTGGAGAGCGGCTGTGCTTTTTGTTTGGCGTGTCGCCGCTGCAGGCGAGTGCTGATAGTGGACCTGGATGTGCACCAAGGAGATGGCACTGCGGAAATCTTTAGGGGCCGCAGGGACGTGCAGACGCTGTCTGTACACTGCGGAGCGAACTATCCGCCTGTGAAGCAAACGTCCGTTGAAAAGGTTGCCTCGGTCCTTGCTCGCTGCCTCTAGCTTGAGGTTTGCCCCTCTCTGCTGCGCAGACGCGGGTGGAGTTCTCCCGCTGCGTCTCTGCTTGGTGTGGTGCAGCGGCATCAGTCTCTCTTTTGCACAGGAGGGACGAAAGGAGCGGCTGCTCGAGCTCTGTGCTGCTGTGTGTCTGGCGCTGTATAGGTCGTCAGTGGATGTGACGCTACCAGAAGGATGCGGGGATGATGAGTACCTCCAGGCCCTCAGCAAGGTAAGTCAAAGGCTGCGGAGTCGCACAGCCGCTGCGCTTCCTACGTGCGCGCAGAGTCTTCCTGCAATGCCCGCTTCTCTTGTGTCTTCTGCTCCCCGCTGCAGGTACTGCCCTTCTGCTTGATCGCCCAGCGTCCGCACCTCGTGATTTACGTAGGGGGCGTTGATCCGCATGCAGAAGACCGCTTAGGCCTTCTGAGGCTCTCAGACGAGGGCCTGCGGCGCAGAGACGAGTATTTCTTCGAGGCTATATGCAAACACAACCAAACCATGAACTTGCTGCTGCAGCAACAACGACAAGGGGCGCAAGAGGACTTCCAGACCGCTGCTGTGTGTTGCGTCATTGGCGGCGGCTACGCGTGGCGCATTGAGGACGCCATCCGCAGACACAAAATCATGTTCGAGTTGGTCAAGCCCTTAACCCCAAAGAGCCGTCTTCTACACAAGCGGGCCCTATGCCAGCCTATAGAGTGCTCAAACCTCATCGGTGTTTGTTTAGCGCCTCCTGATACTTGGCTCCTCCAGCCCGTGAGAAGGGAGGGGAGGGGATGGGGGGTTGTCGGGGCGGTAATTCTGAGAATGTGGGCTTTTTTGTTCGCGTGGCTGCAGGGTGGCGCGGGAATTCTGGCACCGGCGAGGACTGCGCGAAGCGTATAGACACCCTACTAGTGCAGCGCCCTTCTGCTCGCTTAGCGTTCTCCCCTTAGACCCCAAAAAGTAGAGTCGCGTGCAAGCGGAGTTGGTTTGCAGGCTTGCTTGCGGGGAGGACGACGCGTCCCACAGCCTACCGTGCACGCCCCGTTCGCTCTGCTATGACGCGCGAAAGCCCATAGTGTAGCTGCTAGAGACACGTTTCGTAAACTGAGACGCAGTGTTTCGCTCGAGCAGGCTCTCCAAGAGTGTGCTTGTCGCTGCGCGAAACCCCCCCGACGTTGTTGGGGAAGGAGTCAGTACTGGCATCAGCCACCACACAGAGACCGCGAGTCTCTTGAGGCGCTTTCCTGCCAAATATAGGGGCTACAATTCTCATGAGTGATGCGTAATCTCCTTGTAAGACGCGCCTTAAAAGACTGGCGGTACTCGCTCCTGCAACTCGGAGTAGCAGCAAACCTTCACATACGCGCCCAACTACCACTTGACGTGTAAAAGCCAACCCGACAGCACGAGGCGCAGGAATAATTTTAGCTAGTGCTAGAGGACGGAGACGGACCTTCTACTGCTTCTTTGTTCCAACTATCTCCCTGACCAACCAGTATTGTCGGCGCAGCCAAGGAGGAGCTTTGCGGGCTGCTAAGGACCCCAGTAAAGGCATAAACACGGACACTAAGGAAGAACTTGGAGCACGAAGGACATATATTGCAACAACTCTTCCTTTAGCGAAGCGGTGAGCCCTGAGGGCCCCCAGGCTGCGGAAGGAACACTAACCAGTGGTGAAAACTGCCCTATTGTGCCTCGCTGTGCGTTCTACAACGTACGAACTCGGAGTCTTATTCGTTTCAAGGCGGCCCAAACGAATGGAGGCTCTCTTATTGCACCTTTTTCTAAAGAAGGAGTTCCCGCCTATACCCTAACAACGAAGAACCACTGTTCGCTGGAAAGGCCTCCCGCACCACTACTGGCCGCGTTCCCACTCTGACTGCCCAACATGGCACATCAAGCTGCATTTGAATATATTTACAAGGGGCCAGGGGTCAGTGTTTGGCTGCAGACAGCGAGAAGGCTTTGGCCGTATTCCGTCCGGCTTGGACGGCGCGGCAGAAACGCTAGATCGAAGGAGTCAATGCGCTACCTGGGAAAGACGAATCAGCAAATTAAACATGTATTCAGAATACCACTCATAATTTGTGTATTTTGCGCTGTTAGTGGCCCTCACCCCCCCACAGGCGAGATGGGGGCCCCCGTGAGGCCCCCTAGCCAGGGACCCCTCACTCGAGTCGCTAGCAGAAAGTTCTTAGAATGAAAGGAGTCCACAGGCAGCTCATTGAGTCTTTCTGCAGTTCATTGGTGTGTCGTGAGTCGGCAACAGTAGGAACGTCCACACTCGACCATGCTGCCTGTGCTGCACATTGAGGGTGTAGGCGTAGGGTCCAGGGAGCAGGAGGGCTAGAGTTTATTCAGGACTCAGACAATGAAGCTTCCTTAAGGCTCCATGCAGCAGGGAGATGTGCATTGGTGGCAGATTTTGCCTGGCGCTGCTGTTGCAGCTGCAATTGCTGCTGTACCCGCAGCAGGCCTTAGGGTCTGTGCTGTTGCTGCAGCAGCGTGGATGTGCCTGCACTGCAGCTGCAGCTGCGCCACCCGCCTACCTTCTCGGGCCTTTGCTGGACTGCAGGTACCCTGCAAGAACTGGCACCAGCGCTACCACAAGAAGCGAACGCAACACCAACAGCAGCAGGAGCCCCCAATGTGCCTCCCCAAGGCTGCACGCCAACCCCTTGCTTGTGGCAGCAGCGGCACCGGTCTCTTCTGCATCAGCAGCATCAGGGCATGAGGCCTTGCCTTCCCACTTGCGGGAGTATTACCAGCGAAACCTGCACCTCAAGGAGGAGTCGCACCCCGTCGCCATCGCGCACAGACGGGTCCTTGAGTACCTCGTCGGGGGCCCCCTGAAGGGGCCCTTCAGAAGCCACAGGGGCTCTGAGGGGGGGGCGAGTGGCAAGGAAGAGTTTGGCTCGAAAAATCTCGAGGGATATAGCCAGGAGGTGCACACCGATACGGCGCTCAAGCAGCAACACCAAACAGAGCTGAATGACGACCCCTGCTGCGTGAGACCTGACGCAGTCTACACAGACCTAAGGGGGTCGCCTGTAGCACTTTGGCATTCACTGTCTCCCCTGCTCTCGCCAGCCGTCAACTTTGGCCTTTTGAATATCCCAGAAGACCATCCCGCCCGTTCCTCAAAGCAAACATTCTACACGACAGGGGTCAGTAGTACAGGGGGCCCCAACGAAGGCCGCCGCCTATGTCTACGCACGCATACCTCGGCTCACATCCCCGCGTGCCTTCAGTGGGCCCTTCGACAATGGGGGCCCCCCAAACGCGGCTTTCAGGGGCCCCCCGCAAAGGAGGCCCTAAGGGAAGGAGGCTTACAGGGTGTCGGAGCCCCTGGGGGCCCTTTGACGTTGGTGATCAGCGGGGAGGTATACAGACGCGACGCCATTGATTGCTGGCATTTCCCAGTCTTTCACCAAATGGACGTCCTCAGGGTGTTACCTCCAGGAGCAGATGCGCTTCAAGACCTAAAACAGGTATAAATCGAGGATTGCCACGCGTCATTTCGAGGAGCCGGGGGCCTCTCTACATGCGTCGCATAGTTATTGTGTGAAGAAGCTGAAGTTCCCCGTATATGGCTTTTTGCGTTGCAAATGCACAGGTGGTTGGCGAGTTGTTGGGCTTTTTGTTGCCAGGGCGGCAGTACCGCCTCCTTAAGGACTTTTTCCCCTTTACGGATCCTTCCATAGAGGCCGAAGTGGGAGTTTCTTACGCTGCAGTTGTTACAGCTGCTGTTGTTGGTGCGGCATGGGCGTGTGTGTCTGTCTATATATATATATATATTAATATATATATATGTGTGTGAATTGTATACGTATATGTCTGTGTGTGTGTGCATATCTGTGATTGCACGTGAGGGTGTGTATGCACATGTCTCTCCATCTCTATTTATGTCTCAATCTGTCTCTGTCTGTGGGTGCCCATGCAAAAGTGTGCAAGGCGTATGCCACTTTGCATGCCCTTGGGCTGTCGCAACGGTAGGCCTTGGAGGTTGGCGTGCTTTTGCAGGTTTTGGGGGATGACAGTCGCTATCTCGAGATTCTTGGAGGCGGCATCTTGCTCCCTTCAATCGTCTCCGCAGCGATGCCGTTGCCCTTCCGATACAAATCAGTTTCTGCAGCACAGCAAGTTTCTCAGCTGCCAGTGGTATGGGCGTTGGGTCTTGGCTTGGACCGCGTGTGCATGTGTGGCTGCGCTATTGGCGACATTCGTCTCCTTGTCGAGAGCCACCCTCTGCTCCTACAGCAGTTTTCGGACGGGATCCTAAAGAAAGTGCGGCCTTTTTCAAGACTTCAGCCGGTAGGCGTGCTTCTCAGGCGTAGTATGCAGGTGTTGCCCTCATTCGGTTGCTGAAGGCATTTCTTTAGGTGCCTCGACTTGGACGTTCGTGTCGGACGGTGAAAGGGAGACGCCTGTTCTCGATGTGGGGTATATTTCGCTGTACGCGCACGATGCATGCGGCCAGCCTCCATTGTGCTCTTGCCTTGCCCGGTCCCAGGTGTCTAAGGACCTGTGTCTGTGGATTGACAAAAAAGACATTCTCGTCTCCAGCGAGGGCAACCAACAGTGGCACTGGTAATCTCAGACCTTGACCTTAAGCCGTATACGCTCCCTAGTCCTCAGTCTTAAGACAAGGCAGTAGAGGCATCGGCGGCACCTTTCGCCAAGGCAGATAGTGTTGTCTGGCATATGGGTGGCACTAACTGCTGCTTGAGATGTCGCGTGTCTCCCGCATCAGCAGGATCTCTCCCGCTCTTCTCCTGTCTCTGTGTGTGCACGTGTCTGTATATCTGTGCGCCTCCACACGTATTGCTGTTGCTCTGAGTGCTGCTGTTGCAGGCGGCACGAACTCGCTCTTCTGTCGCTGGTCAGGGAGATGGAGGGCCCCCTGCCGCCCTCATCCGCTGCAGTGACTGACAGATTCTTCCACCAGGGCCGCGGATCCTTCTCGCTGACGCTGCGCCTTACTTTTGAAGCCCCCCCAACTGTCTCCGTAAGAAGCTTGAGGCTTGAGTTCCGAGGGGCCTAGGGTGTCTAGACAGATAGGGTGGGGCGTTGCACTCGTAATAGGGTCGGCGCTGTGGGGTCGAGACTTCCTTCCAATGTTTTGCGGAGTCCCAAGCCTTAAATCTGCTCTTTAATGGGTAACGGGAATGCGTGCATGCTCGCTCGTGGTGGATGAGTGTCGCTCGAGGCGCCTGCAGGGCAGGCACCTCGAAGCTGTGCAGGAGGGAAAGAGGATTTGGTGAAGCCCTGAGAAAGGGACGCACTGCTTCTCGTATATAGAGTGTGTCCTCTTTTCAGGACCCTGGAAAGCTTTCGCGATTGTCGGTATCCCATACGGAGCTGCTGTCTGCCGCCATCTGTAAATCTCTCCCCGCAACCCTAAGATCCAAATGATTTGACAGCTTGGTCTTCAGCGCTGGCGAGTATTTTCCGGTTTTTTGGTCATCAGCGTCTCCCTTGATCCAACTGTGCTACCTACGTATCGACCCACCAACCTCCCCAATGCTGCCTCTTTCGCTCCCCTGTCTGCCTTCCCAGCTATCGCGCCATGTTCTATGTTGTTCTTTTTGCACCGCCTCCACGGAGGGCCCCCTCAGCTTTTAATGCGCCCACCCCTGCACGCCTTTCACGCCTTATGTCGCTTGGGCTGACAAGGCACTTCCTAAGGCCCACCGGCTTTTCGTTTGGGGTTTGCAGGTTAGGGGTGTGCAGTGGCAGGCATAGGGGCTCTGCTAGGCCTTGCAGTAGCTTCCACACTATAAGAGTTTATATGGTGAAGCTGCAAATGGCTCACTAAACGAATATAGTGTGATTGATGGTCTCTTATATATGGATAACCAGGGTAATCTTGTGGCGAATACTTGGCACAGGCCGTCTTCTCTGGAGGGGCCGTGTTTATTAGATACAAAGCCAACCTACTTTGTGAATCCTGGGGTGGGTTTGCGCCTTTAGGGTTGAGGGCTTGGGGAGTCCGACAGGCGGACGATGCTGGCTGTCCCTGAAGAAAAAATGCAAAGCTGGCTATACGCACTCAAACGTTATAATGTTGAGGGTATGGCATAGGCTAATGGGTTCGTGGTTTACCTTGGTAATCCGGGAGGACGAGGCCGTATTTCTGCTTTAAGGACCTAAGTTGATCACGGGTAAACATATGACACGCGAGAGTCCTTGAATCTTTGGGTTGGAGGCGTCATGAAGAGACGAGCAGCAGAAGGCGGAACAGAACGACAGGGGCATACCCGCAGCGAGGAACATATAAGGGTGGGGGAAAGGGAGTGTAAGTGGGCGATATTTTGGTCCTCAGAGGGACTCGCCAAACGGGCAGGAGTTAGAGGAAAAAGTGAGTGTCACTGCAGGTGGTCAACTGACTGTGGAAGGAAGCGGCCTCCAAGAAAATGGATCCCCTTGAAGTTCTGCGCAAACTTTTTAGGGGCTGTCAGAGAAATGAGCGCTGCGGGGACTAGGGGCGCATGTGAGGGGGGGCCATAGGCTCCTAATCGCACCACGCACACATCACATTGCAACCGTCGCTTCTACACAAAGGCGTACGATTAGGAGGAAGAAGAGGCAGCACTGGGAACGGAAGAAAGCCAGACATCATCCAGCGTCGTCCCCACACGGGGCAAGCCAGAAACTCCTGCCAAGAGGGACGGAGACACATAGATGCGGTGGCACGCATGGTTGAGAAAGAAGAGCTTCGAGAGACAGCGATCAGTGCTTGACAGCGTCATGCAGCTAGCGTCTAGAATGGAGCAGCGAGCAGTGCAGAATGAGCAGACAGAGGGTGAGAGGCCTATGCGTTGTGGAGAATGAGGGTCGAGCAGACAGATACAGAAAGGCCTGTGTGTAACGGAGCAGAGCCTGAGTTCTCCTCTCTTGCCTGTGTCAACATCCCAACCCGACGGGACGTCCACTGCAAATACAGGGATCTGCTCTGCTTGTATTCTTTCTAGGATGGCGGCGTAGGGGGCCCTGGGGGCCCCCTTGAACCCGAATCCAAAGATCGCATCGATTATGAGGTGGTAGTCGGAGACGTCTGAGCAGGGTAACCCGAAAAGAAGCCCGCACGAGGCATAGATACGCAGAGTGTAGGCTTTAAAACTGGATGGTCCAGCAAGCAGCGCTACACGCAGAGGTGTCGTGGGTGTGTGCACGGTGGTCTTTCCGCGATTGCACATGGTGGAATACACTATGCAGATGCTGGGGCGCTTTTTCGCCTCTCCTCTGTCGACAAAGGGTTTCGGATTAAAAGTGTGGGATTAAGGAGTTGTATTGGACTATCACCCTCTGGCAACTCCCGGAAGACCTGTGCTTCGTGTTCCTTTGCCTGCTGCAACAAGTCCTGCAGAGAAGTTTGATTCCCACACCCCCATCGGAAGAAACACACGCGCAACCGTAATCTCGCGCTCTGCCCCCAGACACCACTCCCCAGGAATCCCCAACCCTTTAGCTTAGGGGCTAAAAACGTCAAGGGTATGACGAACAAAGCTTACCTTGTAGAGCTCTTTTTTTGGCTCCACCGGGCAGACCACGTCTGCCTGAACTCCAAAGAGGCGGAGGTGGCGGGCAGCCACCAAGCCATCACCCCCATTATTTCCTGCGAGATAAAGCGCGAAAAAATCGCGCCTTCATGTTTGGGGGAGGGTGCTTGCTTGGGGAGGGGCTGTGTTCGTCGCCCCATATAAATTCCTGCCTGTCAAGAAATGCGTTACAGCCTGCCAAGCGAGAGGAACGACACGGGACGAGGTTCGAGTTCAGCGCTTGAAACTTTCCTGGGCCGATGATCACGAGGACGCGAGCCTCCGCGTTCGGCTGGCGTTTGGTGACTTCGGCGAAACATGAGAAGACGGCACAGGCGACGCTCAGGCCGGCAAGCTCCATCAACTGAGTTCCCAGGACGGCACACAGCCACATGCCGAGTAGCCAGCATCAGCGCCAGAGGGAGCACGAAGCGGCGTATAGCAGTAGGTACCCGGAAAGCCGGACCAAAAGGAAGACGGAGAGCGAGAGAGCAACAAGGTGGAGACAGAGAGGCAAGCAGCCTGAGACATCTTCTCTGAGAATGGATTTAGAAGGAAGACAAACAGGCAAGGAGGCAGCAAAAGTCTATCGATGATCTAGAGGAGCGTCACAGCAGGAAGGCCTCTTGACGACCAACGGGCGAAACATGCCTAGAAAAAAATAAAAGAAGAGAGCAAAGGGGTAATTCAGACAACACGCACTGCAGAAAATGACGAACAGAGACAGAGACACTGCGCAAAAAGCCGCTTCGCGCTTGCTGAAAAAAAGGGGCCTTCTAAAGCGGAAGCCGAGTAATACAGACAGAGGTGGGAAGAAGCACACTGTAAGAGACGCTATACGCCGGAAGGAAGTTCGCCAATGCTCTGGTTCAGCCATTTTCCCATGCTTGATTTTTCTCTGTGTGTGTTGCTGGCATCCGCAGTCCTTCCGTCCCTCCCGCACTGTACCTGTGCGATTCCATATCTGTATTGAGGCCCCATCAGCTCGTCGTCGAGCTGATGGGCCTGTTCGGCTGATAAATACTTTGACACACAGCACACACCACACTTGAGGGTCTCACAGTTTGGGGTGTAGCGCTTCTTGCCAGCGCATCGTGCACGGTCTGGCTTGGGAATGCTTTGCCGTACTGATATAGAGCTCCCAGGCTTCATTTTGAGTGTGTTGGCCTCAGACATAAAGGAAAAAGAAAGACATGCGCCGTTAGAAATCTGGGGGGCCCTCCGGGCCTTCCAAGGGGGCCCTCGCGGGGGCCCTGGATCTCGCGTGGCGAAAATCGCACACCTGAAGGGTCTGACGCTGCAACGCATTGGGAACACCCAGAAGTGGAGAAAATCGCAATAAATACACTTTTTCTTTGCACGCAATGAAGTATAGGTAGGCGTGTGACCGCGGGAGAAGCGCATGTCGCTGGATGCTGCTCAGGTCTGTCCTACAGCTGGCAGAGGACTTCAGGGCCATCCAGTGTCTTTGGGAGCTATGTTCGAGCAAACTTATTTATAGTTAAGAACTATTCTTTTTAGTGCTGTGTACGCCTCATCTTACAGTTTAGGGCTAAGGTTTCTCTAGAATATTTGTCCTCGATGCCTGCTTGCTTGGGGGACTGTATAACTGAAGTGATCTCGACTGTGTGGTTCCGAGGGTACGGCGGAGTGGATAAACGGGGCATGCAACCGGCTAGAGAGCACCCTTGGAGGCGGAGAGGGACAAGTAGATACACGCACAGACAGACACATGGACTGGCGGTGATATCCAGAAAAACTTTATTGAAGATCCCGAGACTGAGGTCAGTGAATGTAGGCCGGTGTGCAAAGAGGAACACGGAAAATGGTAGGGAGGATAGCTGTCCTCTTTCCTCCGTAGAGTAGGACTTGTACTATACGGGGGGTCTTACCAAGGATTTCCATTTAACCCAAAACCAAATACCAAGCTTAGATGGGTGGAGCCCTTCAATGCATCCCTTTGACCTGCTGTCTTCACCCCGCGTAGTTCTAGCAGAAGAGGAAAGCGTGCGGCAGGTAGAATGCATGGACATCGCTGCGCCCTTCAAACACGGGCATTCTTGGCTAGCGGCACTCTTAAAGCAACTGCATTCTTATCCTGTTGAACTGGATGTCTCTGCGACAACTTTGCAAAAATGTACGCTAAAGAGTCGAATCTTTACTAATGCATAATCAAATCAAACTAGTGTAGTAGACTGTACCTAAGTGTACGGTGGACCGCTACACTTGGAAAAGCCTCTTGGGTGTAAATTCCTGAGGCACTGTCCAAAAGGCAGAAAGTAAGAACGAGAAAGGACAAGAGAGGAGACCTGAGGTCAAACCCTAACAGAAGTGGCAGCCTCTATTTGGGGTAGCGCCTCTACACCTATCAACCCAACTCCCTTAGAGAACATCCATATACTGGCTTTCATCTACTAGATATTTTGGTGTCACTAGCCCCGTCTCATTTAGCCGCAAGGGCAACTTTCAAGGAAATTAAAAGACTTTGCAGGTATCTTATCTCATGATGATTCCTTTTTGTGCCTTTGTGCACCGGCACAAACTTTGAAAAGCAACACGCATTGCCGCACTGCTACCCACGTTGTTTCTGCCTTCACCAGTGACTCTCTTTGTAATAACGTTGCACACGTACTTAAAGAAAGCGTGATTTAGTAATAGGTGCACACTTACCGCCGTATACACACACTTTATCCATTAACAGGGCTCATGGAAGGTAGCACAATAAACTAGCAGGAGACCATACAGCCAGCAACAGGAGGGGCACTTTTTGTGGGCTTGGCGCTCGTTGCGCAAAGCAAACAGCTTTAAAAGTGCTTCCTTGTCTTTACTCTGCTTTCTCTTTGGGCCTTTATTCCGTTGATGGTAGTCTGAAGGCTGTTGCGCGTGCTGTTGATTCCTTTCCTGTTGTTGGCACGACTACAGGGTGTCCTTTGTTGCTACTCTGAGCATCTGAAGTTTGTGGATCCTTGATCACGTCCCCAAGTTCATTTTGCAGAGCCGCTACGTCTAGAGGATAAGAGCAGCAAAAGAGGTAGCAGGTGCCAAAGCGTGAGTTTGCTGAGCAGCAGAGCAGCCAAACACAATAATGCCTTGTCTCGTTTCTAGTCGTGTTTGGCAGCAGTTGCTGCCGCTTATTCGCTTGCAGCAACACTACTGCGAGAATACAGAAAGTTTAGCGGAGTTGCTTTGCCTTCTGCAGGAGGCACATGCAAGCTGTTGGCGCTCCTATCAAGGCACTCCATGGCTTCGGGGCCGCGCCAAGGATTCACACGTCGGCAACGTATCAAACTAACGTTAACGCATGGCGACCAACAGGACAAACAATTCAAGCGCAAAGAGTACAGTCTCATCGCGTCTCATACTCTCAATTATCGCTCGTGCAGGAACGAAATGGTGCTCCCTTGACATGAGCAGGACTCCCCAACGGTTCTGCATTGTGTGCTGCACTCAGGTCTTGCAAGCCGGATCAAGCAAAAAATGCCGTATCGCGCGGCCAGCCACGGCGGCTACAATGTAGGCTAATTAAAGACGACTGTGAAGGGCTGGGAATGAAGAACTAGTTTCCTGAAGGGGCTCTCAAGGTTCTATTTTGTTAGCGATGCCTGGCTGAATGTTGGCTGAGAGAGGAGACACGTTGTACACAGCACCATAGCACGGTATCGACTGAAGCACAGGCGAACGCAAACAACGGCAGTACTGCCCGCCCGTCAATTGTCTTTTATCCTTTCGTGGCCTTTGGCATAGCTGACTGACCTTGTCCAACAGCTGCTTTTCCTTTCGGAGTAGCGCCTAGTTACTATACTACTGAATTCTAGAGGGGTTAGGGATATCATTGTACGAAAAAATTGCATGGAAAACATTTGTTGCCCAACCTACAAAAGGGAGTCCCGTAGAATGATGCAGCAACGCGTAAAACCTAAATGTTCTGCCGCTTCGCAGCAGCAGCAGTCCCTACATACTGCATACTTGTGTTCAGGCTCGTGTCTGATGACGATCGTGATAGAAATACTGCTGGCAGCGAAGGCCAGATGCGAGCAGAAACAGCAAAAGTGTGTTCCCAGCCCTCAACATAGAAATATTACGCGTCGCACTGTAGCTATGCGGCTCGACTACCTCCGCTTCTGATACTGCACTATGGTTGCTGCCAGAAAGGGGTGAGGGAAGGCGGCTAGCTGCATGTTTTACCATCCCGGCTGGTCCGTAAGGCATCTCCCCTTGTGTCGCCTTAGAAGGGAGTAAAAGAATAGCGGAGCGTAGACACCTACGGCGTCAAGATCCTTAACTTTCCTCCCACGATTCTGTGTTGGCACGATTCTGTGTTTTCTGCCATTGGCGACTCGGATTCCACCCCAGGATCTCCTTTGTTACCTTCACTTGCTTTAGCTGCAGGCCCCAGATGGCGATACAACGGCAACAATAGCAGCGGCTGCAGCTGGTGCATTTCGGCGTTTTATGTTTCCGTGCGCGTATACCACAGAGAGTCTATACTTCTAGTTCGTTTTCTTTTGTTGCTTCCTCCAGGAAATCACAGACCTAGAGATGTCACCTATCCTTGTCTTCAGTTTCGACGATGACTCTAGGGTGGAGGCTTTACGATAATTTGTCCTTGTGTATGGCTGTGTTCTTGACAGTGACAGCCGTCATGGGCTCACGTATAGGTAAGACCCTAAGCAGGCTGAAGCACGCAATGTTTCTCTGTGGAAGTAACACCACCACGTACTATCCGAACAGCAAAAGCAATAAAGAGCAATAGTAATCAAATCAGTAACAGCTCAAATGACAACACAAACGGATTTGCAGAGGTCCCCAAGAAAAGTGACGTTCTTTTCAGTGCCCTGGCGATCACCACCACCCCTTCGGGGCTGCTACTGCCGTTACTCCATTTGCTGCCGTGGGAAGGATGCCCTCGTTGCAGTACCCACCAGCAGGAGTAACGCTCTCAGCTTGTTCATCCGGGGCAAGTGAGGGGGACACTCCTTCCAGTCTCTCCTGCGCTGCTGTTCGGAGCTTATTGCATCACACTTAATCCTTTTTTATATGGAAGTAGTCTAATCGATGGCATAATACCCTCATGGAACCAGCAAGCAAAACGGGGTGGCCGCGGCACGGGCGACCCTTTCTTCCCGCAGTCGACGCTACACGCTACCCCGTTAAAAAAGCCCGGGCAAAGAAGCGTCACACACATGCAAAACGACCACAACGGGGCTACGAAACCAGACGAAGACATAAAGGCATGTGTATATAGATGGACGCCAAGTTAGCGATGGGTTTAGGGGCCAGAGAGCCTGTACATATCAAAATAAAACACCTTGGCAACCCGGCCCCGAACTTCCACACAAAAGATATACCACAGAAAGAGCAAGTGACAAGTTGCAGTCAAAAGAGCACAGTAAACCGTCCAGCACACCTCACAGGTCGCAGTTTACTGGCCTTGGTCAACTCCCGAAGCACTAGCGCAGGAAGTGTCAGCTTCACCAGCAGGAGCTACATCGTTCCCGGAACTGTCACAACCCCCCATGGAGTGGGTACTGCACAACAGCTGGAGGGTTGGGAAACCTGTACGCTAAAACTCTTGGACAGTACTGGCTAGGCAAAGCCCCCAAAAGTCTGGTGCAGCCACAAACTCGCAGAAGAGATGGCGCACACAGGGAGAAAAGGCATCCCACACTGATTCATCTTGCAGGTGTCGAGGCTTTATTTTCCCTCTACGTACTCTACTAGCTCTCAGAGTCTGTACCTTTCCTGAGGAGCAGCAACATCAGCAGTAATTAAGGGCCCCACGCTGCCAGCGTGCTCCTTTTTATGGGGGTCGTGAAAGCAGGTGAGGGTAACAAAAGAGATGGGGTGGATTCCGAGTCGCCAATGGCAGAAAACACAGAATCGTGCCAACACAGAATCGTGGGAGGAAAGCTAAGGATCTTGACGCCGTAGGTGTCTACGCTCCGCTATTCTTTTACTCCCTTCTAAGGCGACACAAGGGGAGATGCCTTACGGACCAGCCGGGATGGTAAAACATGCAGCTAGCCGCCTTCCCTCACCCCTTTCTGGCAGCAACCATAGTGCAGTATCAGAAGCGGAGGTAGTCGAGCCGCATAGCTACAGTGCGACACGTAATATTTCTATGTTGAGGGCTGAAAACACACTTTTGCTGTTTCTGCTCGCATCTGGCCTTCGCTGCCAGCAGTATTTCTATCACGATCGTCATCAGACACGAGCCTGAACACAAGTATGCAGTTTGTAGGGACTGCTGCTGCTGCGACGCGGCAGAACATTTAGGTTTTACGCGTTGCTGCATCATTCTATGGGACGCTCAGGAGCAGGAGAGTTTGCAGTGGCCCTCAGACAGGCGATCAGAAAGCCTTCAACCCTATCTTCCGAAACATCGTGTCTTGAGCGTAGGCCCCAGCCCCTACATGAAAGGCTTATGAACGCCCAATCTACATGCTCGCGTACTCGGGTCGTAGAAGCCTTTAACTCCCTTGCTTCTTGTTTAGAGCTCACTACTTTTTAGGGGCCTAATAACCAGCCATACACCCCATACCACACGACCTGTAGCCCATTTCTAGCCCCGTACATCCTTAAAACTTCTTGGATGTTGCGACTGCATGCTTTTCCTAGATTATCTTCTCAGGGTCGCAGTTGCTGATTCAGCTTTGTTGCACCGTGTGACTTCTGCATTTAGCGTAGCCTCGCAGTGGTAACACCAGCAGAAGTGACAGTATCAGCGGCTTCATGATGTGCCGCAAGGATCAGCCCTTCGCTACTGTTGGAATACATCATGAAGTAGAGCCATCGAGCGACCCCGGATTTTTCTCTTCATATAGAAAAAATGAGGGTCTAATCTCAGTTGTGGTGGTCCCCGCGGCAGAAAGACCGGGTGGTCTGCTAGCCACGGCACCTGCAGTAGCTGCAGAGTGTACGTAAGCACCAATATATATTATTTTCTTGGCTTTTCCTGCTCCAAGAGTCTAGGCTACCACAGACGGCAAATCAGGGGCAACAAAGGGTACGATGCCTTCTTAGCAGAGAGGCTACTGCGAAGGTTGTTTGAGGTCCTAGCCGCTGAGATGGAGGCTTAAGCGCAGGGAATCAGCGCACCTCCAGTGAGTCTTTTGCTGTCATTGAGGAAGCCTTTGGCACGGGAGGTTTCGTCTTCGGCTCTCCTCGCTGCCCCAAAGTGCTAATTGTCGGGGGGGCCTCCCTCAACTAACGGATTCGGTGTTGCAGCAAATTTTGCAAGAGCGCATCATCAAGTTCAAGACTGCTCTCCCTTAAAGTGCATCTTTCGCAAGTTTAGGGCCCCTCCATTCCAAAAGGTGGTTCGGGCGAGGGTAACCAGCGGTGGCTTGGGTGCACAGGGCGCTTCCATCCACTGCTACGTACAGGGCTCTTAGTCGCAGGAACTTTGGGAAGTAACTGCATACGGACAAAGAACGATTACTCTAAAGAGGTACAAAGGCTGGGAAACAGGACCGTATATTGGGAGAGACCGGGAGCATGTCGGCTATTTTGCAGTCAACACGTATGCATACGGTAATATGAGTTGCCTGTTGCCCAAGCATTCCTTCTCGCCCCTCCACGAGCCGTAAGCTGAGCGAAAGGACTTTTCGATTCTTCTGCATGAGCTCTACCTCTGTAATGGCTACTTCTCCGTCCACCCCATCATCTCACTCCTCAAGAGGACTTTTCATGCTACCAACGAGGAACGTAGAGCGGGTTTCCTGCACCTTTTATTTCGGCGGATCGCTACACGGAAGGGACAGCTGCATGACCACCAGTCCTTGGAAGCCCTGATTGGGTAGATTCTTGAGGGTGCGAGACCTTGGCAACACCCCTGGCCGTTCGCACATGGCTGATAAGCACTCCCCTTATAAATAAATTTTACAGAGCATTCATGCACCGCCTGATCATGTTGTTGGTTGAGGGTGAGCAGCCGAATGCGAGCACAATGCGGATTGCTGATCCGCCTCACGGTCTATGCCTTTTCAAGGCCCCAGCGAGCACACGGTAGAGCGTGTTGCTCGCAGAACAGTGGAACGCATCGTAGATTGTTAGAGCCGGTCGGATGAACCGGCTCAGCCAATGCTCTAGGAGACCTTAAAGCCCATTCTCGTTTGACGGCCCGCTCAAAGCAATGAGCCCAAAAGGCACCTTTTAGTGAGGCCGAATAAGGCACATCTGATCCCACTTGCCAGAGCCGGCCTATGTGGTTAAAAAGACCTCATCAGAGCCCTTGTTAATTGCGGCCACTAGCTCATCCTAGCGGACCACCCAAAACATTTGAGTTGAGGTAAAACCTGTCAGTAAAGCATAGAGGAAATCCTGCCTGGTCGGAGTAACTGAGGGACGAGGATATGCATACCATATCCTGTGTTTACTCGCTGCTTCCCTCCTGCCTCTCACAGCTGTTCTCGCAGAGCGCTGTTGCTCTTTGGGTAAGGCCTTGACAGCCGAATTTCGGCGACTCCAAAGTGAGAGTTTCCAGTGTCACACCCTGGTGTCGCGGCTAGATTGCTCTGTTGACGGGTTTATGCAGGTTTCAGCAGATGAGGCTCTTGGAAGGGTACTTATGCCTAGCAAGCTGTTACTAAAAGTGATGAGACTGTTGGCTAGTAGTTTGAGTGGTGTGATGTTTCGTGTAATGTCTGTTCAAAATGAGTGCTACTGGAGTTTCAGTGTATCAGGCCACCCATTTCCAGCTGCTGGGTGCAGATGGGCAGGAGGGCGCAGGCTGCCGATGACGGTTGTAACAGTGGCTGGCAAACTAACTGAAGACCTCAAATTCCGCCAAATTGCTCCAGGCTTTTGTGAACTCTGCTTTTGTTGAGGTGTGTAGAGAGGCCGGCTCTTTGCCGCTTGCCGGCATATCCCGAATTGCTGAAGATGCGATTCGCAGCGTGGTAAGCAATAGGTAGGTGACTAGGCAACTGGTGTGTCGCTCCGTAGCTCCGCGCAGACTCTGTGAGCCACAAAACGCGTTTCTGAGGATCTGAGGGTATAATCAAATCGGGACGAAAGCGGGATCTTCCTCCTAGCTCCTCCTGGAGTGACGGCGTCGGCCGGCAACACTGCAGCTGGGACGAGCGCTTTATTGAGCTTCGCTCCCTAAGAGCAAAGGCAAAGACGAGACGCGCTCACAGGGTTGGAAATATTGACGCTTGGGTGCGTGAGTCAATAGCAACCAACACAATGACTTTGAACGCAAATAGGAGATCCCATCGTTATCGCAGGCAGCTACCTCATGCGCGACCCCGAAAGAGGAGACCGTTGACTTTCTGGAAACCTCTATTCCACCAAAGTATGTGCTGTGAAAGCCTGCTTAGCTAAGGCGCAACTAATGAAGGGGAGCTAGTGCCATCTAAGGTCACTTGTTGAGGGCCCCCGTAAAGCCGTCAGCCTCGAGCAGCAGCAGGGGATAGCGCGCCATGTCGGGGGCTACACAGATCGGGGGCTGACGAGTGGGCAGCTGCTGTAGGACTTGCGAGATCGTCGGAAGCTCCAAATAGCGGTCGAGAAAAGCGCTGTTGCTGAGGTGCCACTTACCGTCCAATGCGGCATTTTCTGTCAGACACAGGTCCCGCCTGCCCCACACGGCAGCAGCATTGAAAGCTCGGAGGGTGTGATTTTTAGGCAAGCCAGCAAGACCAGTTCATGCTTAGACAGAGAGAGAGAGAATGAACTAGGGGATTGAGACCGGTAGCAGGTAATTCCCAAGCTTTGAAGGCATTTTGTGCCTGAACGTGTGCTTGGGCAGTGAGCGATCGGGTCTTCAATTGTGCGCACAGCCCGTCAGCTCTGCTGAGGCGCAACTCAAGGGTTCAAACTTGAAGGGACAGGGAAATTCGATGGGGGCCAGGAGCCAATGTCTAACCGTTGGGTGCCGCTCTTGATAACCGGTTCGACAAGTGGGACTGGTAAATTCACGCTCGCTGCGGCGTACGACATTTGCGCCCTTTCATCTAGCGGAGAGCGTTATAGAACAAAACAGCTCCGATTGTGTTTTATAGGGTGAAAGGCTGCCTATTATTTGGGCATTTCAGCTCGCGAACCTCCCTACGTCCTTGTTGTACGCCTCCTTCCATGCAGGACATGCTGGGGCTTCACTAACAAGCAGGCACTAGTGGTGCCCTCAAAACTACAAGGGAATACCTACAATTAAACACAAAATATCGAAAATAAGTTTGAGCAAGTCAGTCTGGATGGGCCTTCAAGAACGCAGATGGAGCACCACATAGGTCACCAGGGTCTCGAGAGGCGCTGGTGCTTTGGCTACTTGCGCTCCAGCTCCTAGAAAAAAGTTGGAGGCCTGATGACTCAACTTGAGAATGCGAGCGTAGCTTTTATTGAACCTCTACGGTACATTTGCAGGCCAGATGGAATTAAATTAAAGGGGCTGACGGAGACCCCCGGCCACGTCTTCCACGAAAGGGGAATCGGCCAACTGGCTTCCCAAGGTGACCTCCCTCCCACCATCACAAAGAGGCTCAGGGTGGACAACTGGGGAAGGGCCACGCTTCCTGGTGCCATTTACACTGCTTAATTTTTAAACTACGTGCGAATATATATGGCAGAACAAATAAACTGAATGCTCAATGCTAAGCCGCCGATTTCACAAAGGCTACCCCGCAGTGAACACGTCAGTTCGTAAAAGCCTCTGCGGGACTTTTATCTGCGCACAAACACTTAATCATCCATATTATATTACTCATTTGTCAATGCTTCACTCTCTTCGTCGTGGTCGTGTAGCGTCATGTCCTTTCCAGGTCTTCCGCTGGACACCCCATCCGACGCGTCGCTCAGATTTGCGGTGAAGCTCAGACCATGGACATCTTCCTCGGTCGCTTGGATGTCATCGTCGTTGATGGGTTCAGCTTTCAAGGGACCTTTCATTCTGAGCTGCTGCCTCTGCAAAAATCGCGTCATGTCTAGCATCTGAAGCCAGCCGTTAACCCTAGCCTGCCTCTGTTGAATTTCTGCTTCTGATATATTCTCGATATCACTGGTCGTCACTGGGCCGGAGTACTCTTCTTGCACAAATGGACGCAATTTCAAATCATCAACGCTGATCGGGACGCCTCTTCTTCGAAGTCTGTTTAACGTCTTGATGCGTCGCTGCTCCTCAAACACGTGGTCGGCCGCTTGCCTCAGCTCTGTCAGTAATTCTGGCAGTTGCATATAGGTCCCACGGCCACCTCTGCTGTAGAAAAGCCGCTGGAGGTCACTCAGGGACATTTTTGTGTTGGTCTTCAACAATACGTCAGCTATCGCATCATTAATTACCTCCAGCGAGCCACTGTACTTTGGACTGCAGCAGAAACAAGAGAACTCGAAGAGGAAGCATGGAGACATAGTATTAGCACACAACCGTTCGTGCGCAAGCTCGTTATTGGCATTAACATAAACACGCACGGAAATTGAATGTGTCTTGAAAAGATACGGGAAAGCGCTGCGTTGAATTCCTCCAGTTCTGCTGGATCTTCGGAAGCTACCTGCAAATGAAAAATAGCAGCACCAAAGTGGTAACAAACTCACGACTTCTGTGAAAAGCTCTACAGAGCCTTATGCAATAAATATACACCTCCTTTTGCTAGTTAGACGTGTACTATCAGAAGGAACATTCGCGAAGAGCTTGCTGAGCATTCATACCACGGCGCTGGCTGCGGCATTCCACAGCAGCGGGAAGGCAGCTGATATAAGTGCGTTGGGTTTCTTTGCGTCGGTCTTGCCCTTATCTGCACCCTCAGACTTCTTTCCGTCCTGATACATGTAGAAATACAAAGTGGAGATCATTCAAGCAAGACTTTCACCATACGCCCCGATGGCCATCCCCCGCGTAGCCTGCAGCTTCCTTGGCATTGTTGCTGCGTGGCAAGGCGCAGCAACCCGCCTACCTCAAGTAAAGTGTGGAAGCCCTCGCAAGGAGATTATCATCAGGAAACCACTAAAAAAAAGCACCAGTTATTCAAGAGGTTCACAAATGCGTTCAAGCCGAATGCCTTTTGCTGTTGGTTCAAGGCTCACTTTTTCTTCAGTGGTCTCTTCCGGGGTGTCATCCCCTGATCCTGTGTCATCGCCTCCTCCACCACTGCGCCCCTTGTCTGAAGCATCTGCAAACGAAACAAGGCTTGTTTTGTCTAGCCTCTGCAATGGGACGAGTAAAGGCACCAGAGCCACGAGGAGAGCGATCAGAAGGTGAGCCATGGCGCTGCTGAACAGGCACCCCTGGGGAGCGTCCGCGGCGATTTAATGCAATGCAGGTATTAGTATAGATGAAGTTAAGGACTAAACAACCATGGGGGTGCAAGCGTCTATTTACTGATCCCTCAACTAGGGGATTGGAAGCACCTGCCCCGTGTTCCTCTCTGCATGAATCAAATCAAGTGGGAGAAGAAACTTAGAAAATAAACTCTACCAAAGCACTCTAATGCTGCTGTATGCAGAATGCAGAGATATAAGCAAGGCTCGAAAGGGAGGGTTCCCCTGCCCTGGTGAGCGCCGTGAGCCGCTTCTCTTGGGGGAGGCGGCGACCCCCACCGTATCTGCCCCGTTAACGAGTCTTGGGGCTATGCGGTTATGTCTTAAAAATAGAGAAAAGTGCCAAGAACAAACTTCGCATAAACAGGAGGCAATCGGCCTCGCTCTGGGCACGGGTACATGGCTGTGTGAGCAGCTGCCAGCTGCCCTTGCTGCCCCCTTTGTGGGGGTAGATGAGTCCTCCGGCGCCTCGGGCTGTGCTTAACGCTGCTATCTGGGTGCTTTTAAGTAAATTGCATAATGACAGCGGGTTTTTATGGAAGCAGACGCGGGGCACCATTAGGGAAGGCGCATCTTGACCCCCTGGCAATCGAGAGGTGTGCACAGCACTGTATGCGGCGGCTGCAGCCGCTGGCGTGCTTCTACAAGGCGCTACCTTCTTCTGAAAGATATTCTCGAACATAGCCTACAGCGAGAGACGCTTTTGCAGGGGATTCGCCTTCACACACGCGGCCCTTACCCTGCTACACAGACATATGCATAAAAGACACACCTACAAGATCTGCTGCAGTGGCAGCGTAGGCAGCACTGCCATCCCCGCGACAGCTGAAATGGCATCATGAGCTGAACACGCAACAATCTGCGCAGAGCGAAGGTATCTGTTTCCGTGCAACCATAGACATCTCGACAATGGAACGTTCAGCACCTGCCTGCAACGGCACGCGGGCGGAACGCTTCCAATACCCAGTCAGTTGTGCTCCTTCACTCCTTTAAAACAAGTGCTGACCTCCATGAGACGCATTCACACACACCCTCATGACAGATGCGGAAGTTCATATGTCTGGGGGGTACACAACGCCTGCGGGTGCTAGAGCGGTTGTTAGTGACGGTGCTGCTGCCGCTCCTTCTCCTGCTCCTGCTCCTTTGCATCTCCCCTGTTATCTGCAGCAACACCAGCCTGCAGCATACGGTGGCAGGCACGCCGAGCAGCCATACTTCCGAAAGAGGCGGGGGTTTTTTCAGGCGCTGCTTTGAAACTCCCAGCAGCAGCAACAATTTACTCCCATGTATCGCATTCCAAGCAAAATCCCCGGGGCGAAGTGCTGTCCGCACCTCGCTGCAATGTCGCTTTCTCTGGAAGGCCTCCTCTGCTTTGGGGGCCCCTTCTGCAGCTTCTTTATGTCTTACGTTCCCTCGAGCGTCTGCCGCAGGCAGTGCACCAGCAACAGCGGAGGAGGGGTTTGCCTGCGCGGATGTGGATGCGGCTGTGAACAAAGGGCCTTTCAGTGGCGTGCTTGCCCAGCAGCAGCAGCCCAGGCTTTCCTTGACTCTAGATGACTCGACGATTTATGCGTTAAGCAGCAGAGGAAACTGCCCTTCTGCGGCTGCTGCTGCCGCTCAGGGAGCATCTGCTGTCGCTGTCTGGAGGCTCAGCGGACCGCTTTCAGCCTTCATGCTGCAGCTGCTACAGGTTCGTCCGCGGCAGCTGCAGGAGATGCTCCAGCACATGAGACATTGCATGCGTTGCGGCGCGTACAGGGATCCATGCCCCGTGCATTTTCCAGCCGTTGCGAGCAGCGGCAACGGCAGTGGGAAGAGCAGCAATTGCTGCTGTGCTTCGCTGCAGCTGCCGTCTATTCCGCCGCCTGGGCAGGTGCGAGTTGCCGCTATCTCAGACTTCTTCAGAGGGGGAGTCCTCTTCGATGAGGCTCTTCTGCTCTTTTTCAGAGGCCCCAAGTCAGCAACTGGTAATCCAGAAGTCTTAACTGTCGCAGCACTTGCGGCGGATCACAGACTTGGGCGTGAGCGCATTAGAGTGCCCTCCTCGCTGTGGTTTGAAAGGGGGAGTCCTCAAGGCTTGTGACAGCTCAGACTGAGCGTTTCAGGCTTGTGTGTTCAGGCGAAGATGTGGCGGAGGTTCACTCACACGGCGGACGGGGAACGATCGAGGCTCTCTACGACTTCTTTGCTGAGTCGCAGCGACGCGCGGGGGGCCTTAGAGGGCCTCCTGCCCTCCCGATTCCCCAGGCACCAAGGGCAGGGGGCCCCGGGGCCCCCAGCGAGGGGCTTTGTTCACTAAAAGATCTTTACAAGGACCTCCTATCGGCAGACGACAGTCGCCTTCCCCTAGAATCAGAAGAACTGCTCCTGCAGCAGCAAGAGACGCTGCAAACGCGGCCGGAGGTGTGCTGTTGCGAAGAACGGCTTTTCCAGCTTCTCTTGAGGAGATTCCTTGCGCAGCAACAATTGCAGCAGCAGCAGCAGCAACAGCAGCAACAATTGCAGCAGCAACAACAGCAGCAGCAACAACAGCAGCAGTGCGCAGCGTCGAAAACTGCTGCGGCATCCACAGGTACCTGCGTGTGCAGGAGCACAGCAGGGGGTCTGGGAGGTTCCCACGGGGCCTCCTTTTTTCGGTTGGCGTATCCAGGAGAATTCGCTTTGCGGTCTTTCTTAAACGGAAAGAAGACGCTGCATCAGCTGCACGCTCTAGGGGCCTTGCTTAATGTAAGGCCGAGGCTCCCCCGTACAGCCTAGGCTCCCGTAGGGAGCGCAGACACTCTGATGCTCTCGACTTCACCCCTTCCTTTCTAAGCCCGACCGGCCGTAACCCCCGCATTGTTGCTACCCAGCAACCCTGCTACTTTGGAGCAGTGCTTTCTTGTAGAGAGAAGTTTCCCCTACAAGGGGTTCTGTTATGGCTCGCATGGTGCGTGTATGTACAGGCTCGGGGTCCTCGGCAGCTGGAAAGCGCGTTCCGACGGCTTCGGGGTAGAGATGCAGCAGGAGAGAGGGCGCGTTGTCTAAGAACGTGGCGTGCGTCGCTCGTAGATGCTCTGGGGGCGCTCGAGGCCGCCTTGGCCATAGGAGATGACCAGCAGCAAACTGCGGCAGCTGCGGCTACAGAAGCAGCCGCAGCAGCAGAGCCTGCCGTGTTTCAAGTGCTGAGCGAGCTGCGCAAGGAACTGCACAAATTGGAGGCGCGTCGAGAAGTGGAAGAGGGGCATCGACTGCTTCTTCTTGGGGCCCCCAATGCTGGTACTTGAAATAAGCTCTGAACTCCCCTAGCGGTATATTATCGTGCAAGCAAGCACCTGGGATCCGATTTTTTGGCCTTGTGTGGCCTAGCGCCTTCTTTAGAGACCTAGCCCGACGCCTCCTATTTGGAGCATGCAGAACGCACGCAAAGCCGCCTGAAGCGTGGGGTGAGGGGAAGGGGGGAGTCACAGCGCCTGAAGCAGGAAACTCGCCTTCTTCTGTGCGTTTGTCAGGCAAAAGCAGCCTGTACAACCGGCTGGTGGGCTCCGATGCCGCAATCGTCTCTTGCGCTGCGGGGACGACACGAGATGTTCTCAGCAGTACGCTGTGCTGCAGCCGAGGCGGAAGGGAAACGGTCCGCCTGGTGCTCTCCGACTGCGCAGGACTGAGACGTGCTGGCCGTGCTACACATGCGCATGCGAAGTCGCCTCCTAGTGGTGCTGCTGATGACAGGATCTGCACTATTGAGGCCGAGGGGATGCGCCGCACCGTTGCCGCAGCGAGAGACAGCGACTTCCTTCTGCTAGTTTTGGAAGCCCCTAGACGGCAGCAGCAGTCGCAGCAGCAGTCGCAGCAGCATCAGGACGCGCTGCTGATGCACCTGCGGCAGCAGCTGCTGCAGTTGGGGGAGGCTCTGAGAGACATTCTAGGCAGCAGACCAGAAGGCGCAAAGAAGCCTCGCGTATTTCTTGTCGTGAATAAAATGGACTTGCTCCAGGAGCTGCAAATTAGTGGGGGCGGCGGGGACGGCAAAAAGAACAACAGCACCGACAGCAGGGGAAGCTGCAACAGGTCCATCCCTGCAACAACACCCCACCCCTCGCAGCAAGAGGCGGGAGAGCAACTGGGAGCAGCACCGGCTTTGCTGGCACAACTGGACGAGAGTCTGGAGCGCCTGCTCCCTGCCGAGGTGCTGCCTCTTCTGGTGCCTCTAAGGAAAACTGCTCTGGACGCGAGGGCAGATGAGGTCCGTCAAGGGTTTCATCAATGCACGAGTAGCCCCTCCGAAAGGAATTCTCACGACAGCCGGCTTCACCCGAGGATATTACCTGTCTCGTGTCTTACGGGCTTTAATATCCAGCGACTGATGCAGTGGATACACAGAAGCAGCACCAGCAACAACAATGCCACCACTGGGGATAGCGGCCGCAACAACACCATCATCAGTAACAGCCTTAGCGACAGCGGCGATGAGGCTTTGTTTTGTCTAGAAAGGCAGCGCGCCCTACTCAGTGAGTTGGTGGAGGTTCTGGAACACTTCTTTGGGATTGATGCATTGGAAGAAAAGATACAAGATCTCAGGTGGGTGCCTAACTCCCTCAGCCCTACTTGAGCGTGGTGGTTTCGTATAGCTAGCTAGAGCTTCTCCGTCCACACTTGCTGCTCCCGCCTCTCGACAACCCCAAAGTGACCCTTTCCCTCCCCCTCACCCCCCTTGTTCGCGCAGTGCGCAGTAGTAACCAGGTTAAACGCGCGTGTGCCTGCAGTTTCGCCATGCGGCTGCTCGGGGAACTCACGGGCATAGAGTGGCGGCCTGAGGAGGCCGTCGAGGTTATTCAAAACAACTTCTGTCTTGGCAAGTAGCCGCGGTTACACCTCTCGCTGAACACCAGTGTATGCTTTAGGATTTATGCCTGCTGTATCTTGCAAACACGAGTCAGCAGGTCTCGAAGGATAGAGCCCCCTACCGTCCAAAGCCTCTACACGTAAATCTTTCAACAAGATATTTCACGGCATCGAGATGCCGATCTCTAAGAAACAGGTTTTTTGTAGAGAGCACCCAGTCGGGGGTGGGAGGGCACACACATGTAGGCCTTGAAGACCTCCTGTGGAACTTAAAAGACTAATTTTTTGAACAAAAAAAAGCTTCAGTGGATCGAAGTGTTTGTGTGTGCGTGTGTATGCACTTTACTTGAAAGGCAAATACAGCAAACCGCCAAATGCCACAGCGGTCCCCTTTAAGGTCCCAACTTGGGGCCCCCCAGGCAGAGGGCCTCCCTCTCGTGGAGCAGGGGGCCTCTACGAGTGGGTGCCGCCCTTTAGTTTCAAGTACGTACATTGCCGCGTGAGTCTCAGAAGAGTCTCCTATCCAAATACACGCCTACGCTTTAACAAGTCCCCAGAGACACCCCCAGAAAGCCACACTGGCCTGGAGCAGGAGGCCCCCCGGTAAAGGCGCGCGCAAAAGTATCCTGAGTAGCTTGCTTACCCCGTAAAGGGTGAGCCTCTCCACAAGGCAGATTCTGTGGTCAATTGGATGCGGGCTTTGAGAGCAGGAAGGCTGCGACGTCCTCCCTAGTCGAGAACTCCTGAGCACATGCATACAGAAACGCACACACACAGACGCATATACACACATACACATACAGAGTATTTGCAAACCTGAAGGCTTTGTGACGACTGCATCCTGTGATGCTCCGGTGCCGCAAGTTACTCCTTGATCACTAAATAGAGAGGAAGAGGATTGGATTGGCTGCTCAAAGGGTTTGGGGGGCTGTTTTACGCGAGTCCACTGATCCACATGGAGACTCTCAACTTGAAAGAAGACTCCCCGAGAGGGCTCCGTGTCAGTGGCTGCTGCTGCTGCAGTGAGAGACACCAGCCACTGCAAACCCTTGGAGGCCCCCCGGCTGCCGCCTCCCCCCCTTTTAAGGGCCTTTCTGAGCCGCCTGGCCTCCCCGAGAGGCATTTGGCGAGTTTCGCACTGCACGCGAACATTTGAAGCGCAGGATCTGCTCGCGGGAAAGAATGCATGGCCATAAATGGAATATCCCCATGCCTTACACACGCTAAAGACAGGGCGCACACGCATGCAGACTTTTGACGCTTTATTTAGCTCGTACCTTAAGGCCTTGCTTGAGCAGGAGAGCTCTAAGGTGGAAGGCCGCGTGCAGCAACTGCGGCTGCTGGGGGGGGTAGCAAAGCAGCACATGCGGCAACGTCCACCCTGCTGCTGCATCCTGAAGGCTATTGCTGGTGCTGCAATTGTTTGTGCTGCAGCAGCAGCTCCGGTGGGAGCTGCTGCTTGCGCTGCTGCTGCTGCTGGTCGTCGTGGCGTTGCCGCTGCCGCTGCCGCTGCTGCTCCCCGTACCGGCCTTGTTGCCGTTCTTCGGGTTGTTGGTGCTACTGCAGTTCGACTCGCTCCATACAGGCGTAAGCGCAGCGGCAGCAGCAGCTGCTGCTGCCGCTGCGCTTGCGGATTCTGGTTGCTGCTGCTGAATGTACAGAAGCCTCGAGCAGAGGCAGTCGAGATCTAACTCAACGAAGAAGGAGAACTCGGCAGTGTCAGCCGCTTCTCTGCCCTGCCCCTGTCGTTCGAAAGCACTGCACCTGCCTCCAATTGCAAACACCTCGCGAAGCTTAGGCTGCAGCGGCAGCTGCTGTTGCTTCGCTTGCTTGTGCTGCTGCTGCTGCTGCTGCTGCTTGTGTAGCTGCTGCTGCTGCAGCGAGGAACCGACAATGCAGAAGAAGAGGCCTGAATCGAAGCTGCTGCGGTCCAAGGGCAGCAACAAGGAGAACTGGAGTTGCTGCTGCTGCTGAAAACCCTCGAGCTCCTGCAGCAAATGCTGCAACAGCAGCAGACGCTGCAGCTGCTCCTCAATGCTGCGATGAAGCACCAGAGGCAGCTCGACAGACACACCATCCTCCTCCGGCGAAGTCGCGGCAGGAACCGAATGACGAGGACTTGCAGTCTCCTCACTGGGGTGCAGCAGAGGTCTCGCGTGAGCCGTAAACTCCGCCGCATTATCGCTGCGACACACACACCCCAAATCACGGTCTTATCCCCTGCAGAAACGAAGGGCCTTTTACTGTGAATCCTGAGCGCTCTACCCACATTTGCGCACGACCGCTTAGCGATTGAGCTCCCAGTGCCTCACAACGGCAGCGTTAGAAGCTTCCACAGTCTTTCGCTTCTCTCCTTCAGGCCAGGAGACGGCTCTTGCGTCAGGAAACCCCGCATCACCTCGTCCTGCGGCTGCTGCTGTTGCTGCTGCTGCTGCTGCTGTTGTTGCTGCTGCTGCTGCTGCTGGGGCTCTAGGGAAGGCGAATCGAAGTCGATGCCTCCAAAGCCGAGGGCATCAACGGCCTGCAGCTGCTGCAGCAGAAGCTCTGCCGTGAGGAGTCCACCGGCAGCTGTTGCGCGTAGCCAACAGTCGAACGACAGCACAGACTCTGGCGGCACCTGAGCAGGCAATCGAGGCCGTAAGCTCTAGCATTCTCGAGAAAGCACATCCACCCACGCAGAGATTGCAGTCGAAACGCAGCGTGCAGGAAAAGAGTAGGAACCCCGACGGGCGAAGAGGTTGTCGGGGGTAGGAGAAGCTGAGCGGAGTGAGCGGGGGAGAAGGGGTGAGGCGGAGAGCTTTTCGGTGGCTTACATCAAAAGCGAATTCCAGGATGACCGGTAAGAACGACGCACAGGTCCATACGAGTGCCAGGTGTTGGTGAGACTCCTCTGCTACCGCTGCTGCTGCGGCAGCTGCAGGCGCAAGGATATCTGCTGCTGCAGCAACCACATCGGCCTCAAAGAAGGCAGCGACAACAGGAGGAGGCAGCTCCAGGGCACCCCCCCACGACTCGACGGTGTGGCGATGCAGCTGCAAGTAATAGCAACACGACGCAGTCCGCTCGGGCTGCAGCAGCAAGGGGAGCACACGCGAGCAGCGATAAGTATCCCCGATGTAAAAGGCCTTGCGCACTGGGAACCTGCTGTGAGGAGACTCTGCCGCTGCTGCGGCAGCCGCTGCCGCAGGCAGCAGAGAGAACGGCAAGTACATGGGAGTAGCGGCTGCCCCTAGCACGCGGTACAAGGAGCCAGGAAGACACATGCCTCGCTCCCTCATGTTTGTTGCTGCTGCTGTTGCTGCTGCCGCCACTGCCCCCACTGAAGGACCTGCAGGCAGGAGGGGAGGAGTCGAAGAAGCACACGAGGCGCTGCTGCCACTGGTACTCGGACGCTGTGTCTGCGTCTGCGGGAGCTGCTGCTGAGGCTCAGCCGTTTCAGCTGCCGCTTCCACTGCTGCAGAAGCAAGTCCAGACTCTGTTACCGACGGCACCGGCTCGCTTGAGACAGGGGAGAGAGGCAGATTTGCTGAACAAGCTGCTGCCGTCGCTGCATCTGCAGCGGCTACGGCTGCTGCAGTTGCTGCCGCGTGCAGGTCACTAATGGCCAGTGCAGCGTGGAAGGAGAGACAATTGAAGGGGATACACAATTCTGGCAAGCCGTTCTGCAGGGTCGTCTTTCCCCCCTTGCTGCTGGAGCTGCTGCTAGTGCTAGTGCTAGTGCTGCTAGTGCTAGTGCTGCTGCTAGAGCTAGTGCTGCTGCTAGAGCTAGTGCTGCTGCTAGAGCTGCTGAAGCTAGAGCCAGTGCTGCTGCTAGAGCTAGTGCTGCTGCTAGAGCTAGTGCTGCTGCTAGAAACGCTGCTGCTAGAGCTAGTGATGCTGCTAGAAACGCTGCTGCTAGAGCTGCTGCTGCTAAAGCTGCTAGAGCTGCTAGTGCTGCTTCGTGTCTGCCCACCAGCAGCAGCAGCAGCAGCAGGACGCAGCAAAGGGAACTCCATCGGGCGAAAAATGCCCACAGATTGTTTGAGAGCGGCCAGAGACGCAGGAGACAAACGAGGAAGGGGCGCCAGAGACAGAGAGGCTGCAGCAGAAGGGGAGAGGGAGTTCTCCAGTGAGCCTCCTGAAGAACAGCAACCATCCACATGCGCAAAATCACACACACGCGAATCTCGTATGGGCAGTCCTCCGAGCATGCGTCCAGCGTCACTGAGCGACTCGATGTAGCAAGGAAAAAGAAAGGCATGGAAGTGAGATAGAGCATCACGTGCAGGCGCCCTTGCATGCGTGGCGTGATGCATCCTGAGGGTTTAGCGTTTGCGGACCAGCGGTGCTCGTTCGGTGGTTGTGAAGGATGAGCAGCTGCTGCTGCAGCCTCAAGCAGCTCTGGAGATGCGCAAGAGCCTTGGGCAGTTGCAGGTCAAGTGGCAGAAGTGCAGGAAGCGTTCTGAGGGGAGCTCCCCGCTGCTGCAGCAGCAGTTGCGCCTGCTGGCAAAGCAAGTCCAGCAGGCACTGCCTCAGCTGCTCCGTCAAGCCTCCCCCCGGCTGCAGCGCAGCAAACAATCTGTGCGGAGACCGCTCTGTGGGGGTCTGCAGGTGCAGCGAACAGCGGCTTCTGCAATCGCCGTCGAGGCACCCCTCCCCCCCAAAGGGAGGCTTGGTGGGGAGGCGTGGATGACTACTCCAGTGCTGCTCCTTATTACTGTTCTAAATTGGAGAGTGGAAGAAGCTGCGTCATCGATAGGCTGCTGCGTCTCGCTTGCGAGCTTACGATCGCCAGTTTTTGGGCGTTGGCAGAGAAGAATTCCAGTGCACGATGCGGGGTGACTGACTGCCGCAACAGCAGTGCAACCGTCTGCACTGCCTCTGGCCCGAAGGGCGACTCCCGCAGCAGATGGAAAACCTGCAAAGTGAGGCACCGCTCGCCACCGCAAAAGGAGCCTCAAGAGAGACACGCATGCGAGGAGGGTCTTCAGGAAAGGGCGCAGGCGCTGCAAGGCGCTCTGCGAAGATTCCAGCTTACGGGAGTGAACGGAGAGATCAGTGCCGGCTCTTCCTCAGGCTTTATAGGGCTTTGGGGGCCCCTCCCACCCCTAGCGGCGTCGCAATAAAACGGAAGAATCGTCTCTCTAGGAGGAGGGGATAAGAAGAAGTCGAGAGACAGGATATCCTTCGCCAAGGGGCGCTTGCTGGGATCGCGCTGCAGCAGAGGCGCCAGCACACGCCCAATAATCGGCGGAACATATCGGCAGACAAACCCCAACAGATCAAAGTCATCCTCTTCCAATGCTGCTGCTCCTGGTGTTGCTGCTCCTCCTGCTCCTGCAGCGGCGGCTCGAGCCGCTGCACGCTGCTGCTTTTCCTGTGCCTTCTTCTGCTTCAGTTTTTGCCGCATCTCGTGCTTCAGCTGTTCCTTTTCTGCTGGTTCGTGCAGCTGCTGCGTCTCCTGCTGCAGCAGCAGCTGCTGCTGTTGCAGCCACGCGTTGCTCTGCGCCGAGAGCGCCCCCAGTACCAGCGAACGTTCCATGTTGGTGGCGAAGGGCACTGCCCATATTTCGAAGAGGCAGACTCCCAGAGAAAATATGTCGGCGCTTTGGCCGTATCTGCGGATTCCAGCAGGCCCCAAGAATTTGCCAGCAAAAATGAGAACTAAAGCGCTAGTGATAAACACCCCCGCCCAGAAAGGGGGAGCCGCGCGCAATCGGCATCGCCAGGCCAGGCTACACCCTTGCACGCTCCGAGGTGTGTGTGAGTGTGAGTGTGTGTGTGTGTGTTTGTCTGTCTGTGTCTGTCTGTCTGCGGCTGTGCGTCTGTCTGTCTGTGTCTGGGTGCAAGACAGGGGTTCGATCTGTGTCAAGGCAGGCTTTGCGCGCGTGAGGGTTGGGGGCGTCTGAATTACTGGGTGCTGTTGGCTTGCTCCGGCGCCATGTAGTGGACGGTTCCCACGCCTTTGCTCAAAGAGCAATGCAAGAGAGGGTTCCCTAGTCTCGGAGGGGGCCCCTCCAAGGGGCCCCCCGAGGGGCTCTCCGGGAGGGTTCCCAGAAGGCCTCCCGCCTGCGGGGCACTTTGTAGCGCTCGCACGGAACGCGTGAGTCCAAAGTCTCCTACCTGCAGCGGCAGCGCAAACCTGGAGGCAGAGGTTCTGGAAAGTACACCATTTGCTGTCTGAGCGCGCTGCTTGTCTAGCACTCATACACACACACACACACCCTGGAGGCTCCAGGCTTTGTGTGAGACGAAGTCGGAAAGGGAGAGGCGCCTCCTCGCTGGCCATCGGTGCGCGAGCAAGAAGAAATATGATTAGGCTTTTCTAATGCCCAAGGCAGAAGACTACTCAACGAAAGGGGGCTGCAAGCACTAGAGGGGAGCTGGCTAAATGCCGTCCTTCGGTAGGAGAGGGGTATGTAATCCCTCCTGAAGAAGAAAGCCCGCGAGAAGACTGCGTCTCGTCGGCGGTCTAAGAGCTGCAGTGTGGAGAGCAGACTCTACCTTGATGGTCAGGCCGCCTCCGTCTGTCACTTTGAGAAAAATATTCGAGGGTTTGAGGTCGCGGTGAATGACCCCATTGTGGTGTACATGCACCACAGCCTGGACCAGCTGCTTTGTTAAGGCCCACTTCCACACGAGGAGGTCCCCCACAGAAGCGTCGGATAAGGCCTCTTCGGCACTAAGCCGGAGGCGCTCCTGCTGATGCTGCTCCTCATCCTGCTCTTCTTTCCGTTCTTGCTCGGTGTCTTGACGGCGCTGCTGCTGCTGCTGCACCCTGCCAATGAGCAGCCCCGAGTCGATGGCTTCTCTGAGAGTTCTCCCCGGGCAAAACTCCATCAAAATGTACAAATAGGCTGCCACTGCAGGGAAGGGCAGCACCCAAACGCACAGCACGGCCCTAAGGGCCCTATAGCTGACCGCAGCCTCTCTCCCCCCCACTGCGTGCAAGGCTCACGCGCCGGTAAGTTGGCTTTGAGGCAAGCACGCCAAGCCTAGGGAAGAGCAGCAGCGTCTTACCTCCGTCGGGGGAAGGCCGTGCGGCGGCGTCACCCTTGGCAGTCTCAAGCCAGGCGTCATAGTAGCGGACTATGTGCTGCGAAGCAGCACACAGCGTGGGGTTTAACAATAATGCGCATGCAGCTCAAACAGCGTTTGGCGGAGGCTCAAGGAAGTGTCTCTCTTCTAGGAGGCAGTGCCCTGCCCACGCCGATCGCGCGCTCCTACTGGATGGAGCAGAGGGAGGGATGCAAGATAGCTGCGACGAAGCTAGAAAGCATGCGCACAGAAAGAGGGGCAAGGGGCTTTCTCACCGGATGCGTTAGAGCCGCTAGAGTCGCTGCCTCGGCAGCTACATTGGCAGGGAGGCACAGAGCTGCCCCAGAAACGTCGTCGTCTGGTGTCTTTGCAAGAGACAGAGATATCTTCTTTAGCGCGAATATGCCGCCCCCCTGCTTCATCCTGACCTATAGCATGAACCCACACACGTAAATATAAATAAAATATATGCACATGTACATACACATATGTATACATATATTTGTTTATATAATGCAAGGACGACTTCGTGCCACAACACGGAAACCGAGCATGCGCGCACATGTACCACAGCGCTCTCTATACAGGCGTATGATAATACACGGCCTCCTTTGAACCCTGCAGCCATTGGGCTGTAACCGCGTGGCGTCTGGCACTTTCTTTTGAAGGCAGGCTTTGGCGATCTAGAGCTCACCTTGACCACGCTGCCAAAGCCCCCGCATCCAATAACGTGCAGCTCCTCGAATTCGCTTTTGCTGCGGCCGTCTACAGTAATAAGGGAACCCCTTCCTGCCCTGCCGCAGCTGCTCGAAAAGGTGAAGACACCTGGCGCGAGACGGCGCTTCTGCTGCTGCTTCTCTGGCTGCTTGAGTAGTACCTGCCTTTGAACGAGCAGCAGCCCCTGCTTTTTGTGAGGCCTGAAAGACCTCTTATCCGCACCCGGGGTGTCTTGCTGCTCTTGGATGTGCTGTGACTGCGGCTGCAAAGACGACTTTCCACCAAGGGCGGCGCTCGAAGTGGAAGAGGGCTCAGAAGGCCGCCGTCGAGCAGCGTGGGTTCCTCTATTCAGCCCGTGAGGGGTGGCGCTCTTAGAGCGCCCAGATGCCTGCTGCTGCTGCCAGCGTTTTTCGATGCTTCCACCTCGCGACTGCGCTCACACCCACAGCAACAGCAGCACCAACATCAGCAGTTGCAGTTGCAACAGCAGCACCAACATCAGCAGTTGCAGTTGCAACAGCAGCACCAACATCAGCAGTTGCAGTTGCAACAGCAGCACCAACATCAGCAGTTGCAACAGCAACAGCACCAACATCAGCAGTTGCAGTTGCAACAGCAGCACCAACATCAGCAGTTGCAGTTGCAACAGCACCAACGTCAGCAGCTGTAACGGCTAACCCTTAGCGCTTCGGGTTGTGGTGTTGCTCCTCCTCCTCCAATATGCCTCAGAAGGGAGGGGGGCCTAGGGGCCCCCTTGGGCGGTTTGGCTTTGTCGAGGAGGTCTCGGACCCTTAGGATGGCAGCTCGGACGCCTTCCAGCTGCCAGCACAAGAAGCAGCAGCTCGAGCATCCGCAATCCTCAGTGGCAGTCGGCCTTGCTGCTGGCGATGCAGCATGCGCTGCAGTAGCTGCTGCTGTTGCCGCTGAAATCGCTGCGTGATACTGGTGATGCCACGAGAAGCCTGGGGGCCCCTGAGCGGCCTCCGGAGGGAGCGGCTTCGCGCGGGTCTCAGCGGGGGGGGGCCCCTGCTGAACAAGCGCTCCATCGGGGCCCCCCTCAGTAAAGCGCCTTGAGGCACCGCGAGCGCAAACACATTTGTTGCGTGAATCCAAAGTGACAGATGTGAGGAGGCTCTGAACTGCCTTTGGTGGAATGCCCAGCGCCGACAGAAGCGCAAACGAGGGTGGACTCCAACTGAAGAAGGAGAGCAAGCAAGCACGAGAAAATTCTAACGAACCAGGGCACCCACGCAGAGAAAGGGGAAGGAAAGAAAGGGGAAGGGGAGAAAGAGAGAGAAAGACACATAGAGGAAGATAGAGAGAGAGAGAGAGAGACAGGAGGAAGGCGGTGTTTTTTGTTTTGAGCAGTAGAGGCACTCCTGGAGAGGGCATCACAAGAATACCACCAGTAGGCACAGCAGCGTCTACACACAGATTTCTCCGTATGCAGAGGTGACGTTCAGAGGGGATGTTCAGAGGTTATGAGTAGCAGGTTGCCTAGGCAATGGGGCGATCAGAGCGTGAAAACACGGGCAGAAAGGGGGAGAAGGGGGCTAACACGGCGCGTGTGGCGAAGGCTCCCGCGCAGACACTACCGGCGGACAGCGAAAGATGCACGAAGAAAGACGACATTTAAAGCCTCTGATGAACAACGCATGCAAGCAGCGCGAGAGAAGGAAGCGGGTTGTATTCTGGGAAACTCACTCATGGGACAAATAAGCAGCGATCTCTACTACCAGTCGCTCTTCTCCGCGGTTTCTCTCTCCTCCTTGCCCCTTTTCAGCCCCCCTGCCTTCTCCTCTCTCCCTATGGTTGTCTTCTGCAGGGCGCTTGAATATGTGGATAAAGACGACGCAAGGTCGACGCCAAAGCTTGCGGCTCTTGTCGTTCTTCTTGGTGGTAGTGGCGCTTTTGCAAGTGCTGCTGCCGCTCTGGCTGTTGCCCATTCGAAAGAGACTGTCCTCGTCAGAGCTGCCGGAGGGAGGCCAAGAGTCAAAAGAGCCAACCGAGAGCTCCGCAAGGGTGCTCTCGAGCAGAGCGAGCTGAGCTTTGTAGCCCGCCTCTCCGGATGCTGCTGCTCCTGCTGCTGCGGCAGCTGCTGCGGCAGCAAGAAATCCCAGATCCGAAACAGTAAGACACACACGCCAACGGCTCGTGCTTGTTTCTGATTCGATCCCCTCGAGTTCCCGAATAAGGGGAATGTTTTTTAGGAGGGCCAGGGGTGCCCCCAAAGGGCCGCCAGAGGCGTCCGCAAAGTGGGCATCCCCCGAGTTGCCTTCCTCTCGCATTCTGACCTCGTAAACAGCCAGCTAGCTGGTTCCAGGCGCCAGCTAGCCAGAAGGACCCCCGAAGGAAGTCCAGGGCTAGCAGGCGCCAGAGCACGAAAGACTCATTAAAACCATGTGGAGTCCGCTGCTGCAGCGCTACTAGCGCCGTGGGTGTCTTCTAGTCGTTGTTAACGGCCGTGGCAGCTCTCGCAGTCGAGCGTTTGAGGCTTAAAAATCAGATTCGCGTTCAGGATCTGAAGTAAGAGGCATGTGGTTAGGAGTAAGTACACAAAGTGGTGGGGGGTCTCACTGAGGAACTTCGGCTTCAGAAAATACGATATAGGCCAACTGGACAGCATGAGTGGCGGAAGGGCTCGCAAATACACATTAAAAACCGTTCCTGTGCAATCCATAAGAGTCTTAGGTCGAGAATTTAGTGTCTAGGATCTAGGATTTAGGGTCAACAGCTAAAGGCGTAGGAGTCAGTAGAGTCCGCTCTCTGTGCATGCAGCTGCACAATGACGAAAACAGAAATCCGCATGTATTTGTTTATCGATACTCCCATATAGATCTAAATGCTATGACTTAATGCCACTATCTCTGGACTTCTGGCCGCTTACTCTTTTGTGTGCTGGTTCCGCAATTTTAGAGAGCGCTCCAGAGCGCTCTCCAAAATTGCTGCACTCGGCCAGCAACGAAGATGCTCAGGGTTCATGACCTGACGCGTTCGCTACGGGGATTATGCTTTTTTCCGCTTGCATATCGCTTGATGATCTAAGTGAGCATGCAGTCAGAGCTAAGGGCTCTGTGTCCTAACCGTGAGCTCCACGCCCTGAACGCTCAATCGTGCCTTAGAAGCCACGCCGAAATACGGAACTCGCAGAGTGCGCGAATGCAGCAAGAAGGTTTTCCCTTGGTGCAGGTTCGTCGCCGCATAAAGGCGGGAAGCGTGCCTTTTGGCGGTTTGGGCCCTGGATGGGTAGCAGGCTACCCTGCACTTGAGCACCTGTCAACACACGCTTGTCGTTGATACCAAATGAGAAGGAAATGAATACGTAGCTTGGCTGCACCTATACCTTAGCGTGTATAAAGTTGCGGTCGTTTAATAGAATAAGAATCAATGGTGTACGCTTATGCGCTAGATGCTATGTGGAACAAGTCGTGAATGCTCAAAGTACTTTTAGGATCAGGAACGCGCACTCTAGCTGAACTTCTCCCCGCGCTCCGGAACACGGGGGCTGAGTTCAGGGAAGGGGGAAAATTCTGGTGCAAGTGGATTTTTTGCCTCTATTTAGTTTTGTATGTCAGCTGGAGATCTATGTCTCTGCCTATGAAGGCTTTGATTAAAGCTTTACGCTATGTATTAGACTAAATCCTCGAGGGGTACAATAGAGGAAGGAGCAGTCATTTCGCAGATACAGGAAGAGCTTTGCAGTGCCTGTTTCTCTGTACCGGAGCCCCGAATTCTCCGGTAGGGGAGCCGCTTTGGCCAGGTGCTGCTGCTGGAACGAGGAAGTGGCAAGGGGCAAACTCACCTCCTGCGGCACCAAGTAGAGTCTGCGAGCAACATCTTGTCACCGACGCACTAACCAGACGTGCTGAATGCGTGCATCTCCCTAACCTACACTCAAGAAGCAAGCACAGCCGCATCTCACTACAATGCAGGCTGTAGTACATGGCTGTGTCTAGCGCCGAGCACTCTCATTCACGTGTAATCCTAAGGCCACAAAAACCATGCCATTAGACCAGCCCCCAAGGGAACAGGGGAAGCCAGGACTCTTTCGAGGTGCGGAGCGAAAAAGTGGGACTGTAGGAAATTAATCTGGGCTGCAAGAACTTCCTACAGCTCCTCCTCAAAAAACAGAGGCGCAGAAACAGAATTTTATTCAAAGAGGCGCTTTTAGAAAGGGAGCATATAGGTCCGCAGTCAGAGGGATGCATCCAGGAGCATACGTTTGGGCAGATCGAAAAGCAAGTCTCTCCGGACCTATTACTTTACGCAGGACGTTGGACGCAGACCACGCACTAGATGAACCAGTCCATACAGCAAAGCTTAGCTTCAACCGCGCGCTAGATGCGAGGAGGAAAGACTCTAGGTCCAGAGTAAGGGGGTCTTCTTGCCGCACGTGTGCAAGCAAGGCATATGAGGCTTTTTACGACTTCATGTACGCACAAAACAGCCTTCTTCTTTCGTTTTCACCTACAACAACCCATAAGTGCATGTCTTGCGAAGACACTATTCCCCAATCAGCCTAGTTCTCCCACGGCACCTTCTCCAATAGCCATAAGCAACGTCCTCGGCGTCTCCACTTCGTAGCCCTTCAACCAGAAGGCGTGGGGTTTCAGTATCTACAGCCATAACCTTCATGCTGAAGCCACCCCTCTGCTTAGCCTCTGGCTGTTTAAATAGGCCGCTTTCAATCCTACGCCACAGCAAGTATGGCGCAGACGAGCCTTGTTGGAGATGTCATGCTCACCTCTACAGCAGAGCTGTAAAGCTACGCCCACAATATTGTGGCATTCCTCATAGGTGTATGCTTTAATATGTGTGCATGCAGGCTTCGGTACGAGCAGGCTTAGCTGCCTATATATGTTCACGTATACAGCTATGCACGCGTTTGGTCTGTTTATATATATGTACATATTTGTGCGTTTCCGTATCGGTGTAGATTGGCATTTTTTGCACCTCGCTTCACATGCATAAATGCAGATAAAATTCCCCTTGGCAAGCACGCAACAAATCTAAGAATTGCAAAGGACTCACGCATTCACATGCACAAATATTTGCCTACGTCGGTCATATACCAATAATTCAACAAAGGCACGAACAGCAGCTCGGAAAGTGTTTCGGGCTGAGCTAAACTTCAACGCGTTCTGTTACACCAGTTGTATTCAATCAAAAATTGAAAAAAAATTGACCATTTGGCTTGTCTGTGCGCATGTTATCTACCGTAGAGTACTGTTACCTTCATCCAGAGAGGCGCAGGGTTGTGTACCGAACACACTGTGCAACTAGCTCTGGGTGCTCAGAGTGCTTGAAGAATGCAACAACACGCACCCTTACTGTCCCTCTCCTCATGCCCAGAACTGTGAAGGACGTGGGTAGGGGATGGCGGTATTTCCTCCAAGGTATACTGAGTACGTTTATTTGAAGTTTGCATCGAGTTTTGAATGGAGTGTCTCCCTGCGTAGACCTTAA